AAGACAAAGAGTCTTCTTTTTTCTAGAGCAGGCTACCATCAAACCCCCCCCCCCCCCCCCCCCGTTTGTCCCCTGCTCAATGGTTCCTAATTAGCAAGGACACATGAGCTACATCTGTCTAGCTCTAATGAGTTTACCTAAAGCTTTAAAGATGTCTTTAAATGTCTTAGTGTCCCACTACGATTCTAAAACCCAATGATATTCACGTTTGACAAAGAAATGCAGGAAATACGAACATTTATGAAGCTAGAACTAGGGACGTGCTTTTTTTTGTTGATAATCCAGAATGTCATAATGCAATTAACCCTTAAACATAGATTAAGGGTCAGCATGGATGGTCAGAGACGAGGTCATGTTCTACAATAGAAATAAATTGATCTTAGCTTCCAGCCCTGTACTGGCTTGGAGCTAAGATCAATGTATTTCTAGCAGCATGATGAGCAGCAAAGCATTGTCAGATATCGGAGTAAACTTGTTTTCCATGGTCCCTTGGAAGTGCACTATGTTGCCATAATTTGTGTACTGAGCAGTTTCCCACGTCAGCATAGAGAGCCACAGCAGGTCATAGATGGTACAGATGGAGGCTGTCCGGGCCAAGAAAGTGGTCATGTGATCTCTCCACCTGCCTTGAGCAGGGTTCCTCTGCCAGAGGCCTATCAACCTTTCCCTCCTCCACCAATCCGTAAACATCCACACCACCATTTTCCTCTGGAAGGCTGCGTAGACGTATTCCAAGATCATTTTCACTCACTTTTTTTTCTATTACAATTTTTTTTTTTTTTTCAAGCACCGACAGCATCGCAGATGTATTTTTGGAGCTTTCCTCCAAAAGCGTAGCCCTCAGTGAGATCTCGGGCTTTCATTTGAGGCCCGTCAAAATGAATGTTCTTGGTTTTGCGTGGACGTATCCGTGCGCTGGCGGAGAGGCTCTGGGATGAGGTTTTGTCCTTTGAGGCAGGGTTAGATGATGATGGATCGGACACAGCTCTGACCCGAGCCCGGAAGAGATCGGTGGGTTGTGTGAAGATCAGCAGACAAATGTTTTCCGCAGCTCCTGGTAACAGATGGAGAAATAAAATGCAAGGAGTGTTTGTCTGCTGCTGTGGCTGGGCTTTTGTATTTTTTTTTATGCATTTTGGGGAGTAAGCAGATGGCTGTGGGCAACATTCCCATTGTAAGCGCGTGTGTGTGTGTGTGGTTACATGGGCACAGCACTGTTCATAAGCAGGATCTATGTGGACCATGTCTGTCAGACATGGTCCACACAAACACTCACCTCCCCCCCTCTACAGATAGTTTGTCACAGGCAGGGCAAGGGCAAGCGTAAGTGGTACTCTACATTACCACCGCCGCATCCATCACGACTTCACATCAAAATCGCTGTGACAAACTGCCCCAGAAGCCAGCATTATTTCTGGACGTACAGTGCTGCTGCATATTTGAGGACCGGCAGCTATTTAGAGGTTTGCAAGATAAGGGGAATACTTCTGAGCGAGGAACATTTTGTCTTCCATCACTCTCAAAGGGTTGAGGATGAAGCCAGGTGGTATTGAAAAGGGCTTGTGCTTGGGTTTGGGGTGAGGTTATGATGTTTGGGGGAAAAAGGTTTCCATGAGACAGCTCATTAAAGATTGTGAGGATTTGAAATGTAATCAGCAACGCATTTCTGTGAAAACATCTGTTGAGAAGTCCGTTTCCCCACCGATACTAATTACTTTAGGCTGCTAAAATCCAACAAGGTTGAGAGAAAGTTCAGTTAAAGCAAACAAGGACAGGATGACTCAGTATTAAAGTATCCTGAGCTAATCATCATCAGAGTGGACTAGATACAAAACACTGAAGCAATAGTTTGACATTTTGGGAAATAATACTTTTATGCTTTCTGGTGGTTAGATGAGAAGGTTGATCTCTTGTGTTGCTATCGATGTTATCTCTAGCTTTATCTTTAACATACATATGAAAGTTTTATCAATCTTCTGATCAAACTATTCCAAAAAGCAAATAAGTATACATCCCAAAATGTTGAACTATTACTTTAAGATCCAGTTTGATTTAAATATTCTTTTGCAAACAGTAAATACTTTTACTTACATTGAAAATATATTGATTGAATGTGACTATTATACATATTCATAAAAGGAGCATTTTTAAAATATATGTAAATAAAGTTGGAAAAGAAAATGTGTAACAAAGTCTGACAGGTTTTATTTTCTCTCATAAATAACACTGAACAAGCATAGTACAGCGATAAATATCAATATTTATACACTGTCAAATTCTCTGTATTACAAAATACAGTATATGTGTAATGCACTTGATACAGATGGGAAGTATTGCATTTCATAGCACCAAACGAGACCCTTAACGTGACCCTTTAAGTTCATGATATCACATTTTACTCCTTAACAGTCCAGTTGTGTGTGCAGTTACATCCCAGATTCAGGTCTTGTGTGGATGTCTATGAAATATACTTCCCTTAGGAATCAGTTGTTGCATAACTATATCTAAGTTAAATAGAGCCCACCTAGGAGGAACCAAAGCCGTTACTGTAAAACTGCTCATCTTCACACAATGTCAAGTTTTCAAAATCCCAGTTGACAGACTAAAATATTATGAAACGTGACCATAGTGGTCGGTCAAGTTCCATGTACTTGGTTTTTGTATTACACATGGTATAATGTCCACTTCTGAGCAGAACAGCTTCATCAAATCACACTTTGTTTGGAGGGCAGAGACACTTCCTAATAAATATCCCTGCTGTCAAGTGAAAGCTTTGTGTATTTACAGAAAAACTCATTTCCATTCCTTTAATAAAATGAGAAACAGAGTTGTGAGTAGATTCTATAAACCTCGCAGCCATAAAAGGTTCTCACCTCCCTCGACGTAAACTTTCAATTCAAGTAGAAAACTGGAAAATGCGACTGCGTTGGATTCAGAAGATTTTCATGCGACGGGTTCATCGCTTAACTTTAATAAGCGATGAGCAGGTTTTAGGGACTCTCCAAAGAAGGTGCAACAGATCTGAACAAGCTGTTCTGATCACGGTTTCGTTGCATTTCTTCCACATGATTGGCAGCTCAGTAATGTCCGTCAGAGGCAGCGGGAGGTAATAGGCAGGTTGAACACTGAAACATAAACCTGGGAATATTAATACTCGACCTTACGGAGGAACACGGATCAACTAAAAACTCAAATGCAGTTTCAAGAGACACACACACAGATGTTAAAGAGAAGAGATCTTTAACAGCTATTCCCAACAGATCGTACTGGTAGGACTTCTATCATGTTTTTTTTGCTTTTGACTTTCAAACATTATTGCTGGATCTGGACATGATGAGGCCATTTCAACCAACATTTAGCATGAAAATAACTTGACAGCTTTTAAGAGGACTGACAGCATGGAATGTGTCGGGCAAACATTAAATCTGGCTTTAAAGAAAGAAAGACAAAGAAAACACAATAGTACGAAAATTAAAAAACTGTTTTGCCAGCATTACAAATATAGGGATATAGATCAATATTTCATATAGGAGCCCTTATAATTCCTCATCCAGACTTTGTCTGAGGAGCAGCATCACAATAATTCATGTAAAAATAAAAAAATATTATCACATTCATCACTTAGTGTCCATGTTGTGTTTGATTGTCGGCTTCTGAGACACATCACTGTCAACCTTTGACCAACCAAACCCCCGACCAAAGTTTATCTTCTCCGTATGAAACATCTGTTTGAAGTGGACGATGTCAGAGAACCTACAGCATGACCGCTTTGTTGCATTAACAGCCGAAACACAAAAGTTGTTCACAGATCGTTTCTATAATTACCAGCATTATTAAGTAGTAAAATAAAGGAGAAGTCACGTGTAGCCTCAGCTCAGGTGGGGCCAGAGTCACAGCGTCTGATAAGCTTTTATCAAATTATGGCACGTAAAAAACAACAGCCTCTTTATCTCATCGCTTACTCGTCTATCATGCAAGTGACCCTTCAAATAAACAGACTCAGGTTAGTGTGATTTTGATGCATGAGCGCATTTCGGATTAGTTTGGTTTCAGCACTGAAATAGGACGTTCGTGCCATTTTGTCACCGTTTTTTGATGCATTGCACAGAATTGTCAAAACTACCGTCTTGAGCAAAACCTATGTGATAATCCAAAGGAATAATCTCACAGCCAAATAAAATGTTGAAACAAAACGAACGTAAAATCACATCAAAATGAATTATAAACATTGAGAGGAAAGCCTGACATCTGGGGTTTGAGCTCAGCGTGGTAATCTCTCCGTAGCAGAACATGTGGCCGTGCTACCGAGGAGCCGATCGCACCGCACTCAAACTCTCCTGGCAGAAACATTCCTGAGTTTCCTGCTGTGACATGAGCTCTCCTCCCCTCGGATGCTTTTATCAAAACTGCAGAAACGCCAAAATGATCTCTGGGCAGAAGAGGCCAAGTTCAGCTGATGTGGTCGTAAGCCAGCAGACATCACACGGTAACGCTCGATGACAGCCCCAGCCTCCCCCCCGCCTCCTCTCTCTCTCTCTCCATAGTCCAAAAATATTAATAAGGCCCTTATTATCTGTAGTGTGAATAAGCTGTGGATGAATAAAACAAATCAGATGTGGTATGAAAGAAAAGGTGCATAGGTTGGCATTCTTTTGACACTGAAATGGAAAAACAATTCCTTGGTTCTGTAGAAAGCTCCAGATTGCACATTCATAGTGTTAGCAGGCAGTTAATGCCTAGCTATTGTTTTTAATGACTCACTTACTCACTCGGCCACTAATACCTCTAAACATCATTTCATTGACATCTCTTGTAAGAATAGGCTAAGAAGTACCTTAATCAAAGGAAAACAAGATGACGTAACGCAAACCTACTTCCATCAGCACCGTTTCTTCAAAAGGTGACGGTCCCACACGTCTAAATCACCGTACCTACAAAAGACGCACGCTGTCGTGGTTTTCACACGAGGGTGGCCAGAGTAGGTTGTTGGAAAACTACAAACCACGCCACCAACACATTTCAGACAGCGTCTAAACTCAGCAGGTTACCTTAATTTCTTCAGTGTTTGCAAGTCTTGCGAGCTTACTGTTCGCGTTCACACGACATTAATGCAGTTCCCGCTGCCTGCCGTCGCCCTCTTGCTGCAGTAGGTGAAGCCGCTGTGATTGGTGGAGGAGCCATTCATGTGTGACGACTTCAGCTCCATCTGACAGGCGGCGATGGCTGCGTTGAGCTCTACCTGTGCCCGGTGCACAACATAGAACATTAGGCCGATGCTGATGACGATCTGCAGGAGGACAGAGGAGGAAGTCACGACCCACATGGCAGTCGTTTCCATTAACCAGAGTTTTTGTTATAAACATTGTTGATATTTTGTTTGTTTCTGTATTTGTCATTGAATAAATACATGTTTGTATGTATGATGCGTGTCCTGTATGCGAGGACTGGGCTCCTGTAGATGGAGTTTCCCCACCACCAGTGTTAGAAAAGGCTTTTGCGTGATTAAGACCAGTTGTCAATTTGGAGCAACAGCTTTCCGTTCCGCATAAGACACCGATACCTAGTTAATCTTAAGCCGACTCTTGACCTCCGACCCCTGTGAACTTGTCAGATGTCGCAGTAAGAAACAGCCCATGATGCCTCAGCAGTTGTGGAGGTTTAAATGAAGCTTGAACAGGTGTTGGAGATGTGGGGACAGCTTCAAATGACCTTTGGTGAGCTGAACAGAAGTGTGGGCATATTTTGCATATCTACATCGGGCTTAGTATTCCTCTAGACGTTTACATAACTTAAGACTTAAGGGAGCAGCAGATGTCAATGCTTGTGCACTAGGATAAGGCTCGACCAGCATGGTAGACGATGTGTATTTTTTTTAAAAACTGCTCGAACTGCTAAACATGTCACTAACTTTGAGGGACTCTCTACTAAACACTGACTTTTAAAGACCAAATCTAGGGTTGTTCCGGGACATTTAGAAGGTAGTATCTCCAGATTTGATGCATTATCAGCATCAGCTCACCTGCAGGCTGAACACAAAGTAGCCGCTGACGCTCTGCTCAGCAATAACGTCCTCCATGGTGCGAAGCGTGGTGCCCAGGTAGGAGTTGAGAAGCTGAGTGGGCAACAAACCCACAGAGGAGGCCACCAGGTAGTTTGGCAAGGACACGTCTGTGATCTTAAAAAGAAGAAACATCTTTAAAAAAAAAAAAGCATATTAGCACAAAATAAGTATCTCTATGCATTCGTATGACGAGGGTTGAAGTTCTAAAGCATTTCCTGAACCGTTTCAGATGAAAGAAATGATTCATTTGCTTGTGGAGTCAAAGTCCTCGCCGCACCTTGTTGAATATGTTTAGGTTTTTCTTTCAACAATGAGAAATAACAAAAGATAGAAATGATATTTTAGAACTTAAACTTGATATTCAAAGAGCTAAAGCTAAAAGACTAACTCACTGTTTTGTACGTTTAAATTTGTTGATAATATCTGAGATGAGAAAAGTTTAAACACGAGTCAAAAGATTTGAAGATTAAAAAACATGGAAACCAGAACACAGATGGATATCTGAACCAAACACCGTTTGATTCAAATTGCAGCCATTTTCCACCAACCTGCTATTTAACACACACACAACACGTTTTTACTAAGGGTGTAAATCATTTGTGTATTAAAATTTTTTTTTTTTAAAAAACGACCACAGCGCCGATGTCATTTTAGGGAAAAGCTGATGCAAGTGTATTCATATTGAGACACACAAAAACAAATCTCAAAGTACAAGCCCTATCTTTTATTTGTTTATCTTGTGTATTTTCCTTGAACTACGACATATCTCAGTGCAACCATCTGAACATAACCACGGGGCTGCGTAGCCGTCACATCGATGCAGCGATGACATAAGCCAACATGCGAGGATGTGACCTTGGCACTGTGACAGATAGCGGTGTGTCAGGGTCCGTGGTGTGTCGCTGCATGACGCCGCCTGGGCCAAAATGCTTTTATTCTCGATCCGGCCCCAAAAGTGTCTCTTCGCTTTGTTGAATCCTAAAACCCTCTCCCGTTATCACACGAGCCTGGATTACAATTCACAGGACGCCGAGGTGATCAAAGGCCGGTTCATCAACCTCGTGACATAAAACCGTTCGTCCGCCCCCTGCGTCGACACAATCAAAACACCTTCAGGTGATCTCAGCGAAATGACATGTGAGCTGCAGAAGAAGAAAAGCAGAAAGGCATTCTCTGTCTCTCAGCCATCAATCTCCAGTAGTGACACAGACACCCTTTGAAGTCTCTTCCCACCCAGGCATCCAGCGTATGCAGCTGCATTACATGGGACCAGGGAAGGGCTCGGCAGTATTTTCATAACCATGCGGAGAATTCCAACTGAACCTCTTACTCATTTGTGCAAACCTGTGGATCAAGATAATCTGCAAATTCAAGTGAAAAAACACCACACCCCAGACCTGATTTATTCAGAGCAGCGGCGATGCAGGTCTGAGTTTGTGCTCGTAAACAAAATAGGAAGTAGTGTCTTGAATGCATAGTCAATTTCAGGATTGCTACTGTGATGTCGTTTCCCCTTTTTTATGTGGACTTTATGCGTAACTAATGGCTGCATACACATGTTTGTCTGTAGTTAGATTTCCTTATCAGCTCATCATGACGGCAGAGGAATGGAGTCAGGCCAGTGAGCAGTGATACAATGTTATAAAATACATTTAGGGATCTGAATATATCTCCACTCTGCCCACTAAAGGATTCGCAAACATTGTTCCTGAGCTGTCCCATTGTTTTGCTAACCACTGCAGTCTTGGTGTCGTTTTAGGTTACCCGCTATAATGTAGCACCATCCACTTCAGCGGAAAGAATCAGGGGGGGGGGGGGGGTGAAATGTAGCCGCATCCACAGAAAGTGCTTACCAAGGGCAGAGCGGACGACACATAACTCCACCGTGAGCCAGCTCGGGACTAGAATTACCCACCCGCGGTTTGTTCCACCTTTTATTGTGGAGAATGAGGTGCAACATAAAGACACAACTTCAGCTAGGCTTGATAACGAGCTGGGGTTGAAACCCATGCAGGCCGGGACGTGAACACGTAGCAGAGGAGGGAGTCAAACGGGGGGGTTTAATCTTATTGGCCCGCTTCTGTCACGACCGGCTGAACTCCCCACTGAAGGCTCCTCTCTGACCTTCACTTCTCCAGCAGGAAAGAAGAAGAAAACAAAGTTTCACACTGAGGTTTGTGTGTGAGGAGTCAACGGCTTGACTTTTGTATTTTCTGCAGTCCAACTGGCCTTGAATGTTTACATGTTAAACCTGCAATAATAAAAGCATCACTTTCTAATTTGTCGTTAAACTTGTTCGCAAACATTTGCTTATTTACACTTCCAGCAGTTACGGAGCAGCTACGACACTCTTGTGGTGTTTCTGGACACCTGGCGAGTCGAACACCGGCTCTCTTATTTCTGGCACTGTAGCTTCTAAATACTCGATGCTGTGAGAGCGATGAGAGTAAACGAAATGAGGCCAAACCTTTGCCCAGAATGCAGGTGCATTAGTAAAAAAAAAAAAAATAATAATATCTATAAATATGTAAACCTAAAATGTGTCAAAGGGAGCAATCTCAAAAGTCATCGCAATGAGTCAAACACAGTCAGGCTGCATTTTCAAACACAAACAGCCGTCATAAATTTAATCTAACCAACGGGAATATAACACATACGAGCTGGCACACAACCAAACATGACCCACTTTTCTGGCAGCCGTCCTTTCTCATAAGTGTTTGTCTGCTTTGTAGAAAATGACCCAGAGCGAGCAGAAGCAAAAAATAGTATTTTACAAGGCTGTCAATTAGCCGGCCTCTTAAAATGACGCTGGCAAACTGGTCGTGGAGCAGCAATAATACCGGTGACTGTGGTAGTCGCTGGTCAACACAGTGTAAACAGTCCCTTTGACTTTGACACCTCGTTTCCACCTCTGCAGAGTGGAACAGTAAGTTCCCTGTTGTGACTACGGTTAAAGCTACATCCAGGATCCTTGCACAATTCAGACTCTGCAAACTTTGCACAGAGCACGATGTTCCAGCCACGGAGCCCGGAGTACGAGGAGGACAAACAGAAGCTGTTTAAGTCAGTCAGGCAAAACAAAACCACCTGCTGGAAACCTGGTGTACAGGTGAACTGCTGACCATAGCCTGGGCCAAATACAGAAGAATCATTAAGTTTTAACTTTGCAAACTTTTAGCCGAGAGCTCGAATCCTAAATTCTCTTCACAGCAGTATCTCCAGTGTCCCTCTCACACACCGGCCTGAAAAACAACTTGTGGAAGAATAATCTTCTTAAATTCTCAATTTTAAAACGTCAACACCTTAACAATGGAAGATTGCACTCATTCAAATGAACTAAAAAAAATAAATGATTCCTGGGATTATCTCCACTCCCTGTTGCCTGATGACTACTTTCACTTATCTGAAGGTGTTGTCTGAGTCATAAATATTGAGCAACTTGCTCCAGTGTCCACCGTCTAGAGCTACCACCGAATAATCAATTCATAGATTATCTCATCTCAATTGGCAACTATTTTAACAATCGATTGATGCTTTCGTTTGTCAGAGGCGATACTAAATTGAATATCTTTTGAACCGTTTGTCGAATACAACAATACATCTGAATACATCTCCATGAGCTGTGGGAAATAACAGGATTTTGTTTTAAGACAAAAATTACTGATCGAGATGAATCGATAGCCCTACAACTAACGTGTAGCAGGGCTCTTAAGCCGTTCGTTTGTACAATACCATTTAATCATGATTTGGAAAAGTAAATCATGATTAAACAGATGAACACATTGTTCTCTTTAGTTAGAGTAAGGCATCAAAACTCTTATCTAATCTGCTCTCCACCGCTGCAATAACACCGAATCCATTTCCCCCGAAATAATTACTGCACTTGTGAAACATTTCTCATTTCTGTCAACAGAGAGGTGTGATGTATCGACTCAACTACAGTAATTTAGGAGGCTGTGGGGGCATTACGGTTCACTTTGAACAAAGTTTCTGATATTTTGCACCCCTATGCATGTAAATAGGGGAAGACAACGCATTAAAAACAGCTTTTTAACTATAGCCACAAAATCTAGCAGAGATGAGCTCCGACAGAGTCAAAGATATTTTGAATGAGTTGCATAAAGTGAGTGTTTATTGTAGGGTGGTTATGAGCTGTCAAAAGCCAAACACCCGAGACACGTCTCAGTAAATCAGTCACTCCAGAAAACGTACCGGTTCTGTAACGTGCAATAACTGCGCTTGTGAATCTCACTTACGTCATCTTCACTTCCTTCTCCGGCCTCAGGCCTGCGCATCAACTCCTTCATGCTCTTAGCTATGAATGCCTTTCACGCGGCCCTCTTCGCCTTCACTCCTGGATGTTTGTGCTGCTGTTGGTTTCTGCCTTCAACACTATTCTGATTCTCTTCTTGACAGATGTGTTTTTTTCCATAAACACAGTGCAATATTCAAAACAGCTGAAGTTAAGGGGAATAGAAATGTCACTATTCACTTACACTATGAACTCAGCTGCTTTCTGCCGTGTTCATAGTTATGAACAAGATGTTGTTTGAGTAGCATGAATTCAAATTTAACTGAAGTTATATTTGAGTAATTCTAAAGTAATACACTGGTTGAGAGTAAATTTGACTAGCCTCATATTTCAACTCAGAGACTATGTGCTTGCATATTGACAAAAAAAAAAAAACAACAACTGCACGCAGAATCTGAAATCGTCACAGCCGGATCTTCTGTCAGATCGAAACGTTCGTTTTGTACGGATGTATATAACGCCGTGCACATTAACAAACTGTAACTCTGCACGACTTGCTTTATCATAGGATACAATCTGGCAACCACATGAAACACAAGTTCCTGTTGTGCAAAACTATCGCTTTGAAGTTTTGACTATTTAAGCTACACTTTCTTCACTATTTGCAGCCTCGGGAGACTTAGGCTCATATAGTCTCGTAAGACAATTAGGCTATGTGAAGGGATTCAATCTGAAAATGAGACACAAGTGAGAGATCCAGATGTGAGAGAGAGTATGATCTGGTGAGAGACGGTGGTTGGTGCTAGTTTGCAGCAGTATGGCTTGAAATTCTCTGGAGATCGAAGCCTGAAGGGCTTCATAAAACAGAGTTCACCCTCAGGTTGGTATTCTTCATTAATCATTAAATTACAGCGCAGCGCGCATAACATGTTTCATGTTGCACGACCTCCCCGCTGATTTCCAACAATACAGTAACACATCCCCTCATAGCATTCACCATTTGGAAGGTATCAATGAGTGGACTGAGACGGGTTATCACCAATAATGAATTATTCATGCCATGTATGAAGGTCAAGGGCCTGAGGTAAAGTGTAGGAGTGCAGCTTGAAGCAAATATCCTGATGCTGCTCAGCTTCATAATGTAGGTCACACGGTGTGTTTGTTGCCTTGACCGATGACGTCAGATTTACCTGACAGGAGAGAAAATGATTTATTCTACATTACGTTAACATCACCAGATCATTATCGAGTTCAGAAAAAAAAACATTGCTCCACCTATGAAAACCCAAACTAGGACTTTAAATGTGATACTGATAAAATAATTGATGTCCTGAGGCAAGAATAGAATTCATTTCCTCTATCTACAAGAGGAATTTCCTTCCTCTGGGGACTGGCCTCATATTTTCTTTCCTGCTATTAAGACTGTGGTCTGCCTTGAATAGGGAAGTAGCAGGTCACTTGCGATTTCTCCTTGTGGTAGATTGGCCGAGCAATAAGAGAAGCATTTACTTCTTTAAAAAGGTCACAGGTTTGGTTCTTATGACTGCAATGATTTGTTGAACAGTTCTCCGGTCCGTTAACGAGCTCTCCTCCTGGCTGGTTCTATGCAGCGACCTTTCTGCTTAAACCCCAATGAGTGTACAACGGACACTATATGACCGTCTGATGGTGCTTCTAACCTGAAAAGGAAAAGCTGGCAATAGTGTTTTCATACTCACCGAGAAAACTGCATTTTGGAGCCCAAATGGTATGGGGGTGAGTCTCGCTAAGGCCACAACTTTGAGTCCACTTCCTCCCTCCACCACTCGAATGATAGCACCGAGCTGCTCACTGTTCCCAACCTTGTTCAGCACCCACTCAGTCAATAGGCGTTTGCATACCAGGTGTGCCACAAAGGTCCCGATTAAAACTCCCACCATAACTAGTCCCATGCCCAGCACAAAGCCGTAGAGGTAGCCAGCTGCCACATTAAGAACAATGTATCCCCATCCACAGGGGAACGACACGATAATCAAACCGACTATGAACAGCAAGGCTCCGACGAGGCTGTCCAAGCTCTCCACCCAGAGCAGGAGGTCCTTGAGGTATTGCCGAACCAGTGCAACCGAGGAGAAGCACACAGCGGTCAGGATGCACGCCAGCAGGGCACTCTTGAAGCAAAAGGTGGTGATGCAGCATGGGTGTCTGAACTCTCCACTGCTGCTGAAGGACATTCCTCCCGTGTCACTGATAACCTCGGGGTCTCCATCTGACTTCCCTGTGCCGGCCCCTGTCTCCTCAAAGGCGCTGCATATCAGGATGTCAATCTTGTCACAGTCATCTGTGGCGGTCTTCTGCAGCCAGCGGTTCAGCTGGATCTGCGCCTTACCCACTGCATGCTTGACAAGCTTGGTGAACAGCTGCACAGTCGTGGGCCCTGACATTGACATGTTGGCCCCCTAAATTACGCTCTGGGGTGGGGGGGGGACCCAACAGAGAGGCTCAGATGAGCTGTCCGGTCTGGAGACAGCTGTGACGTTTGAGGGTTCCAGGCAGAGTCTTTTTAAATCCAGCGCAAGTCCATGTCGAGCAATATCAATGCGTGGAGCTTCAACAGAGACATGTGTCCATGCACTTCACGAGAGCGACCGTGTGGTGAGACATACAGATGAAACACGTCACTCTCCTTGGCCATTACATGAATTGTCCAACGTAACGGTGTTTATCTTGGGTACACTAGCTGGACGACGTGCCAGTCCAAACACTTAAAAGTGCCCGTTTCGTGGTCTCTGTGTGAAACACTCGCCATGTTCAGAGCTGCAGCCCCTCAGCTCAGGACAGAGTGGAGTCACTGGACGAATGGAGCAGCGCAGCTGCGCGTAAACAACCCGCTTCTTCTTTGGACTTTGGTCGGGAAGTGGTGCAAGAACATCAAGTTGTATGACTCCTCCCGCTAATAACGTTAACGCACCAGCACAAATCAATGCACGGTAAACTTACTGCTGTGGTTAGCTAGATGTGGTTAGCTCGCAGCGTTAATAAAGTCCACCGTTGCATTTCAGAGACGAACCCGCCGCTAGCCTCCTCCTCGTGCGCTGCTCTCGTACAACACAGCGACGAATAAAACGCAGAAGAAGGAAACAGTTTACTGGTGGCTGGCTGGTGCTGTTTCTCTCGTCGTCTTCCTCGCACACTAGAAACTGCGGCTGTTGAAGCTATTCATAACACCACTGTTTGTGTCCCAGAATGCCAAGTGATCCCTGCACCACGTGACCAACCCCGTTTGACTTCCACATCCAATCAGAGTGCTCCGTTTATCATCGCGAGATTTTCGCGGGGTTTTTTACGACCAAATTGTGGTTGTTTTGGATCAATTATCAATTATGGTTGGTTTCTGCTGACAGCCACTGTTACCACACATGCAGAACAAACTGCTATCATTTAGATTCTATTATTTTAATAAATAGGGCATTCAAAAAATCCAACCACACATGCAGCTTCAAACATGAGAAGCAGTTTATCAATTAGGAAGCAGCAGTGTAGGCAAGGCAAGTTTATTTGTATAGCACATTTCAACAACAAGGTCATTTAAAGTGCTTCACATAAAACCATTAAAAACATCAAAACATAAGGCAAAATAAAAGCAGATTTAAAAACAGGAGCATTGATTAAAACATTAAAAACAGTCATTAAAACACAAAAAAGCAGTGTAAGAAATCAAATACAGCAGTATAGTAAAATGCAGAAATTGATTAATATCCTTGAATCTGGTTCAATGAAAGGCAGCAGCAAACAGAAAAGTCTTCAGTCTTTATTTAAAGGAGCTGAGGGTCTCAGCAGACCTGCAGCTTTCTGGGACTTTGTTCCAGATATGTGGAGCAGAAGAACTGAACGCTGCTTCTCCATGTTTAGTTCTGACTTTGGGAACAGAAAGTTGACCGGTCCCAGACGACGACGTGTAAGATCTTTTACCTATTTATTAAAGTAGCAATACCACAATATACAATTATGCTTCGTACACCGATCCGTCAACATGGATTTTGATATAGCTTATTGTGATTGATTTGTCATGCTGGTTTACCCTTAAAGCATCACATTTTATAAAAGTATCATTTTATTCTTAATCTGAAAATGTTACTCGTGAGATAAAGGTATTAAAAAGTAAAGTAAAGAAATGCAGGCTACATATTTACTTTAACTGTTAGGAAGGATATATGTTTGTAAACTATGCTGATAATTAGCAGTCTTGTAAGATGTACACACATTCTTTACCCGGGTAAAAGTAACACCACAATGTCCAAATACTCCATTACAAGTAAAAGTCTTGCAGTTTTACTTAAGTAAAGGGATGAATAAAATGTACTTAGTCTAACAAAAGCACACATTATATATAATCACTATATTTCAAATTATTGGATTATAGTAACAAGTCAACATGTAGGCAGCATTGTAGTTTTGGAGGTGGATGAGATGAAGTTAATGTTAGTGCAGGCTACTGTTGGGTTGTTACATATTAATCAATAGGCTACTGTTGATCAGCTGAACCATATGTGAAATAAAGAAATACAGTATATACTGTTCTAAAATATAGTAAAGCAGAAGTATAAAATAGCACAAAATAGAAGTACAAAGTAAAGTGGCATCTCAGAAGTCTAGGCTTCTTAAGAACAGTACTTTGTAATGTAGGCCTACTTCTTGTATGTATAATCATTTATGGAAATCATATCACACTCGTAAAATTTAATTCATACATTTTTTATTTTAAAAAAGCAGGATTTCTAGTACGCAATAGAGTGTGAATTTATTCTCATGTATTTCTGAGAGCATACAGTATAATATAGTAGCCTGAGGGGATTTCCCTTGCTTGGCATGCTCAAAATAAATTCATAATGAGAGGAGTGAAGCAGACAATATGTGCATTCATGCATCTACCACCTCTCACTGCCTGGCTCTCCCAGCTGTGGATAAATGAAGTTATTTTGTAGTAGTCCTCAAAGAACTTTCTGTCGCCTCCACTTTCTTCTTAGCTTTCATTTTGAATTCATACGTGGATAGACATTAAATGCTTCACATTCACAGATGCCTGTAGTTAGTTTGTCAATTTAGTGAGATCGACTGCTGTGCTGTTGTAGCCTAACACTAACACTCCACTAGATGGAACTGTTACACAATTTTACAACCAAACCAACTACCCTATGGGGTTTATTTATGAGTTGGATTATTGCACTATTGCGGGAAAATTTACCAGGTTTTATTGTTTCACAAGTAAAGCTTTTGTTCGTTCCTTTTGTGTTTCTCACTAAAGTGTATTATTCTAATTCACTCTTCCACATCGATGAAGGTTTTGCAAAAATATATTTGTAATGCTTTTTATGGGGCTGTAAATGTTACAACTTGATCAAATAAATCAATACGAAAATAAATAAGGTGCAACTAAGTGCCATATCAACTAAAATCCAACCAGGTGAACTTTCAGGAGCAGCACGTGTAAATTTGGAAACCCATAGAGCAAGCATGTCCAAAGTCCGGCACGCGGGCCAATCACGGCCCGAGGTCAGATTCTATATGGCCCGCACCTTCTGTCTTAAAATGCGTTATTTATGGCCCGCCAGCACAGTCAAACCGGAATGAATAAATCATACAAATTCAACATGCAATTCCTCTTTTTACCTCATGGTGGCAGCACCACTCTGTAACTGTCTGGCTGTTTGAAATTGGCTCTGACCCTTGAACTGTCATGGCTACGTCAAGTAAAAAAAGGAAAGTCGATAATGAGGGCCGCCGCTTCCAGGAGAGGTGGAGATCGCAATATTTTTTTCACCGAAAACCGAAACAACTGTGTCTGCCTAATTAGTCATGAGACTGTTGCCTTGTTTAAGGAATATAATGTAAAGAGACACTACGAGACCAAACATGCTAATGCTACAACAAGCTATCAGAGCGACCGTGCTAGAAAAGTGAAGCAACTCCAAGATAACTTGGCCACACAGCAGCGGTCCTTTTCACATGAAAACATCATCAAAGTAAGCTACCAAGTGGCCATGCTAACTGCTAAACATGACAAACCTTTTACGGAAGGTGAGTTTATCAAAGACTGTTATGAAAATAGCAGAAAACACAATTGCCCCGAGAAGAAGACAGAGTTTGCTAATGTTTGCCTGGCTCGTAACACTGAAGAGCTATCATCAGATACTAAGAGACAACTTGATGTTTTTCGTTAGCCTGTTTCATGTGTGTTGAACTTAAATGTGAGACAACTTTTCATTACCCTCTCTAAGTCATATTTAAGATTGTCTTGAGGTGAGAACATTGATCGGTTTCTATGTAATTAGCTTTTAGATGGCTTGTTCTTTGTGTTATCTGACTTTCAAGATGTGAAAGAAAGGCAGAATAGTTGTTGAGATGTGTTTACACATGAATGCTTACATTTGGTTACATTGCTATTTGCTGTCATTGAAAATAAAATGATTAAATAACAATGTATGTATAGGCTACTTGTATTGTTTATAATAATGTCAGCAGGGACTGTTGACCCTTGGGCATTTTCACATCAAATCTGGCCCTCTTTGAAAAAAGTTTGGACACCCCTGTGGTAAAATAACACTGTCAGGAAGTAAAGTGACTTTTTTATCAACCTGACAAAATTACGTTCTTGTGGGAAGAAAAGAAAAGAAAAGGCAACACTGTAACTTCTTTACATTCTAATAGAATGTAAAGAAGTTACATTGTATCAGAATGTAGCTTCTTTACATTCTATTAGAATGTAAAGAAGTTATATTGTATCAGAATGTAGCTTCTTTACATTCTAATAGAATGTAAAGAAGCTACAGTGTATAGAATGATTCTATTGAAGTTATTCCTTTTTAAATGTTTTAGATGAGTCACTAATCACTTTAAAATAGTGATTATAGCTGCTTACATTTGGTTACATTGCTATTTGCTGTCATTGAAAATAAAATGATGAAATAACAATGTATGTATAGGCTACTTGTATTGTTTAAAATAATGTCAGCAGGGATTGTTGGCCCTTGGGCATTTTCACATTATCAAATCTGGCCCTCTTTGAAAAAAGTTTGGACACCCCTGCCATAGAGCTACAGTTAGTTCTTATCTTTTTATTTAAAAAGATGTCAAACATTGTTGCTGTATCACATGATTTTATATGACTACCGTGGGGAGAAATGTCACAGGCGACTCTTTAATTCGAGCTGAAATTAAGTTTTTCCTGGCCTGCCTTTGTATCTTTTAACAAAAGCTTCTATACCTCTATATCAAGCATTCTTTTCTGGGCACTACATGCTATTTGTGCTTCTCATTTGGCTGTAGCCACAGTACACATATCAACTGACAACAGCGATGTTATGTCATAGTAGACAAATGCTATTTTTCAATGATCTGTCAGTGGAAGGTAATTATCCTGTGCACCACAATGTTATAATGCCAAACAGTTTGTATTTGATTGACACTTTACTTGCTCCAACGGAGATACAGGTTTGGACTCATCACAGCAGCTGAGGCAAGTACCGCGCTGTCAAGACCTACAGAGACAGCCAGTACATGGCAGGAAGTGTCGTGTTTAGCTTTCAAAATAAAAGCACAAAGATTCAGCCAAGTGTCGGTGTGTGCAGGAGCAATGCAAAGAATAACCTCAAAAGTAACCACAGAGTAATTTCGATCACATTTGGCTACTTTTCTAGCTACTTTTTTCATTGCATTTCACGGAGCAATCGTTGGATTATGAAACTTTAATCCGGAAGTTATGTGCTTTATTCCGGTTGACTTGACTGCATCAGAGCTCTGGACCGCGTTAAAAGCAGTCGCTCTTTCTGACCATTGGCTTTGATCAGATAAGAGGTTCAAGCGGACACATTTACAGTTTACAACTGAAGCTACATTTTGAAAGATGGATTGTTCAGAGGAGGTTCAGTCTGTGTCCGAGGAGCCCAGAGCTCAAATGGAGATTAAAAAAGGAATGTCGATTTTCATAGATGTAAGTACTGTAAAACATTTTTTTAATCATTGCTTTTTTGAAAAAAATAAAAATGTATTTCATCTCCACTATTATTGCAAAAACTTGAGCATAATGCATTTTATTTTTTACAAATTATCTCGATAATAAAAGGAAAACAGCTATCATGCTTCCCAGATGTTCTTATTGTTTGATTTTTTTTTTATTGCATTTGAAGAAATAGATGCATTTTACTTTTTATATCTATGTTTCAGTGATATTATTGGTTGTAGGTTAGAAGAATTTGGACCAAAGTTAATGGGTCCCCAAATGCATGCAGGGTACAGCGGGTTCCTTTTTATAGAATGAATACATTTGACAAGGCTGACCTTTAATTTGGCTTCACGATGTCAGGATTTCAAAGGCTTGAAATCCATTTTTATGTCAGTGTTCAAAACCAAATACCAAGTTAATGAAATGTTAGAAGTCTTCTTGGTTTGACAAAAAGTCAGGGTGTTATTGAGAAACCATAGCTGAATTAGACAACATATAATATTGATATACAGAACTTTTTGAATCTAAAAATGTTTTTTAAAGTGTTGAAGAATTCCATAAGAATTCCAAACACTAGTAGATCTCCCTTAGATGATAATAATAAGAATATTAAATAAGATATATGAATATCAGTAATGATCTTCCTGTAGTGCTTTGCCTCCCCTGTATCACGGCACTCACGGCATTCTGCCTCGGCACCACATAATTATATGCCTCCCCATTCCTCCACTCTTTCATTCGCTTGTGATGTCTTAGCGATAAACCTGTTGGCTGCCTTCACTGTTTGACAGAGACAGGGTAGGATGCACCCATGGGAACCAAGAGTTATGAAAGGTGGAATTTGCCGTATAACATCAAATCAGTCACTGATGTTGAACAGGTGCTCTGCAGGGAATGAAACCTCTGCTTGTCATCGAGTTGGCTGTCAGAGTGTATGCTTCTGTTGTTTCCAGACATAGATTTTGCCTTAGCTGGGTGTGAGTCATTAAAACACGCTGACTCCAAACAGTTGTTTCAGCCTGGAGCAGGTTAGATGTGATGTGTCTCCATGTGTGTTTTTCTTTATGATTTTGATGCTGCTGTGGTGCCAGATTTCCACTGAAGGAAAAAAGGACCATCACACCTCAGAATTTATTCATTTTAATCATTAGATGTAAAAGATAACTTGAAGAAATGAGATGACATGAGATGGCGAGATGAGATGACATGACATGAGATGAGATGACACAAGATGAGATGACATGAGATGAGATGAGATGACACAAGATGAGATGACATGACACGAGATGAGATGACATGAGATGGCGAGATGAGATGAGATGAGATGACACAAGATGAGATGACATGAGATGAGATGACATGAGATGACATGAGGACATAAGATGAGATGACATGAGATGATGAGATGAGATGACATGACATGAGATGACATGAGATGAGATGACACAAGATGAGATGACATGACATGAGATGACATGACATGACATTTTCAGTGTGAGCTGGTACCTGATAATATCCAAATGATTTCCAATATTATAATGTGTATGAAAGTAACTTTCATGCACATTAGTTTATAAGAATAGAAAGAGCAGTTGTCAGGTAGAAGAGTTTGGAAAGCAGAAAAAAGTAGGGCTACAACTAACGATTATTTGTCCTCATTGATTAATGTGCAGATTCAACATTTGCCCGATAAAACATCAGTAAACCAAGAAACATCCCTATTACATGACCTTAACCCAAGGTGATGTCATACATATTATTAATTATTTTTTAACCAGCAGCCCAGAAGCAAACTATATTAATTTGATTGTAATTTGAGACAAGAAAAAAACAGCAAATTCTCACATTTGTGAAGCATAAACTAATAAATGTTTGGCATTTATGCTGAAAAACTGTCTTTATTAATCACTTATCAATATAGGATGAAGGCATGGAGAAGATTGATTGTTCTAACTTTATACATTTTTTTCCTTTGTTTATGTGTGTGTGTGTGTGTGTGTGTGTGTGTGTGTGTGTGTGTGTGTGTGTGTGTGTGTGTGTGTGTGTGTATTATTTGTTGACCTAAGAGGTAAGACATGCAAGGCATACAATTACCTTGCAGGGACAAATATAGTTGCAATTAATTTAATTGATTGATTATATAACTTAGAAATGGACAAGAGATGACAAAAAACAGCTGAGATAGATTGAGAAGGAGTTGTTGGGGGACGGCAGAAGAGGCAACAAAGTGTGATAAGCAGAAAAATTTGAACAAATTATGTAAGTCAGAACACACAACAGACCAAGAGCTAGAAGAAGCTGGGTGGATATATTAGGATTAGTGTTACCCCTAGCACAGCGTTTAAGTCCCACAAACATAGAAGAATGGCATTTTGAACTTTAGCCCATTGATTGTTACGTTGTCAGATTTAGCCTACAGTGTAAATCGACACATGTTCTAATTCTTCTTCACCAGTTTAAACCCGATAAGAAGAGAAAGTGGGCCAAGCTATTTTGAGGTGGTTCGAGCCTTTTTAAGCTGATGTTGTCGTTGCCACTCTGCCTTTCATCTCATCTGGACTCTGGGACAGCACTATCAATAATTTAATGGCACACTGCTTTTGAGAGTGTGATCGATGATTCCCACCCCACAAACACACACACACACGCACACACACACGCACACACACACGCACATACACACTGTTTACCTTTGATGATATCCCTCTTTTTTCCTTTTCTCTTTTCAGATTTTACGGAGAGCTGATAAAAACGGTAAATATTGCACCAAAAGCTACCTCCAGACTCACACACAGTGTCTTTGGCATTTCTTCAACATTTCTTTCTCGTGTGTGTGAAAACCTACTTTCTCAATGAAATTCTGATCATGACTCTCTGCTGATACACTCTTTCAGTTTCCATGGAAACAGGAAACTGACCATCCTCACTGAGGTTCAGTTTCAGAGCATTGACGAAGAAAAACGTAAAAAAAAATTGTACCAGTTCAACATTTCTATCATGGCAGTTCACGATTAATGAGTAAGAGGTGGACAGCTGGAGGTCTACGGCTAATTCTGCTGTTGGTTCACCTCCACCATCTTGTGCGACACTATCATAATATATATATACAAAATACATAGTTCATGTTGGTGTCTTCTAGGTCAGCGGTAGTCTCGATCCAGGACATTTCTATCTTTTATTGCACACTGGCTCTGCATTGTCAGAATGTTCTACATTTATGTGCAGTCACAAAATGAAACAAACTGTTAAAGTAATAACATTTTTAATTACTTGCAATAAATCACAAAGATAACATATAGTTTTATGTTCTAAAAACGTTTTTCAGTATGCCTGTGTGTACATTATTGAAATAACTTTTCTTAAATAATTTAGATTATAGCACTGAAATACAATTAAAAACATAGATACAATTGGTTTTTCTATGCTAAAAAAAGGAAACAAGATGCCTCTATGAATCACATATATGAATAAATTGACATTTTGTTTAATGCTTATTCGCTTTGTTGCCTAGATAAGAAGATCGATACCACTCATGTCAATTTGAGCTATGTCACCGGCAGCTGGTGAGCTTATACTTTAAATATGAACAAATCACAGTTTCACAGCAGGTTATGTGCCGGACTACAGTATTTCTTGACCAGGGACAGAAACTTCCTGGAGTCTCTGCTGGCTGCCTTGCAACTGTTCCCTACTAAGAAGTAGTCCGGCATTTATCGCCCCTGGAAACAGTGAATTATACACAAATATGTTGCAGCACTTGCTGCAACATATTTGTGTTTTTTTATTTTTTTATTTTATCACCAGACTTTCAGAGGACTAATTTCTACTACTGTCTTAGTCAAGTCTCATGTTTGTTCATGAAGTTTCACATAATTCCTAAGTCAGTTAATTTTGTTAATCATTGATATAATTGATTTGTAAAGACCTTTTCAATTTTATTTGTTTTATTTTCAGACACATTTTCAATACAACCATAATCCTAATTATATAAAATCAAACACAAGTTTGGGTCCAGGGGACAATCACTGATGGCATAAAGTGTTTATAATTGTGATAATAGTTTACTGAAGAACACCATATTAACACTTTAATATTCTAAAATCATGATGTAATAAAAACAAAAACAGGATTGTTTTCCCTATTCCCACTTTTATTCAAATACAAATAATATTGCTGCTTTAACAAATGCAAATAGCTCTCTGACATCCCTGCTATGCAGCTTATTGAAATATATTGTTTTTTCATTAATGGCACTGAAATTCAAATAAAAGCATAGACATGCTCTCAGAAAGAAGTCTTTATTCAAAGGAGACAAATGCCTCTATGGATCACTTTATCTTCATGCACAGTCTGCCGAAGCATGTTTGTGCTTGGGACATTAAGGACACTTTGACAAGGGTTTGTCAGATGCATATATCCTACAGATTTGCGATGGGACCACCATTTGTGTGTATGACTGCACATGACAGTATCTCTTTGTGTCAAGTTAACACGTGTCGTAGAATATACGTAACCCTGCTGACACGCGGGCTACGTTCATTTCTGGTATCAAACGGTCAAACCACATGAATTTGAGTGTTTTTAATTGCAGAACAAACTGAAGTCTTGTTTTGTTAAACATTTTGATATAGAGACCCTGCATGAAATCAAAAAAATGATTTCCTCTACATGCAAAAAAGTGTCTAATCAGAATGAATTATTCACATGCTTCATTATTCATTAAATGTCCGTCCCTCGCTGTGAATGGTGTCATGCAGCATAATGAGAAGTCATCCCGCATGTTTGTTTTTAGTGTTAGTGCAAACAGCACCAATTGTATGTCAGGTCCATTCCAAGATTATTTCTGAACTCATCGAGTGAGTCACTGAGCGCTTGATTTGTGTACATTTGCCTTTGATCATCTCTCTTGCTCACATCGTGACATGACAGACATACTGAACATCACCTCCGGAGCAGCGGGTCAAAGATCAGCCACCTCGTGTCACACAAACAGACAGAATCTACTTTTGCCAGAACTGTGTGGACAAAATATGTCGCCTGTGGTTGATCATATTAATTTTGCTGCCAGATATTCAGTTTGGGGCTCCTCATTTTGAAACTGTATTTTCACCATTTTCATGAATATTTCACGTAGCTTGGGGCTTTTTATTCCAAGCATAATTGCAAAGACCCAACGCATAACAATGCTGTTTAGGACTACCATCAAGTTGGTCTCATGGAACAAATGGTGATTACCCTTCAGTGTTGTTTACTATGATAATAACAACAAGGAAGAATGTTGCACAGTGGAGTTTGTTTGTTAAGTTTTATTACTTTATTTTCCGCTGTGAATGGAGTTTTATCTATATACGCTTGATGCCATCTTTTGCTGATTCAGCCCCTGCAGTTTATAACACGCTGCATCTTATCTGTGTTATCTCAAGTCACCCTCAGTTTCATCAGCTCAGGGGGTGGACTTAAATTATTCATTTAAAGTTAGTACACCTATTTCCTTATGGAATGTTGATAAATTAAATATGTGCTATCTTTTCACCTCCATGATACATTTCATTACATGTTTTATGTCCAACAAACACAAACCAGAATGCTCATTTGACCCCAAACTAGTTTTAGGATTGAGGAATCATTTAGACTGAGCTGTACTGACACAGTGTTGACCAGCTGCATTTGTGCTCCGTCCCCAGATGATGGAAAGCTGTCCTTTGATGAATTCAAAGCCTACTTCTCTGATGGAGTCCTGACAACTGCGGAACTACAGGAGCTCTTCCACACAATTGACACTCATAACACAGAGTAAGTCCGTTCATTACTCTATCTTGTTATTATTGTGTTCCATGGAGGACAGAATGAAGATGTGGATGATGGAGGAGAGGTAGATGACGATGCTGTTTGGAAATAATGGAACTGTAGTTGCAGCTTTCGGCCGTTTGGTCTGCAAGGTAAATGGCCGAGGGGCATGAAAACGTGTCGGTATTTGACACCCTGCAAATGGCAAAAGACTGGTTCAGCAGGGCTGAACGATTCAACTGAATGCAAACTCAAATTAAACATATCTGGCCTTACACATCAACTTTGTTCATCTGTAACATATTTTTCCTACATGAACCCATAATATCTCAATAAAAAAAGGCCTGTGTTTTTCTAGCTTCCTTTCAAGAATGAGAGATTATTTTGTAATCAAAAGACTGTAGACTGTAGACTGCATGAAAACACTGGTCTTTCTGGCAGTGTCTTCAAATGGCTACACCTGCCTCAGAGATCTTTATGGTGTCAGAAACACACTGTGGCGTGCCTCAGGAATCAATTTTAGGGTGTTTTATGTTTTCATCAATGTGTTTCTCATTGCTGATGTGATCAGGAGTCATGGTATATGGTAGAGAATGATGAGACATTACAGTCATGCTGATGACAAATGTTATAATTTGTTTCATCCTCATCATGAATATGAGATATGTGATTTACATGAGTTAGCCACGAAGCTTTGTCAACAATGATAGAGCTATATATTTCATATATGTCTTCAGCATCACTCTGCTGTCTGCTAAATCACAGAGAAGTTCAATGGACTCGGTGTTTCACCAAAACAAACATGTGCCTCATTCTGTGTTCATTTCACAGATGGCAAAGTTGTTAGGAAGTAATTTGAAAGTCTCAAATTAAATCCTGTATTAATTAAAGAATGAGTCACTGAGCTGCAAGGTCTGCGTAACAGGCTGGTGAAGCTGCTCAGGTTGATGTTGCACACTGAAGGATTATTCAATACTTCACTTAAAATTACAATTATTGCATGCAGTTAGTAAATTCAGACATTTTCATTTGTACATGAGTAATATAGTTGCAGTTACACAGGAGGAGTGGCACGTGCAAAACTTTACTATGAATGTTTCTCCTCGTTAGTTACAATATGAAGGGCTTCACTTGTGCATGGTCCATTAGTATAAAGAACTTCAAAACAGCCAAGTTTCAAGACACATAAATTAGAGCTTTCACTGAGTAACTCAGTTTAGTGTTTATTTCTGGTCTGCAGTACCTCCTCTCTCCTCTGTGGCTCTCGGTGTTTTCGCCTATTTGCACTGATTGATTGCTGCAGCACTTTGTCCCCTGTGATCGACAGCTACAGTTTATGTGGAAGGAAATTAAAACCTGTGTAATTCCCCAGCCACCTTCATTGTAACAAGGAATAACATGTCTCTTGATGCAAGCCAGTCAGGGGATACAATAACTCATTTTCTACTTTACCTTCAGCTCTTTTGTTTGTTTCTCATGCATGGACATTTAACACAAACAGCCAAAAATTCCTGATAAGTTTCCTGTGAGGGATTCACTGTCTGGCAAAGCAACTCAATTATTCAATTATTCATGACATATTTTATTCGTCATGATACATTGATTCACCAAACCGTAGTCTGTCCAGCAAAAGTTGTTGCAGAGATAAAGGATCAATCTGTCACCTCCTTTAAAAACCTATGTTATTAATTATTGTTAATTATTTAAATGTCTCTTTCTCATTTTTTGTTTTGCAGCAATGTGGACACTGATGAACTCTGTGGTAAGTTGATCCTTCACCTACGTTAGAACAACTTTTAATATTGGTAAAAAGCTGTACTGTTCTAGCTTTAGCTTGCTTACCTCACAGTCAGGAGCACCGTAGACCCAGCATGAGGAAAGAACCATTTAAGATATTGTCACATGCGCTGTGACCAAACCCCTACAGGCTGTGCGACTGAGCTGTCACACAGCGCTGCTTTAACAAAACACCTCCAGCCCTGTCCCAGTTGCTTAACTCACAAAATGTTTTCTCCTTTATGTTGTCGTTCTGCTGTGAAGAGTATTTCTCCCAGCACCTCTGTGAATATGAGAATGTTCTCGCTGCCTTAGAAGACCTGAATATGTCCATACTGAAGGCGATGGACAAAACAAAGAAGGTAAGATGATAGAAATGAAATCATCATTGGAAATATAAACCTGCTTTTCTCAACAAAACACACTTGCTACTTCTCTGTCTCTAATGTTTCATATTTAAAATCTGTAATCATATCTGTAATTCTTCCGGGCATACACTGGAGGATATTTTTGATATTTTTTAGGATATTTTAGAATTCTATTTCCATTCATCCCCATATGTATATGCATAAGTTTAGCTGCTCACAAAATACACAAAGTAAGCGGCGTTAGCAGTGTGTGTATGGTGTGCGAGTGTGTTTCCGTTTGATGTGGTTGAAAAGAAAGGCTGTGACATTCGTGGCAAATTGTGTTTAAATGGTCACTGAAAGAAAATGGCACGAGAAAAATCTGCTAAATGGATGCTATTTCTATTTCTGTTAAGAGAACATTATCTGCGCATATCGTTTATTTTAATTAACATCCTCGTGACACACTCGTACACAGACCCACACCTCCACACAGTGAACATCACACTGACATCTCATGCAGAGCGTATAATGATAATAATGTGAGATGTTTGATTTACTCACAGCACGTGCTAAACTCCACGTCTCAAATCTCAGCATGCTCCTCTGCTGCCCTACTGGCTTCCTCAGATCTCCCATTAGTCAGATTTCCATTACAGAGCCAAAAAGGACGAGCCAGGACTCATTCATGCTACCCTGCAGAACAAAGCACGTTATGATTCTTTTTGTACTTGTAGCCAAAATTAAATAGGTTTTGGCTGCGTAACCAAACAAATACTGCGTTTGATCATGCCTTGGAAAAACCTTCATTTTGTCTCGATCTTACTGTAGAGCTGTGGCAGAAGCTGAGTACCTTTTAGATGATCAGACAGGAAAAGGGGGATTACGAAGGAGAGAAAGGCAAACAGATGGGGATGAAGGTCAATGATCAGAAATGGCAGAAGAAAAGCAGAGGACTGAAGGGACAAATGCTAGGATGAGGAAGAGAGGCATACATCTGGAGGGAGAGCTTTTTTGTTTGTTTCTGCCACCCGATCTTTCTCTGCAGTATCTCATCTGGCACTTATGACACACGCTGCGAGGCTCAAATCGCCCCTCTGATCTGCACTGAAGCAGACACGTCTCATTCTGCTTCAGAGAGTGGGAGTAAAACCGTTCAATTATTGGTGGTAGGTCTTTATTAACGCAGAGAGAGGTGACACACTTCAACACCTCAGAGCTGTGGTTGACAAAGATGAATGTCAATGGAAGATACAGATTTTTGTGTGTGGTAAATGTTGTGACACTTACTGAGCAGAAAAAATGGCAGTGAGGGGGAGATTTTAAGAAAAAAATGGCATCAAATAATACATGCTTTCAATACATGCATATAAACAAACTTGGACATATTCTATAAAGTAGAGAACCAACATATATCCTTTGAATAACTTTTTCCACTCAAAGAGAAATGTATTTTTCTTGAAATAGGTTCTAAAAGGTTGGACCCGCTGTAAGTAAATTACATGTGCCTTCATTTCTGCAAAAGAAACGACACATACAAACACTTCTGCAATCCCTTTGCAATCTTTCATGGACCTCAACTTTCGCCGACCTGTGATGAGGTGCCAAAATTTGATAAATGCACCTGAAGTAGTTTTCTGTTAAGAATAAGAATCTCAGGAGAACAGTTGAGAGCAGGAAGTGAGACAGCAGGAGAGAAAGAAGAGAAACAGTAGAGGCAGCATGGATATATGTGTTTTAAGGATTGTTTTGTCATTCGAAAAGGAAATATTTATCTTTTGAAAGCCTCCAGCTCACATGAGGTACACTGGAGAAACAATCAGTCTCACAAATCAGGTTTTCTTGTTCCCTCACAGATATAGTGAAATGAATATTCGAATTCAAATGAAATGAATGAATGGCAATTTACTTATTTATTATACCTTTACTGTTTGACTATTTATTGTACTTGTTTTGTTTTTTATTTTTCCTGTTTGGTTTTCTACTCATGTCTGTTGTTACACTGTCCACTTTTCTGCTGTAATCCTGCAAATGTCCCTGCTGTGGGACTAATAAAGGATTCTCTTATCTTAAAACAAATAACTGTGCTCAAATTGGACATAATTGAGGAGTTATTGGCCAAGGCAATAACTTTGAAATCAAATTACAACACTATAATGTGAACACACTGCCGATGTCGCCCTGGCGTTTATTCTCTGGAGCCTACACAATGATTTTCTCCTCTACAATGCCATACATTATTTGACCTTAAATGTGTCATATTGAGAGATAATCAACTTATGGCAAGCTGCATTTATCTTTTAGCCGGTATTTGCTTACCAAGGAGGAGAACAGATGCTGCATTAATAAAGCTCAGCCGTCTCTGTTACGAACTGTATATGTATTTGAGTGGGTGGTCTCTGGCTGTGGATGTGTGTGAGGGGGCTGCCTGCATGTTTTGTGAGGTGTTCCCTTTTTTTGCATTGTAAAAATTATTAGTGTGTATTTGTGTGAGCTAACGTTTGCACAAGCTTATGTGGTTGATTGTGTGTGTGTGTGCTTTTGTGTCCTCAAACATCCATGCCCATGTGCGGGGGAGCTGGAACAAGAATGTGCATCTGAAACAAAGCCAGGCATGTATGTATGTGCATCTGTGCTGAGACACTAAGGGTCTCATTTTGCACAGATACTCTTGCCAAAGCTATTTAAAGGTTTCCCGTACCAAACCTCCTCTAGCGGCGAGAGGAAGTTGCTGTGAACTTCACAGTTTATTGTAGTATTAGGGGTGCAATATTTTGTTTTCAGAATGCAAAATGCTAAAAAAAATCAGCTGTTGCAGGTTCAAGTTTCAGGGTGCATCCTGAGGTAACAAATCACTAGTTGAAACTATAGCCTGTGATTTCTTAGAATGTAGGAAGGATTTTACACACAAACTTAGTATTACTTTTATTAATAGCTGGAGAAGCTCAGTCCACGATCTCTTGTTCTGGCACTTTGAGGTGATCAGTAAGAAAGGCTTTCAATCAGCTTCTTTTGGACATTTTTTGATGATTTGCAATCAGGATTTTAAAAACACGGAGGTAAAGTCAGTTTGCAGTGGGTGAGGTATGATTGCATGGCAAGGTGGAGGCTAAGTAGTAATAGCCCAGACTATAAGGCTCAAATAGTGTGATATTTAGCAGCAGTGCATTGACAAAGAACTCAATTGACCTTTTGTACAACTGAAAATGAAAGGTCAATAGAAAAGGCAAAAAGGAAAACCAATTACGGACCTTAAGCTGTTTAAAATGACTAAAGATTGGTGAGCTGGACACACACACACACGCACACAGACACACACTCACACACACACACACAAAGGAACAGATCACAGGAGGTAATCTATGCTCAGATGGTAGACGGGAGACTGACCTTTACCAGTTTTGTCGTGACTCACTCTCACTGAGTGAATGTGCATGTGTGTGTGGATGTGTGTGTGGATGTGTGTGTGCTGATATTCAGAATGTCAGGGGATCAAACAATACTTATGACCGATAGCAATTCTGAGTTTTTAAATCAAACACAGCAGAAACCACAGCGTTTTTCTATTTTTCTTTCTGTGAAAAACAGAGTTACGGTTGTTTTTTTTCTCACATTTTAGGACTAATTGTTCAATCTTTAATCTGATTTGCTGCTCGGATCAATATGAAAATAGACGAGTGTAATGATCTGCTCTATATTCTGGAGAAGAGTTCAGCTCAACATACTGTAACTAGGATATGTTTGGGCAATTCCGCAGTCTGATAATTAAATCCAGCTTTTAAAATCAAGCCATCTTCATTGTACTTTTTAAAACACAATAATTACCAATAGACAATACATTTTCCTGTCTCTCACCCCCTTTCTTTGTCTGGCACACACACACACACACACACACACACACATTAACCATTCTCTAATCTTCACTAACAAGTTTGTCGCGTGAGCAAAGTGTGGGAGCTGGCGTGCAAACAGCAAACTCTGTTGTACCGAGCATCAATCACTCTCCTTCGATTAGATCCTAAACAGCACTCAGCCCTCCTGCTCCGGTCCACGTGTTACAAATGATGCCTCTCCAAAATGTCATTCAATTAGATTCCCCCCCCCCCCATCAACTTACTGAACAAACAAAACAAAATGACACATAATTCCTCGACCGGAAATACTTATTTCTTATACGTGGTTATGATTGAAGTCTGTGACGCATTTTTGATGTTATGTTAAAAACATTTTTCAACATAACATGCAAACATGTTCTCTGCCAAAACGTATGCAGATACCTGTTCCTGCCGATCAGAAACATGATTTAAAACAATGAGGCTAGTGTATAGTTTTGGTTTTTGACATGATAAACAGAACACCAGAATGTGTTCTTTAAGACCCCAAGTGTCATTGAAACTAAATCATTAAAATGTAGTTATTTGCAAAACACATATTATTTCTGTCCTTTCAATAGTTGCAGTCAAATTTGCATCTTTTATAAAATCATATAACTGCTGTATAAGTATTCTTTTGGAGTGTCTATAATAACTTTTATCTGATTCCTGCAAAAAAATATTATTAATTATTTGCTCAAATGATTGAGTTTCTATTTTATTCTATTTCTTACAATATCATCATAAAGGTCAGTTGAGTCATCATGGCTGACATCATCAGGGTTATCTTGAGTTAGGCCTGAGATTCATTGTTTTTGAAGCTTGATTCCTTCTCAGGACTAAAGCCGGGATATAGTTCCGTCCCGACTTTTCTTTTTCCAGCGTATCTTTTGTAAGTCCCCCAACTTTATGAAAGTTCAATACTAAATCGCCTGGGTACCCCTTTAATGTGAGAGATCAAATGCCTGTTTCCATCTTGATAAATGCTCAGTGGACGTCTGAGTCAGCAATGAAAATAAATCCGGTTGTATGCTCAACAAAGTCTAATATTTGTATTTAACAAATGCATTAAACAAAAATAAAACGATATCCAGCGTGATTTAAATGCTGATGTTAAGTTGCTAACTTCAGTAGTACAGACACATCTATGATTCGGTGATGAATGAATGAATAAATGAGTTATATGTTTGTAGCAAAATGGATTAATACAACAGAAACTCACACTCCCTTCCTGTTTTACCTGTAAATGTACTCATTAAAAGCGTCCCACCCTTCCTTCATGCATATAAGTTGAGTTCTTATTTTATTGTATTTAACTTGAATCATTCTGCTGTCTTCTTATCATCCATTTAAGATTGATCAAATACAAGTTAAGAGGCAGGCTTTAGGAGAGGTTGAGTGTGAAACCCCCTGATTGTTCATGTTCTTCTTCCTACTCCCTCTTGTTTCATGTCATCTTTTCGAAATGATTGATCTTTTAAGCATCTTTTAATTAGCAGAAGAAGTTTGGACGTTGAGTGACTCCTGACTGGCATGCGAAATGTGTCGCTGCTCTCGTTGCTCTATCATCCTTTCTTTTTATCATGCCTCCCACTCTAACACTCCTCCACCTCCTTCCTCGTGATTGACAGGATTATCAAGAGTCCACCCACCTGGAGCAGTTTGTGACCCGCTTCTTGCTGAAGGAGACAACCAATCAGCTTCATTCACTTCAAAGCTCTCTCGAGTGTGCCATGGAAACCACAGCCGAGCAGACTCGCCAGGAGAAGTAAGAACAAATCTTTCACACACATACAATTAGTCCTTAAAACATGAACCAATTATATTGTACAATGGCATCTATAATTACAGTTATCACATCTTGTGTGACAATTTTGTCCAAACCACGCACACTAATTTACATCCTACATTTCAGATTTAAATGATGCTTTCATCCAAGGTGCTGCACAACAGCACAGGTTCCTGTATTTATAAAGACCACCTGCTTTTCTCTGTAATCCATCAGATATCTAAATTCCTTTATTTTTTTTGATCACTCTGTAACCTTCCTATGGGAAAAATATACATGGAGGGAGAAAATTAAAAAGGGATTGTCAAGATTTGAGAGAAATAATACATGGAGACCAAAAAAACACAACAAATACAAGGAAAGATGGTTTCAATGTCCTGTGATCTGAAATCAAAATGACACGATCAAAGGATATGGGGGATAGAAGTAAATCACTGAAGGTGAAAATAACAGTAAATAATAGTAAAATAATCTTCACCTAAGCCCCTTTCACACAAAGATTCCTCAAAACTGCTGTAATGAAGATGTGCCTTTACGCCGGTTTTGCTTTTTCACACTGAATCAAACAACAGTAGCATAATGCTGCCTCGGTGTGTGAAAGAAGAAGAGGCGTGACGTGTAACATAACAGTGTCTGTCGCCCCATTCTGTCTTCATGCCTTTATTATAGACTGAATATTATATTCAAATGAATTCACCTAAAGATGCAATATTGAATATACATACAGTATATAGGAATTGGATAAACTGACTTTGTACAATGAAAGATGACACAACTCTACAGAACGGTTTAATATAAAAACTTTGTTTTGGTTTAACGACCTACCACTTCACTGTTTTGGGTCACTCTCACGGTTCTCATCAGCCTCGTTTCCAGTCACATCAGGCAGCTAGCAAACAGACAACGTAAGATTGTACGTTGTGAAGGAAAGTGAATATACGGGATTTACAGTCATCAGGCGGTAGCGGACACAAACATGACTCAAAATCAATGCTAATGGGACTCTGTGTCTGCTTCAGTAAGGCAGATGTTATGTTTACAGCTTGCTGTGCCGCCCTGAAGTGTTCAAAAAAATCAATTAACACAGGCTTTGCTACTGCTTTGTTCTTAACTGAAAGCTATTTACTGTAACCCCAAAAATATGCAAAATGTGACTTTTTTTCTACACAAGACATCCATTGTTTGTGGATCAAAACACTGAAAGAAACTGGACAAGGGTGAAGGCCACAGCTGACACATCGATGATAAGAACACGACCTTAATGGGATTATAATTTCCTTATTAGCATGTTTATAAATGTTCTTTCTGATAATAAACAACCAGCCGCTGGCTGTGTGGACAGTTGATGATTAAACCTGAGACACTTGTTTTGAGGGCATTCTCTCTGCCTTTGTCTGTCTGTCTTTGTCTTTGTCTGTCTGTGTCTGTGTGTCTGTGTGTGTGCGTGTATGTGTGTGTGTTTGTCTGTGTATAGGTACATGCAGTACTCGATCAGTCTGCATTCTCATTCAGAATTCAGTCGCTCGGTTCATTAGTGATGTGACTCACCAGTGTAGTACACCGGGTTTCATGTACGTTTATGGTATATGCTATTTATAGGACAGGTGATGACGCACCGTCTTTTTGCGACCCCTCACCTGTCTGTGTTCTCACTTGTTGCAGCCTCAACAACCGAGCAGTGATTTGCGTATTTCTGCTTGATTTCAGTTTGAAAGGATTGTTGTGTCCTTTTTCTCCCTATATGTTTAAACGTATTCTCAGAGGCAGAACATGATGTGCTTTGAGGCTCCCACCGACTCTTCCCTTCTTTCCTGTCCTCTTCGAAATGTTTCTATCTCCCTCTCATGTCAAAGTGCGTCTGTCCCTTGCTCCCAGAGCAGCTTCTTCTCCTGCAGCATCCGTCTCTGAATTGCCACACTTCAATAATTCCCCCTTGCATCTGAGTGCTATCACTCTGCTCTTCGAGACATCCAGAGGACCTGGTTGTTTCTCTGGTGGCTTAAAATTGGTTTCTGTGGTCTGTTTTTTTATGTGTGAAGAGGACACCTGGAGCTCACACTCATGGATGCATGGTATGACTCATAGCTGAGCGTGAGCTTTGTATTCATAAGTTGTACTGTTCATTTCAAAAGCAATATTACTTTCCTCTTGGTAATTTGTTGCTATTTTCCCAATAGATAACCCTTTCTTTTTTTTTGATCCATCATTAATCTGCATAACCATTTCATTATTTCAGTAATCACATCCTGGCTTTAAAACAGAAGAGGTGAAACATGGACAAAAAGGTCCTGGATCGCTAATTCAGGCCACATAGTTTGCTCTAACAGAGATTAACCTCCTCTTCCTTCGTCTTTGTTGACATAAAGGTTGTGGAAGGAACATGAAGAGGCAAAGGCTGCTGATCTTTGCTCGATGCTGGTCTCAGATGGGTTTTAGCAATTAAAGTTCATACAGTATGACTCAGTGGAAGACCGAGGGGGACTTGTCAACGGTTCCTCCTGCTCCGTACATCAAGCAAACACACACATTTAACTCGTGGGTTAATTATGCATTCTGCGTTTCTCCCAGATGTAGGAGGAGGCATTTCAAATCTATTACAAGTGGTGTCATGTGACGCAACCGTGTATTCTCGACCAAAGGAGATCATTCTGAATAAGATGACTGTGATTTTGGTATATTAGGAAACACATATTCACAGATCTGCTATAGATTGCTCACTATATATGAGATTTACTGTAGTTAAAGCTAAAAAGCCAAGTTCTGAATAAAGTCTAGTGGATGAAGGGAAAAGTTTAACATTTAGAGAGTTAGATGAAAAGATTTATACCACGCTCAATGTGAACAATCTACAGCCGCTCATTAGCGTAGCTTAGGCCACAGCTAAATCAAAAGCAGTTTTTTTGACTAAGAATGTTTTAAGTATCTTGAAAGGAATTGCGAATATATAAAACATGAATTATTAAACACTGTGAGCTGAAAATGTACAAACATATCAGTGTGAAGTCTGAAGAATGTTGGAGAGCTTCGCTTGACAACAAATAATGATCATAAAACACACTGTCCGCTCTTTCAAGTATACGCAAAACTCACACACACATATAAACATGAGCATGTGCATTTACCTGCACACACATACACACACATCACCAGAGACACCCTTAGGTCTTCTCAAAATATGGGCCCAAACAACTTGACAGCACAAAGATAAATCCTAGGTGATGTCACCCTGCGGCTGCATACCTTCTCACTGGCGTTAGCATCACTGTCAGACAATCAAGGCAACGCAACATACAAATATAACGTAAGCCTGGACAACTTCAGGCCTGAGCTGAGACATCTATTCAGGAGACATGTGTCCTTTGGGCACATGGTGCCAGACACCCCATGTGAATAAGGTAAAATATTTAACTAATAGATATCATTAAACTATAATGGTGGCAATAATTTATTTTATTACAAGTTTGATTATGCTTGTGAAATATGTGCTAGTTTAAATGTCCAGAACAGAAATCTGAACAGTGGATAAAGCTGCCGGTTCAAATTATTGTTTCATTTTGTTGACATATTGGAGTCAGAATTACAGAATTAATTTTGAATATCTCTGTATTACTACATAAATTCGCAAATGCTGTCAACAGCCATAAAAAAAACTATTTTGCCATGTTTTTAGTGATATAATGTTCCATAAAACAGGCTATGAATGATATATGAACAAACCCCTCTGCAAAACCTTCAGATTATATTGGACTGAAAGTGGAAAGTTTGGTGAATGTAAGCAGAGATTTCTGGCTCAGAGTCTGAAAAAAAAACAGATTTAGAGAAAATGGCCTTTAGAGATATGTGTTGTAAAATCCCGTACATTTTGTAAGACACTACAGGTGAATAGGGAACCAAGTATTCCAAGTTTTCTAAAATGTTATGTTTAATGATGCAAATGAGGCATTATCTAATGCTAACTTTTGGTGACTTTAGGAGAAATCTACAAATTTAAAAAGACAAAGTAGTCAAATATACACCTAAATACGTATTTTGGATGTTTTCTTTGCACTAGTCTGAAAGAAGAAAAATAACCCAAATTCTTAAAATTGATCAGTGCATGAAAAACATTGTTTTCTCCCAGGGTGCCTCCCCCTAAATGATTACAAGTTGTCCCTCTTCTTTTTTACTGTCTTAGCACAAATGCGTTCATGCAATAAACTATTCAAATTGAACTTCCTACTCGTGTTCATCTTTATGTAGTTAATTAAATTACAAAGTCAAGACTTATGTTTATTTATGAGAGTCAGCAAAGCCCAAATCTTGGTCAAAAATTTTGTGGGACCCATCTGTCATGTGGTGTGATGAGTGCACCACAAAAACCACAGAACAAAGGTCATTTAATGTCAGTTACAAAAGCCTTTTAATTGTAATGCAATCTCAACAAGTTAAAAGAAAATATGCAGACATATTAATTCCTCCCTGTTCTGACTCCAGACAGGGCCCGCTGAAGCCAGAGGTTTTGACCATCCAGTGGTCGGGTCGTCGCTCCAATCGCAGGCTTCAGAGGAACAGCAGCCTCTCTCCTAACAACCCTCTCCTCAGTCTCGTCAATTCAGGTGGGTTCATATGTCATGCTGTCTAATGCTGAGTTTGTGGAAATAATCGGAGCATCCCGTTGTGTTTTTATACCGCAGTGCTCCACTCTTGAGTTATGTTGTCTTGTAGCTGCCAGCAGCAGACAAGCAGCTCGGCCAGAGTCAGAGTGTCTCCACAGGAAGCAGGGCCGAGCACAGAGGGAGGGGAGGGAGGTCGAGTATAGGTGTGAGAGAGAAGTGAGAGACGGAGACAGATTGAAGTGGACAGTTGTGTTCCCATGTGCTCCTGGGTGTCGATCCAAAGCCACTGAGTGCTGCGGCACTCAGGTGGAGGTTTGAGGATGGGAGATGTACGACCTCGATCTCAAGTCATCGTGTGCTGCAAGTGTGAATACACTTTCACTGTCAATAAGATAATCACTCAACACAAACTCCTGTCATGATAAACATAAATACTAGCAGCTACAGTGTGCCAAGCGCTCCCTGGTTTGTGATGCACAAGTGCACCACTAGCCTGCAGTTTGTTGATGCATGTTTGACTTGCGATGCCCACGGTAGACATAATAGTTCTTCAATAGTGAGAGAAGCAATAAACCTGAATGAATACAATAATTACCAAACAGTCCTCGACTCCCAATTAGGGCTGTCACAGTGTTTTTTTCACCACAGGATTATCGTGGCTAAAACAACTAATGATTGTAATTTCTATAGAATTTAGTTTTTAATAATAACAATGCTATCAGTGAAATTCATCTTTAACTTTGTTTATCGTGCGTTTTGTCTTTTTTTTGGCAAATGAGTTACACCCAAATTACCAGTGTGGTGAAAGAGAGTCTGTAACAAGAGGCGCTGGGTTATTGTCGTAAGTGGAAAATCAAGATGATATAAATATTTCACACTTAAATATCACGGTTATTGCCAACCGGTAGATTGACAATCACACCCGTACTCCCAAAGCAAACAGAGTCAAAATCTTTGACATTTTATTGTTTGTATGTGTATTGTTTTGTATTTTACTGCTGTATTTTGTAAAGACAAATTTGGGATTTGGGGCCTTATGAATAAACTTGATTTCCACTGTGGTGGATCATTGAGTTGTATTGTTTTATATTTTTAAAGACGATTGCTTGAAGTCATTACTATACAATACACTTTTTTTAAAGTTTACTTTATTTAGTGCTGTTAACTGCAGTCAAACAATCTTAATGAGAACACAACTTACCTTTATAATCAGACTCACTTCTTGCCTTGTCGTCATATGTAACTGTTGTTTGCAGGCAGTCAGTTTTCGGTTAAACCTCCATCATGACATCAGCTGCGGTTGCTGGGAGACTTGAGCAGCAGCTGCAGAGCCTCTATGAACTTTGATTACACGCGTCAAAGCGTTTCTATTGATTAGCATGTTTGTGCGCTGCATTACATGAAAGGACACCTTGAAATGCCTCCTGGGACACGGTCACCTTTTTAGAGGTATTCAGGTCAAATAATCAATGGAGGAAAATGTGTTTAAAATATAGTCGATGTATGCAGCAGCACCTTTCATCCCTTCACCTTTGTTGTTCACTCTTTCCGTCTGAAACCTATCCTGTCTGTGTCTCTAGGTGTTTATGAAGAAGACGGCCAGTGGATGATCCAGGTCAACAGACTGCAGAGGCTCATCGACCGTCTGGAAAAAAAGGTGATTTCCTTTTTTCCCAACCTTTTCCATACACTCCGCTACTTCCTGCCTCCTTCTTCTTCTTCTTGGCTCTTGTTATTTTCATCTTCATCTGTCTCGTCTCACCATCCCGGCCATCTGGTCTTTACACCGCTCTCTCAGATCGACCACAAATGATGGCAAATTGACTCACAACGATATCTACAAATGATCTAAACCCAACAACACCCTCCCACGTAGGAGCACAAACACATATGCAGTCTATAGTATAGATGAAACTCTCACAGCTTCTATCTGCATGTGTTGAACGTAGCATGAAATCTGAGATCTGATTTGAAGATTTAAAGTTCATGTCTATTTTATTTATATTTCGGATCCTTTGTGGATTTTGCACTCATGAATGGTAAATCAGTGGTTCCCAACCTGGTGGTGGGGTCTCCTCAAGGCACTCAAATATAAATCTGAGTGGCCGTGAGATGATTAGCAAGAGGAAAGTCATGTTTACTTTTTTATCCTTTCTTCTAATCTTATATTAGTTCTTGTAAATTGACGGCTTATTGTACTTCTTTATACTCAAAACATGCAAGCAGAACAGGTCTTAACCAGTAGCAATTTACAATGGTTGCAAGATATTGCTTTAGTTTAAAGAAGAAATATACAACATTTAGTACATAAAAAACAATAACTATTATCCATGTAAATCTATAGTGAAGTAATGTCTACCTGAGCAGAGAATGAAGTCGCTCTCCCTCTCTGTGTGTGTTGTTATCTTTTTATTGCCGGGCTGGCCGGGTATGATAGTACAGCCTGATAATACAGTCTCGACCGACAGTGTCGACGTGGAAGCGTAGCACCCACCCACCGGTTCCCCCTCAGGTGAACACTGACAGCTATGTCAGCACTTTTGCTTTTGCACCTTAGTTTGTACTGTTAGCGCTATTAGCTCAGGTAGCTGTGAGCCGCCACGTTGAGAGCCGTTGAGAGCCGTTGAGAAGCAATCAAATTGCTCCCAATCTTGTATTATGGGCCTTCAAGGGCTCACCAGCCCAGCCAGTGACCGGTTATTACAGGAGATTGTGCAAGATGTGCAAATTCAGAAGTATTTGCTGTTGAATTAGCTAAATGTGTCACTGTGCTCATCGTGCATCATTGTATATTTGTTCTGCAGGAGATCCGTCTGGAGCCCGTTGAAGAGGAGGTCTTGGAGAGCAAATCGGTGCGTTTTGTGACTTAAATCTTAACTTTTCTACTGTTTGTGACCACTCCGCGTCTCTCTGTTTTCACATGGGGGAGTTTTACTGAAAGGGAGGCCACACTGAAAATACCACTAAGTGGTTGTCATAGCAACAGCAGGGCTGAAACTTGTCAGAATCATATTCTGTTCCTCCACAGCACTGACCGCCTTTATCTTTAATCTTTATGTTTAAAGGCTCCGTATTAGACTGGGAGGTATGGGCACGTGTGAGGAAGAGAGTGTGTGTGTATTTCAGTGTGTGCTCTAATATATACAGTGGGTACGGAAAGTATTCAGACCCCTTTAAATTTTTCACTCTTTGTTTCATTGCAGCCATTTGCTAAAATCAAAAAAGTTCATTTTATTTCTCATTAATGTACACTCAGCACCCCATCTTGACAGAAAAAAACAGAAATGTAGAAATTTTTGCAAATTTATTTTTCTGTCAAGATGGGGTGCTGAGTGTACATTAATGAGAAATAAAATGAACTTTTTTGATTTTAGCAAATGGCTGCAATGAAACAAAGAGTGAAAAATTTAAAGGGGTCTGAATACTTTCCGTACCCACTGTATATATTTACAGTAGCACTATAGTAACAGGACATTTGTTTGAGCTTCTCTTGTGTGTAAACCTTCTGGCAAATGAAATGACCCCTTGTGCTTTTTGAGCTGTGCTTACATGGCGTGCAGGTGTTTGTGTGCATGTTATCATTCCCTGTTTAACTTCAGCATCAACATGCCAACGCAAAGGGAGATTGCTACTGCCCGAGCTTCATATCACTCATTTCACGGCTGAAAGACTCGCTACAGTCGTTGACACAGCCGACCAACGCAAACACTGGCAGGAGGATTTCTCTTCAGTGTCTACCATCAGACACACGAAGAGGAGGAAGAACGTGTGGTAGACGGGAGCTTTCTTTTTTCTAAAGATCGTTTGTCTGTATGAATAATTTCATACAAGGCACACGTGTTTTTTCGTCATTTCACGTGAGATAAATTCACATGATGTGGACGTGTGATTTTCAGAAAATATGACTACTTTGCCTCATGCTGCTATTTGATCATGGCATGGTGAGTCCAAAAAACATAATTTGAATTAAAGCACAAAAATATAGGTTTGTTTTTTTAATTTAATATGTATACCAGAAGTATCATAGCACAGCAGCACAAATGAAACCATGCATATGAATAATACAATAATATAATAATATAATATGTAACTGTCGTGTCTCATCATGCGCACGTCTCAGCAATATGTGAATTAATAAATATGTAATTGGTGTGTGTCACTGGGAATAAATGTGCTGCTGAGAGAAAGACTATGTGACTCCGTTGGTGTGAGGGCATGTGTCCCCTGTGTGCGCATGTGTGTGCGTGTGTGCGTGTGTGCGCGTGTGTGTGTGTGTGTGTGTGTGATGAGAGAGTGTTTCTCCCAAATTAGCCACTGAGAGAATTTCTTGAGGCGTTTTATCAGTCACACACAGACACATAATTAACACACACATACTCACACCACAGGCCGACGGGCAGACGATTCACTTCCTGTTCCCATCAGCCACTCTGCCTCTGTCAACAATGCTTCATCGGCCATGAAAAATTATCTTTTATATTCTCATGATTATAGCAGGTTTTCCTGGTTATTGTTCCGTGCCTTTGTTCAACAAGACTCAGATGCTTTCATTTTTTATTTCTCAAAGTGTAAGAAAAGAGTGTAAATGAGTGAGCGGGTGTAAAACCCGGCCAGAAGATTTCTGAACGTCCCCCAGCTCCATCAACCTCTCTCTCTCCACCAGAAGCAGATCCTGACCTTCTAACTTTGCGTGCCTTCACGTGTTTGTGTGTGTTTGTGTGTGTCTGTGTGTTTTGTCTTCACAGCACATCCTGATAGTCCAGAGGCAGCTCTCGGTGCTGGAGGACGAGCTGGAGGAGTTTCGTTTGGCTCTCAGACAGTACATGGAGTGTGCCTGCGCCCAGACTGGATGTCTACAGTCAGTTTACATTCTCTTTGTTCACTTTGTGTCGGGGATTTACTACACGTATTTGTATTGTTTAGTTGTCAACATTTTTGCAAAAGGTTGTATAAAGAGCAGTATGGGAATAAAAGATACATCCAAAAGAAAAAAGAAAAACCAGTCCTCACAGAGCAGGAAATGTAACATTTAGCATTTAGTTGGTATATTATCTGCACACTGTAGCTGAGTTTTTGATATGAATTACATCAAGGATGTGCAGGCTCTCTACAAGGTTCATTTATATCAGAGAAACCTTCAGGAGATCATGAGCAACATTGAATTAATCATGAAGCTTTAAAATAGAAACAATCAGAGAAATGGCTGTAATTTTTTGGCCTGAAGATTTAGTGCAGCATCGGACCACAGCACGTTCGGTCAGCAGATGAAAGACAGTTTGCACTTTATTTTTCTCCATTTTAAACATTAGAAAAAAAACTCACATAAACTGTCACTTTGGTTTCAGGCCAAATCCAGCAGCCCAAAAGGCAGCATGACATTTACATGCTTTGTCACGGCCATTTCTCTCAATTAAAATGAGATTAAAACCTCTGACAAAACACTATATAATTATAATTTGAGGATGAAGACACAGAACATATTTATTTGATAGATTCACATTGCCTGCTCCGTGTCAGCGAGAAAACAATGCAGACGGACAGGCTGTGCTGAGGGACACGATGTAGCACACTAATTAGTGATTGCATGACTTGTGTTCTCTCCTCTTTTGCATTTGGCAGCATCGCAGTTCAGAGGCTGGCAAATGAATCACGCTTCATTCTCTATGAATTCTGGGAGCATAACAACGTGTGGAAGAAGTAAGTATTTGCCCGCACCATATGCATCATGACTAATGCACCGAGGCCTCATCACATAAACCCCAAATGATGTTCTTTGCTCAGCTGGAACTCGCTGAGAGAAGGTCTGGTTCACACTGCGTATAGTGACAGTGTTCTCCGTGAGACTTTAATGAAACTGATGAGCAAAGATGCAGAGAGGAATTCATGTTAATGCAACTTCAATTCTTCATAACTTGCATTCATTTCTTAACATGTGACTTTATATTTTGCATCTGACATCTACTTAGTCTAGTCTGTTTCATAAACATTCAAAATGAACCTCAATGATAGCAACATGCATTTACCAAGCAACTGTGTCTCTCACCTTTGACTACAGTACATATTTTTATCTGAAACAAGGTCCCATGTTGGTCCACCAGAAAGGGCGGGACTTTGCCTCTTGTTATCCCAACATACAAGGAAATGTATAATAGTGCACAGAATACCCGCACCCACCCCTTCCTCCCAACAATACATTTCAAATAGCATACCATTGAAAATATACAACAGAAACAGAAACATACACATGGAAATAGCATTTTGATACAGCTCATTTGAAATGTCTTACATTTCTGCACATAAAGGTCACTACGAGTCAAAAATAGGATGCCGAAGGTGTCCATAATTTACTCTTATAGTACTGTATATTAGACTTTCTCCAGCTTTAAAAAGAACACAACATCTTTCAACTAGCTGGTGTGAGAAGTGGATTTTTCCACTTAATCAGGATAAAACAACAGGCTAACAGGCAAAGATAATGACATTATAAATATCTATTGACCAAGCAGACGTTTCTAACTTTACACTCATGGAGAAAGTGCTTAACTCCAGTGTTTTAATAAGAAATACAAACTCTGATATGAGTGTTGGTCACATTGGATTTTTTTATATTGCTTTTATGTGTGTTTTGCTGTTTCTGCTTTTTTGCGCGTTTTATGTTTTTCAAACCAACCAGCTACAAATTGCTACAAAAGTAAAGTATTTTCAAATAGACTTAATTGAAGAGACTTTTTTTTAATGTTTTGGAGGTTTTAATTAGTTGCCTGTCAATAGTGAATAGCCTAGGAGAATGGTGTCATGAATAGGTAGGTTTACAAACAACTGAAGACATCTTTATGCATCATCAGTAAGTGAATCTTCCTCTGCACAGTCACCTGCAGACCAACTACAGTAAGACCTTCCAGAGGGGGAACGTGGACTTCCTGGAAACTCCTGAGAGCATAACCACCATGCTGGTTCCTGGTAAGATCATTCATTAGAGCTCCTGCTGGTTCTCCACTCACCTCACACTCAAACCTATCATATCCACTAAGATCAAGATAACTTTCATAACCTGACTGATCTTACACTGCTGAAGGGTAACCTCTTCAGCCTCAGGTGCCCTCTGGTATGTCTATCGCCAATCACGAAGACGACCCTCAAACCCTCAGAACTTCATTTTAAATTTGTCACGATGACAAAGTTTTCAAAAATACCAAGAAGTCGTGCTGTGAGATTTGTGATTTGAGTATTTCACCTTGTAAATGTGATAAAGAACGTATGATGTCGATACGTATTTAGCTTGATGGTTCATTCTCAACCTTGGAAACAGTTTGACCACAAAAATTATTTTGAAAATAAGAAAATCTCAACACACGTTTCAATTTACTTAACTATTGAAGCTTTCAACCGCACCTCATGGCCTTTCTCGGCATGAGGCTCAGTAGTTATAATGGAAAATAATTTATATATACATCTATACAACTTAATATTTATGATATCAAATTAAATAAAACGTTCTACATGACAATCAAGCAACTCCGGATGAAGGCCATGAGTTGTGGTTGAAAGCTATGGAGACAAGTAAGTTGGATCTTATATTGAGGTTGTTGTTGTTTTCCTCTTTTGTGTTGAGGATTTTTGTTTGTTTGTTATGTTTTGGTTTTGGTTTTGGAGTCATTATTGCATTTTGCTTTGAAGCTAATTATGTAAAAGGACATTTAACAGTCACATATTCAGCTCATGTTAGACTGTCACTCATCTTCATTCATAATAAGTCTGCTTTTGTCCATGTTTTGCCATTTTTTCCAGCACACCAGCAATTGTCTTTCTGTTATTTTCCCTGCATCATTACATCAAATTGATCTTGATTCTGTCTCACAAGCATCACCACCACGTAACCAGCCACAAGCAGCGCAGAGGGCAGTGCTGATTACATTTGTCACAGATTACATGGACACACAAATGCACAAAATACACACAGCCGCAGAGGAGAGCGTACTAAGTGTGTCATTGATTGGAGTCATTTTTAAGTTATTTTCTTCTTCTGCGTCTCCTCCACAGCCTCATGGTGGGTCCTCAACAACAACTGAAAGTGGACGAGCACCGTTCACAGATCGTCACTGATGGGTGCCGAGAGCTACCTGTCAACACATCAGGAAGTCCATAGCAGCATACACACATGCGCGCACACACACACACACACACACACTAACTCAACACAACTCGTAAAGTCATGGTGATTAGTATTTAAGACCTCCATGTTCCTTCATAGTTATAGATGGTAGTCGGAAATAGTCCATGCGTATGTGTTTGTTTACATACCTAGACGACGCTCTGACGTCCTAAAAGCAATGACCTCATCAGACAGAGACCCATCTGATGATCTGACATCATCACTTTGTTTGAAGTGACATCATCTGCAGCCCGGAGTAGATAATGAAAGCTGAAGTGAGCTGTGTGTACGTGTGTACGTGTGTGTGTGTGTGTGTGAGAGAGAGAGAGAGGGAGAGAGAGAGAGAGAGGGAAGGACAGATACTTGTATCAATTGTAGCAGCTCTGGTGAGCTCATTAAAACATTATTCTGTTGTTTCTGTATTTAATGTCTCCAATAAGATAATCATAAATAAAGACGCTATATTGTTGTGTATCATGTTTTTACCCCTAGTTATTGGCTTGTTTGTCTATTAGTCTGTTAACACCATATCTAAAAACAAAACACATCGAGGAACAGTTGTTTAGAGTTTTATGGTTATCCAAATATGGAAGTATCAGGGATGGATACCTAATTCCTAATCCGACGAGTTTGTTTGCCGAGACAAGATGGGGATTTCCATTGAAATTATAGTGGCAAGAATTATGCATTTTAATGTAACAGAAAGTTGACAACATGTCATTGTTGGTCTGCTCCGTTCTGTGTGTACCCTGATATCTATGGTGTGAGACATGGGCCCAATCCCAATCTCCACCCTCACGGACTCACAGACTTTGAGACGCGCTCTCGCAAAGTCCGTGAGGGTTTAGGGCCGTCCCACTGTCAAATCATCGAGTGTTTTCAGGCTCTCTTGCAGACATTTTGAGCCCCTTATGAATAATTTCCGTAAATTTGTATTGCTGCAGACTTTGCCCAAGGGAACTACCCACAATTCCTAGCAATGTGACATTAAACACGGGGTTACCAGTGGTAGCGTAAAAAAAATTAAAAACAGAGGACAGCACATGTGTGTTCAGCCTGGAATATTACATTTACTCAGAAACAAGGATTAAAGATGAAACATAAAAACACATGGAAGCAGAGGAATGAAAGCAGAGATTATATATTACAGATTTATTTGTCAAACATTTAAGTAAAAAAGTAAATACCCACATATTATTTGTGCATAATATTTTTTGACGTTGTCGTGATAACGTGATATGTTGCAGCAAAGTGCTGTCCCATTCCTATTTACATAATTTCAAGCCCTTACAGTCTCTCACATTCAACAATTTACCAGGTTACGTAAGTAAGTCCCTACGGGTTCAGGGTGTAAGGCCTTAGGGGGGACATTGGGATTGGGCCCCTACCACACACACTTAAAGCCTTTAACACAGCTAACTAAAATGCTTTATCAAATGTTTGCCAATGGCACCACCATGTGGGCACATAGCAGTGAAAGAACAGGCCGCTGAGAATTATCCTGGCTTTTGTAATTGGTCAGGAAATATGAACACTTATAAGTATCAGCTAAATATTTTGTATAACAGGTTTATCATTATTCTTAATACTTTTATAGACCATGTAATCACATAAAATCAGTAAATCTGCAAAACAACAACTAGATGAAAAATGTTTTGTTATCAATTCCTCTGGCTGATTAGACATCGAGCCTGGTTGAAGTTCAGCGGAGCTTGGAATTACCTGATGACCTACAAACACTATCTACCATTCAGAACGATGATATAATACGATGTCCCACCTAATCAAGTACAGCTTGTACTCACACAGTCCAGAGAAGAAGTCCAATAATGCAACAGGAGTGAAGACGCCTGTGTGGGTGGACTGTGGATGTGTGGAACATGCTGCTGATCACTGGTTACTGTTGTCATTATAAGAAAATGAAGCATCTGTTTTTAATGGCTGTACGGTCTCAGTCTCACATAGTACAGTATTTACTATCTGCAAGTAGAAGTACTCTTTGGGAACATTCTCACCCTTTCAAAGCATAATTAGTTAAGATATAATTTATATTATTATCAATGACACATTATAATTGTGTAAGCAGCATTTTAATACTCCTACTTTTAACACTTTATATTGTTGGAAGGTTTAATCTAAAGTAATGCATCATATTTCATGAGATAATCATGTTTTTCGTGAAAATGTTAAATCTGACGAGTAACTATAGCTGTCAAATAAATGTAGTGGAGTAAAAAGTACCATATTTCCCTCTGAGATGTAGTGAAGTGGAAACAAAGTAGCCTTAAATGGAAACCCTCAAGAAAGGTATCTCTAAATGACGTAAGTGCATCCCTTTTGTTTGAACCTTGTGTGCAAGCGTATGTCCTTACATGTGGTAAGTCTGAAACATCACAGCCAATGAGCAAACTGTACAATACAGGCAGTTTTTGCATTTTATTGATAAATTATCATTTTTAAAAAGACCCACGAGCCATCTTCTGCTTTCACCTTTCACTACAGTTTTCCAAGTACTGAATTTGAGCTATATACAAAGGGTTTTTTAACATTATGTTCTGCTTCATCATCATCATCATCATCATCATCATCATCACATTCAAAACAAGGTTAGAAGTTTGAGCTGCGCCCACTGGTCAAGGTGAAGAGACAGGAAGCCGAGTTAGCCTATAGCGATGCTAGCTAGCACAGAGTTCACCGGAGGTCACAGAGCGGCGATTATAAGCGGAGGGAGGAAGAGGAGGGTTTACATTCTAACTCACAGGCAGACAGAGCAAAGACAGGAGCATCATAATCTTCAGCTACCTCTCTGAAAACTGACAAAAACACCACCTCAGTGACAGAGCATAAGAGAGTCAACATGCAAACATGAGTCCCCATGTTCTGGGATCATATTCCAACATTGAGAAGGCAACGGAAGAGCAGTGAAAAACAAAGGGGGGTTCAAAATAACTTAAACTAAAAGGGTTATTGCTGTAGTGAGTTAAAAGCTGCATGACACCAAAAATGAACACTTTGATATTTAAAAAAAGACACACTCCTTTTGATCTTTTGCACTTCTTGACTAATACTGGGCAGCAAAGTTGGCACAAATGGGTATTCAAGAATTTCTTTTAAAAATGGATCATTTAGAGAGTTAAAATCATATTGCAATACTATGTCAGTGTACACACAGGCAAGATAAATGGTTTCAATACAGTATGGGTCTGCAGCTTTCTGTAGATTCTGGATTTTGGAGGATTTTGGCAAAACCTGGGCAGGATTTTAGTCCTTGTGGACTAGTAGGAGGACTGATTGACATACATTAGGTTTGTTCAGTGGGTCAAAACTCTCTAAAACATTCCAGACAAAAACAATAAGATTCAAGCTACACCTCCAAAATACACCTCTTCAAACACACACACACAACACCTCTTCAACACACTCCTGTCCAGAGGCTCTGCAGGCATTCCTCTCTGCTGAACATGACCGGTTTAAAATCTGGATGGCAAAAAAAACTAAAAGTGAGGTTTGTTCTTCCAGCCATGCCGAGTCCGCTCTAGGCGAAGCTATTCTCCGGGTAGCTGACTTTGATAGCGCCCCAGTAGCAGGCTCGTATCAGACAGATGAGACCCAGCAGGTAGGCGAACGCCCAGGACACGTAGGTAGCGTTGTAACGATTGGCAAAGTCCCGAGTCCCAACCTGTTAATACAGAGAAGAGGAAGAGACGGTGGGTGAAATATCAACACCAAGAATATTACCTTTCATCTTGCAGGAGAAAGATTAATAAAATTAAGTTTGTTATGTTAGACTTCATCAATCAGACATCCACTTCATCAGGAAAGTGCCAGAAAAATTGCAACAAGCTCAGTAACCTTGATGTTAGGGACTGTAATCTCACGAGACCATTATCAAGAGATTATGATTCTAATATCATTATACCAAGTTGTAAAAGTCCGAAGTGACTCTGATATACTGTGAAAAATTATAAATATGTAATATGTAATATGTAATAATATAAATATGTGGCTGTTTATAAAAAAACAAAACATATAGTTTTTGTTTTGTGAACAGTTTGTAGAACTAAAATCACGACACAAGATGTGTCACTTTATATTGCTCTATTTATTCCTTCTTCTTTTTCATAATCTATGTACACTGTAAAGCACATCTTAACATGTCTCACGTGTTGTGACCATATAGTAATTTAAAGTCTACTGGAGAGTTGCAGATCTCGGCAGCAGATCTCGGTCTACCGCTGTGGTCCAGACTTCAATATCTCAACATGCCATGACATTTTAAAAAGGCCTCTGTGTTCCTCAGAAGATGAAAGCTAACGATTTCTGATCCCCTGAATTTTCCTTTAGCAGCTCTTCACTTTTGTGGTTTTGAGTCAAATATCCATCCAACTATTGGATGGAATTTTTGTGAAGTTTGCTTCACACATTCATGTTCCTGCAAAAGTAGTGACGGTTCCATCATCCTCAGCTGTACTTTGTGATTAGTACAAGTTACTATCTTCAATCCAAATTGCTAAATAACAAAGAGAGATGGACGTTTCAAATCCATTCAGCCACTCTGGAGATAAAAATATTAATAAGTCAAAAAACCTGTCTGTCCACATATTTCAGTGAATATAACATCAGTTGGCTATAAGCTGGAGATGAGTCATTTCTACATGTTGACCCACCGAATGGAAAAAAGCATTGCTGAGAACATAAAACCCTTTGTAAAGTCTTTGTAATATGTCCTATTAAGAGGATATTTAACTGGGGAACAAAGGACTCTGGATAGAGAGCCTGTTACTATATTAGCATCCAAGCTGCTAACGTGGCTGTAGACTCCTGTCTTGTTTAAAAAACTTCTATTATCTCTCTTTTTATGATGTTTTGCCTTTAAAATCGTATTTGTCTTTGTCACTTCCATTTTGGTGCTCGTGAGTTTGTCACTATGCTGCCTGTTTGATATTTCCTGCTAAATGCCTTCATTGCTAAGCGCTTTGGAACTTTTGTTTTGAAAGCATTACATATATAAAAACAATGAACACAAACAAGACGAAGACAGTACTTACCGTTAAACCCACTCCAATGAAAATGCAGATCATTCCTACAGTTATATAAGCACAACAACGCCTCCTGGGGAGCGCACTGCCAACGGAGGATCTGCAGAAAGAGAGTGATGAGAGGAACACAGGTCAGTCATACATTTTAGATACTTATGTTTTGGTTCTGTGAGAAAGAAGATTTCATTCTTCTATATCTTTTTTTTATACTTGTATGTGGTTATGGTTGAAAAAAAACCATAACCACATGATGTTGACTGATATGACTTCATACCATTTTCCCAGTGATCTCACTTTACAGCAGCCAAAAATGTCTCTCTTCCTCTTTTACATAACACATGAAAGCGCCGGAGGCCGGTCACATGTTCCAACATCCAGACTGCATACAAACACATGCACAAGTTGACTGCCCCTCAGCATCAATTTCTTTGTTTCTTTTTTGCTCAACCCTTTCTTTACTTTCCTCCCCCTCTCTGCTCTCACATGCCTCCCATGTGACGGGACTCAAGCATTCTTCAGGAATCGTTGGTATTCAGATGGCTTAAGGGGAGCCTGATCACCTGATTTCTCACCTTCTCTCACTCCTTCTTCCCCTGCTTTCACGTTTCGTCTTTGTTCAACTCACTGTTCACAATTGTGCCACCTGACCATCTCATTCATTTGACCTGTGACCATATATGCAGCAGGCCTATATTCAAAGGATGTTTTTGAAAGATTTAAGAGCTGAACATCACTTGCAAAACAAGAATTAATGAGGCAAACAGACTGGATCAACAGTGCATCAGTCTGACTAACAAAAAAACAGCCCTACTACAACACTTCACATGCGGAATTGGGGGATTTTCCTCTGTGAAGTATCACTATACCAAAAAGTATCGGTTCTTTATAAGCATCAAGGTAAAATCCTAACAACTCCATGTTACTTCTTCTGTCACTGTCTTGACTTCTGTTGCAAGAGCAAAGGGAGTTTATAGAGATGGTGTCAAAATATGAAATAAAATACAAGGAAAGATGGCAAAAGAGGTACAGAGACAAAGATTGAGACAGACACGGAGGTATAGAAAAAGATGCAGAAATAAGAGACAGAGATCGAGGCAAAGACAGCAGATTGTTATTCTGAGGCAGAGGTCTGTCGTCTCAGCATCGCTATAGATAAAGTCCCTATCATCCCTTTCAGACACACCTCTTGATGCCCTCCCACCACTTCTCAACTCTGTGACCCTCCTGCACTGTTACCATTACATGTATTGAGGCCAGGCTTTAATTCCTGTCACACGTCTAGATTAGCCCACATCACCTCCCCTCTCCTTCCAAGAACTACAAAGTCCAGACCTCCAAAGCTCAACGACCATAACGTAAGATAAACTCAACTTCTCCAGCAACAAGAGCTGAAAGTAAAACATTTTGATACCATATTTCATACCAAACCACAGCCCTACGTGTATGAGAGTTGATGCCAATGCAGACGTGTAAGTTTAAAGATTTGTTTGTTTAAAGACCACACTTGTAAATTTGCATTTGAAGTCCATTGAAGTCCGTGTTCGTGCTCAAATGCACGAACACGAACATGCACTAAAAGCACGCGTGGCCGGCCCATCTATGCCAACAAGGAAAGGAGACGCTCGGATAACAACAAACATAGAGGGAGATATCTGTATCTATATCTATACATAGCAAATAGTTGTTTGCTGCTATTTTAATACTCGCAATCCCATATATTGCACCTTTAAATTAGTCTTTAACTGTAAAACCAGGAAACAATAATGTAACTCTGACAACAATTAATGAAGACTTGATGCTTTTTACATTTAAGAAAGTTTCAAGAGTCTGCTAAATGATTTTCCAACCATACAGAAATTAAATGAAAACCAATGGCGGCAATCAACGGCAAGAAAAAATCATCCAAAACCGAAAGTGTGTATGTAAGTAATTGTAATGAGTTGAATGGAGGCTTGATGGACTCACATTTTTTTGCAGTGGGGACACTTGGCTAGTGTGTTAAACCGAAGCTCCATCCACTGTGAGGAAACAGAGACGAAGGACAGTTTACTTACATTACAGGAGCATCCACGCGAGCACATGTGAGCACATAAATACAACAGCACACTATTATACGACTGTACTTTTAGAACAATCACCACGAGATCTACCGGGAATGATTTCACATGATGATCAATTATGATGGTTTGCAGGTTGTAAATCTATTTATTGAGTCTGTATTGGAGAAAATGTGAAACAGTAGGCTAAATTAACATATAAAATTACTCTTATGATATATTAGTTAGGGTTGTAAATATACAATTGTTTCATGAAGGGGTTTGATGTTAAAAGCAGTGTTACGAAAATGTTTATCCATCACAGATTGGAAAGATTTAAGGTCCTATTGAAACAAGTTTAATATGTGACTTTCGACATCTGGCTTGAGAGAAGGAATGAAAAACTCAACAGAAATTCAGGCCAAACCATCTTGATTTAAACCATTTTTACACTTAAAAATGAAATACAAGTTGCTCTTTAACTGAAGCGCTCTTCAAAGCCAGATGTCTACAAAGTCATATTATCACCAGTGTAAATAAGGCCGCAGATTGAACTGGAGCAGGTTAGGCTGTTGTTAATATGTGTCCACCAGTATGACCAGCTTTCTCAACCTCTTGTGGTGCTGGGGGAGAGCCATCGCTGGGGAGGCTAGACATTGGCTGGGATGTTCTGGCGTCCTCACTGCCCTACAGACAGCGCAAGCAACAATTTGCACACGTTAAGAGGATCATATCACTGATTTTGACACGCGAGTCTGTGTCATACTGACTCAATACCTCAGGTTCTGCACCTTCTCCCTTCAATGGACCTGGCAGTTCCATTTAAGGTATTTAAACCTCCATGTCAGCGAACTGTGCAACTCTGCTATAATACTGTAGACAATCCCCTGTGTCCATCCCTGAATGTGGTTTGACTATCAATATTTTTAATATGCATGTACCATCAACAGCACAGCAACACTTATGCATGAACAACTTCTGCGATTGGTTTAGACGTTAGTTGTCCTGGTTGGTTTACGTACAAGAAAGGTGTTGCCACAGTGGCCGCAGACCACCCTCATCCCCTCAGGTTGGATGGGCAGTGCCGGCTGGGCGGGCTGCTCCTCTGGGATAACCATCACTGGGCTCAGGTTGATTATCCGTCTGCTGTGGAAGGAACAAAGAGATGGACAAGATAATAATTACAACCTATCCAAGACAGGATTATAAAAGTTTTGATGGCATTAAAGGTCTTGATTTGTGTTATAAAAGGTGCCTTTTCTTTGGCGTTGTAAAAGAAGTAAACACACAGACTGAACTTGACCACCAGCTACCTACCAGTTTGGTCGAGGACATCCTATCCTCCTCGACGTGTCTTTACAGATGAGCAGGCAGTTACAGGGACACCTCACATATTTCTTCCCTGTTGGGGGAGTTTTGATGGGCTGGAAGGCAAAACATCAAAATCGTATGTAGAGTTGATCGCAGGCCGGCTGATGCACATCGCTCAGTCTATAGATCTATGTCTGCAGTGTTTGGTGAACCTGAGCTGGAATAAGATGCAACAACTGAAGGACACCATGATGTTTGAGTTTAATAGAATAAGAAATGACTGTGTTGATGTATAAGCACCACAAACATCAGCCAGTGGAAATGTCCTTTTGTGATAACATCCGTTTATCATCCTCATTCTCCACTGACCGATCGATCAAAGCTCTCAGTTAGACACATTTCAAGTCATATGGAGCACTTATCACTGGACTGATTGATCGATGTGACGGCTGTCCACATCAACATCTGGTACAGCTGTAAAAGGTGGACATTGCCAAGATGTAAAATAGTCCAAAAAAATGGCATCAAAAGCAAATGGTTTCTCTCTTAATTGCTGACAAATTCCATATTTTATCATTCAAAATGATGCCGCGCAATAACACAAAAAAGCATGTGCATGTGTGATTAGATTGCCGAAGAGATGAAATGTGAATTGATTGTGGAAAAGGAGAGGCGAGCAGTGATAACCAGCTCAAATAAAACTGAAGACTAAATGTCTTTACTCATGTTGACAACTACAACGACTCAACGCCAAACACCATTAATAAAGCCGTCATCGGCCTCAACAACGGCCTCCACTTACTGTAGCTTCATTGCAGACTGTGCACTTGACCACGTGCTGATGCAGCTTTCCATCCAGGTTTATGAGCGACTGACATACGCGGCAGTTGATGACGGGCACACCGCCGGCGTCGGGGCTCGCGATGGCTGTGTAGGGAGGAGGTAGTTCGGCTTTGAAAAGAGGAGGAGGGCAAAGCACACAACACACGGGCCAGCTGTTAACTGCATGCATCGATACAACTTCAGGCATTAAACAGACCAAATCACCAGGATCCTTAAGATGTTAGACATCACATTAGAAATTAAACTAGAATTAAATGTAAGGACGGAATGTCATTGGTTGATAAAGGCCACAAGATGCAGCTTAAAGCTGTGGAAGAGATCAAGTAAATGGCCTTTATGTTAAGCATATTAACGGATGATGAGAATAATCTTTAGTTGCAGCTTTCATTTTATATTAAGCTCCCCACAACAATATGCAATACAAAACAAACGTCTGATGCATGCCAAAACAACTAACAACCACAATTATTACCAATAGGAATCATTTTCAGGACTAACTTTTCTCAAAAAGGTATATAACATACAGGTTATTCAGTCATGTCTCTCTTAGTAACTATTAATCCTAGTGTGTGGTGGGCAGCCTGCAAACACTGCTGCACATACTCATCACGCAACCTCATGACAGCCTGTGTACGACTCTGATTGCTCAACACGTGACTCGCCTCTCTTTGTCAGGAGCCGAGCACCACTCTGTATGTTTAAGAAAGAAACAATGGGCCCTTTTACATCCCAACGCGATCGCAGACAAAGTTAACATTTAAGTAATTTGTGACACAATACATGGATAGAAATAAATAGGTGGATTCTATCAGACATAAAGTGTTTGTGAAAGATGTACCACCTACCCATATTTTATGGACATAGAGGTTTTAAGACATCAGTCGGATGGGCAGCTATTAAAATGTCTCTGCTAACGAGGCTAATGAGCTCCTAAATATTTTTGGCTGAGAAGCAAAGAAAAGCCAGTCGACTAATTCGTGTTTCATAAACAAGTGTAATCAACAGAATCAAATGGCCAGACTTAAAGAATGTTCTCTTAATGTCTGAAAGAACTACTGTGAACCAACTACGGATGCCAGTCAAATGACCTCTGCACTGTTTAATCCCACATTATGTTATTAGTCTACATTCCATGTGTTTTTCAAGGTTTTAATCTTTAATGCATTTAAGCCATAGATGTGCACCGCCGACCACCTTTACAACTGCTAGTGTTGTAGTCGAGCATACTTTACGATCTGTGTCGCACTTAAAACTCCATTCAAACGTTTAATTGCAGTTATACTAAATTGTATTTTCTGACATCCTAAAGACCACACATTTATTGATTTAACTGAGAAAATGATCAATAGGTCAATCAATGATGGAGATAATGATTTGATGTGGCCAAAAACAAATGACCATCAACCACAATACAGTATAATATTATCTCTTGTGCTATTATCAAGTCTTTGTTAAACCTGACCCGAGTCTACCGACCAAACACATAGGAGCCCTCTAATCTGACAAATGGCCCATTTCCTTCACTCTGAATGAGATAATGGGACGAGTCAAGAGGTAAACGTGCTTGGCTCTGAGATTCAGAGACACTTGACAGATGGGACTCCCCGTCTACAATTGGTCAAACGTGGCTAGAAATACAACCAAAGTATGCCAAAGACTGGACACTACTACTGTGGACGGGCAGCACATGGTGATCCATTTCTACTTAGCCGAGTTAATCCAAAACGTATGAAATACAATCCTTAAACACAGTCAGTAGTCTGTTATCCACCACCTTGTCTCAATCTCAGGCCTGTTTCCACTCGCTTCTCTCTCTGCTGTGAAGTTGTCCTAATGCAAGACTGAAACTGATAGCAGCTATGAGTTTTCACCGGCTGTCCTCGGAGCCAGAGGTAAGACGAGAGGACGCTCTACTACAACCCCCAGCAGCACCACAACATTCAGCCTCCATCACGTCCTGGCTTTAGCTGGTGCCATCAGTGGTGACGTGACTGGTGGTTTGTGTTGAAGAACGGCTGACTGAGAAGCTGCTGTTGGACACAAGCTGCTCAGGGATGTTTTTTTTTTTGTTTTTTTTTTTATTCTGCTTCCTGTTCCTCATGTGACATGAAATAAAAAACTCTCTTTAAAAACTGAAAGGACAAGGCTCTGTATTTGTGTTATTGTCAACAAGCCCCATGAAAAGATTAAAACCAACATTGAATCAGAGTCTCAGTATTTTCTGTCTCACTTAGCCCATTAGCTGCTGCTAAAGACACACATTTAAAGTTACATTTTCTTTTAAAGACTTTCAAACATCTGGGCACTGTAGATTCTAGTGAATGTTACTCAGATGGGAGTAAATTGTTTATTTGTTGGGGACTAGTATCAGTTGATACAGATGATGGAGCTCCAGCGTAGGGGTGAAGGATATGGCCTTAAAATGTCATAATACTTAGCTAAATACTTCTGCAGTTGCTCAAAAGTTTTTTCCCCTTTTTTGGCATTGATGAAGCTCTGATTAATTACCACTCAGCAAACATACAGTGACGGTGATGATCAACCAATCGTCATCAACTTAGTTTGTAGAATCAACTCATTTTGGGTTGTGGTATTTTCAGTGGATTTGTTGACAGTAAAGAAAATATATAGACTCATCGTTCCCAGTTCCCCTGGATAACTAGCACTTCCCTGACCAGCTAAGTGTACAGTATGAGGAGGATACATATTGTAGATTCTTGACTCCACCTTTGAAAGACTTTGCTTTGAATACCCTTGAATATACTGGTCTACCAATGCTGGTTTGAAAATGTGTATTTTAACATCAAGCACAGAGCCAGTCTAACCATTCAGATGCAGCCAAGGCCATTGGTCGCCACCCCTCACCACCACACTGTGAATCTCTACCTGATAGAGCTGAATAAAACCTGAGAACTCTGATCATCAGGCAAAGGAGTCGTAGTTCTTTAGTGTCAGATTGTAAAGACATTCAGGGAATCAATACAGCAAAGATTGCAGTCACTTTCACATAATGACATATTTTACTCAATCCTAATCACAGTCAAAGTACCATCTCAGTGATTGTGTTTCAGGAAAACAGCTCAGTTTTGGCTTCTTTGACTCGGATTAATCCATTTTGCAAATTGGCTGATAGAGGATTCAACAAGCCCAGAGAAACCGGAATTAGCCATAATCCAGACTGCAGAGAGGGAGGGAGGAGAAAGTGGGCCATGAAATATACCGACATTCATTTCGGCTTTTACTAAGTCAGTGCTGTCAGTTCACAGGTTATTACAGTCCAGCATTAAACTCTTTATGAATAATCCGGTGGTGAAATATGAACTCTGCAAGATTAGAATGCGTCAGAACAACAAAATATTGTTTCTTCTTTCAACACTTGTGTTGCGCTTGATATTAGCCGTTTGTCCTGAAATGCTCTATGAGGAGTATTACGAGGTCAATGAATCCATTCATTTGCAGCAGAACAACCAGTGTTGTGACATTTTAAAGAAAGCCCATAACAAAAAGGTACAAGAAGAGGGAACTTTAGGGCACAGAGCCTGAAGCTAACTGTACTTATGTTACGACAAAACATAACCCGTTGATATGAGTCTGATCTGGATGTTTTTGTGTAAACACTAAGAGGGAAGGTTTTTTAAATATATATATATTTAGTAAAGCCTCCAGCCAAAAGAAACAGCATGTGTCTTTGTGTATGTCTCCAAACTTCAAAATGGGATTTTATCTTCTGCAACATAAATTCAGAATCAGACTACATTCAGTGCAAAGGCCAGCCCCTGACAGCAGATTACAAACTGAGAGGACTGTGGATTTATGAGCAGTAATTGCCTGGGTCATTCAGCCCTGCATGCATTACGGTGCTGTAACCTACATTCAGCTGTTTACTAAGCAAAATGTGGACACTCAGGTTCCTTGCTGTCCATGCACATGTCCTGTACTGAAAATTATAGAATATATTCAAACTGTCTTCGTAAGATCAAGGCCACATATGTCTTGTTTACAGTCTATTTTGCATGCAAATGAGCTAACTGGCAGCTTAATGTAACACATTATGACATTTTGGCATGCTTCGGGGTTCGATCCCATCCACCAAGGATACATCTGGGCCCTTTTTTGTCGATCTGAAGCTGGGACAAAAGGCTGCTCGGCCGCCTTCATCTGCAGTGGGTCGTCTCTCCCTCCCCCCCGTCAATCAACAACATTAAAGCCCACCTCCAACGAGGCCTCACATCACGACTCAGAGGCTACCGTTTCTTATGATGAAGACCCAAAACATGACAGGCCCCACCGAGTCTCGATGTGAGCATTTCTGCAGTAAAAACAAAGTCTGCTGTTATTGTAGGCCCCTCTTCTCTAACCCACTGCTCCAGTTCTCACAGTGCGAGCTCCACCTTTTTCCCAGCTGCGGAGTGACTGCCCTCGCCTATGTCTTGCATTGCTGCAGCTTTATTTACGCACAAACTCGATACGCCCAAGAAATGATTCAGCACGCAGGCTGTGTTTACCTCGGGGACTTGAATCCTGCAGGTACGGGGGAGCAGTGGGGGTCGCGTTGTCGGAGTTGGGACCCGACAGCAGCGGGGATCGCTCGTCCATGCCGTCGGAGGCCATGTCGTCAACCGTGGACCGCGAGACTTTTGACGGGCAGAGACGGCGGGCAGTCTCCTGGCTGCACCGAGTCTTCGCTCAGCACGGAGGAGCAGCCGGCGGCTGGTTGTTAGTGCCGAGTTGCTCCGGTCCAGCAGCCCCGGTGACGGCAGCCTGGAGGAGGGAGGAGCTCCGCGGAGATCCCCCTCCCTTCTCCCCGCCCCTCACTGACACGACCTGGGGCATGGGCAGCGCTCGTGTGCGTTGAGTTTAATACTGTGATGGAATTTAGTGCAAAGATTATATCCTGGAATTAAAATGTAAGTGTGAAGCCTCAAAACGCATGCACGTGATTATTTATATTTTAGTCCATATTGTCATAAATGACTATGTAAAATGTCCTACTGGGACTCCGAACAGTGTTTAATTGATGGAGGGATGGATACAATGATACATCAATAAAGCAGCGATTTCCATTGTTTGCCACTAGATGTCACTGTAGGATTACTTTGGTCTGTGCTGTGTCAGCATTTAGATCATAATATATTATTTAGACCAACCTTTATGCCTTGTGACCTCTTAAACCGAAACTATGTCCACTTACAGCCCCACATGACAATTTGTTTTTGTCTGTGGCTGGGTTGTAAACATTCTCAGATTGTTTTACGCACGCACACGCACACACGCGCGCACACGCACACACACACGCACACACACGCACACACACATGATTTGTTGTGCAGTGTTATTTTGTAGGAATCTGAAACTTGTCACGTTGACCTCATTCTTTCATTTCAAATGCAATACAATAATTGTCACTGTGACTATTTTTTTCTGGCTCTTCCACCTGATTATATTTCTCCATTGAGCCAAAAACATGGATTTTCTTCATCTGACTAAAACTAATAAACTTCTACTCTTTGTTCTCCAGATGGTTTGGAAATCATTAGCAGGACCTGAAAGTGTGGATAGGACTCATCCAGAGTGATCTGCATTTTACCTTTTTCCACTCTTGAAGTTACTAAACTTGTGTATGATGGTTTATCCCGCGAATCTCAGTCCATTCTGCAGATTGATGGTGTGCATGTTCATTCCTCCCCTTAACATTACAACACTTTGGATAGTTTGTGCCAGATTTCGTCCCTCCCATTCCTTGTTGCTTATGTCAGGGTGTAAACCTCAGGCAACATTAATTAATTCCCTGGCATTCAAAAGACTCACTAAAAAAACGCAGATGGTTGTGTATCAGTCTTTGGGACAAAAACAGTCTGGGTTCATTTTAAAACCTTTGTGTTTGTTCTTGAAACAGCAAGATAAAACGACGATCTGTCAAACTGTTTCAATGCACATACGATTGCATGATGTTTAGATGTTTTGGAGCAAAATTCAAGTCTGACTGGTCCCGTTCAGGACATTGTAAAATGGCTCATAAATTCCAATAGCATGTCACCTCCTACTGCATTCACAGACTCACTTTACCGAAATCAGTACAATCCAGCATTGAAACTTAATTTTTACTTTTTTAAAGTAGGTTACATAAAAGCCTGTCTGCTGTTTGTACTTGTAAGTCAGTGACAGATTCCCAGCCAGACTACAAGTGTGTTTGACGTTCTTTGGGGCAAGTTTCCTTCAATTACTCCACAGACCCTGACGGAAAATCCTTGCTCCTGACTCCGCTATAACCGCGCCAGTAAAACGCGATTCACGTCGCTTGTAACAGGCTGCAGTCAACGACTCATTCTTTCCGATCACTTCAGGCGACGGAGGAGCGTCGCAGCACTCACAGACTGCATCGTCGCTGTGGTTTCTTTACACGGTAAGACAATTACATATAGACAAGACATGAGGGGAAATAATGCAAGGTATTGAGGAAAAGGATGTTTTTTATGAGATATAAATGTTGCAGGGATCAGGAGTTTCGGATTAGCTGTGAGGCTTCTTAACAGTCTGCTGCTGGCAGACCATGAAGCTCACAAAATAAGAGTAAAGCCTCCAGACATAATATAAGAAATGAAACATAACCTACTATCTGCTTCAGCTTTTTTGGAGATGTATAAGCTACTGTACCGACAAAAAAATCATTTGTTCTTGATGGAGAAACGTGGCAATAGTGTAGCTGCAATTAACCTTTTTCTACTTTTTATTAAAAGTAACAGATTTTATACTTTTATTTTGAAGGTAAAATCTCATTGTGCCTGTATTGACACAGTTATATGCCAATTAAAAGTATCACTGCTATTCTTAACTTTATAAATAACAAGTTTAAATGTATTGGCCCATCAACATCTCCATCCCTGCACATGCAAATTATAGTCTGTCTAGAAACTGCATGGGATTGTGTGTATATTTTTTGTCTATTAGATTTAGGTTAGATATCATGGCTCATTAAAAACATTTAAATAGTGTGAAAATGCAGATAGAGGTTGTGATAGACATGTTTTGTGAAAAAAAAAAAACAGCTTTGTTACAGGAAAAGATTACAGGGGAAAAAATGCGTAGTTGATAAGGTCTGTCATGATGCCAACAAATGGCCCTTCCAACCATTACAGCTGTGTGTGTGTGTGTGTGTGTGTGTGTGTGTTTGTGTGTGTGTGTGTGTGTGTCCATATGAATAGTGCTCCACAAGTCTGATCTATCCTTCACGTTTCAGCCAGTTTGGAGATGCTCCAGGGGGCAGTGAGCAGGGCTGTGCTCTGCCTGTCCTTCTCCCTCCTGCTGGGGGTCTGTTTCCCAGCAGAGGGTGCAGGGGCAGCAGGGCCTCTTCCTACTTTACCCCATGAACAACACTCTGGGGAACCAGACCTTGAGGATTGGGAGTGGGGTTCTGGATCATCTCTTCTGCACCTGCTTCACAGCTTCCCTGCTGACAGCCCCTTCATCACAGAGACCCCAGGAAAACCAGTCAACTGCACCCAGCGCTTCTGGTTACCGCCATCCTCTGCAATCTGCTGGGAAAACATAGCCGGACCCGAGGAGTTTGCCAGGTCCCGTCTGCTTGTCCTCCAGAACAGGGCTGCCCTGCAGGCTTTGTCCACCACCAGCGGGGTGGAGGAGGGAGGGGTCTCCTACGAACTTCAAGCCAGAGAGGAGGTCCAGGGGATCCACTCAGACCACCTGAGTGTGGTAGAGACTATGCAGACCATGGAGAAGGTGTTTGCCTCTCTGAAGGAGACAAGGAAAGAGGGGAAGGAGCAGGGAGTCGTCACAAGGTGAGCAACGGTCCATGGACTATTTATTTAATAACCTAAGGGATCCTATAACTCATTTATTTAAAAAACTGTAATGTAATAACTGAAGAAGTGTGAATAACGTGAACCTCTGATTTCTTATTTAAAGATGTAGGAACAGGAACATGTATCAAGCTGGCTTTTTTGTTGTTGCATATTTATATCTATATACATTAGAACCGTACTTTACAGAGACCAGTCACAAAGCAAAGCTACAAGCCCTACTGTACAGAGACAAATAAATTACGTTTCTGGTAAATTCTGATCCGAGGCCAGCTGTGGGATTATTCCTTAACCATTGTTAGTGAGGCAGTCAGGAACTCCGGATCAGTGTTACTTGTTTGGTCTAAACATAACGCTGCTTGAATGCCAAGGAAGACAGAGTGGAAACAGCATCCAGACAAACAGTTAAGTCATTTCAAATGTTTCCCAAGAGTCATCTGGCTGAGACGAGGCTCTGCCACCAAAACAGCTGCAGAGAATTAATGCAATTCAGTGCCTTTTCTCTATTAGATGTGAAAGAACAGACTTTTATTTGATAGAATCGCTTGCAAAGTCGTGTGTAAATGTGTGAAAAAAAACTGTGGTTTGTCATCTCTTTCAGCATGAAGGAGCATCTTGCCAACACAAGAGACGCCATAGATGGAAGAGAGCACATGGCAAACATCCTGGAGAGTCATTTTTCTAAATTAGAGAATACTTTGCTTAACATGCAGCTTAGACTGCACAAACTCATCCGGCAGTGACAGTAACAAGGACCGGTTGTCCTATTTGTGCTGTATTGATATATTCATGTACATTATCGTACAACAATGTAGCAAATGCATGCACGCTCAGGATTATGTTAGTAATATGCACCTTACGTCATCAAAGCACTTAAAAGTAACATGTGTAACTAAACCTCACACTATCAGGGAGATTTGATGCACATGTAGCTGTTACATCACGTTTTATATTTCCAGTTTGCAGACTTGTTCCACATGGAGATTTCATGGTCACGCTAGCAGCCTCTCGTAAAAACCACAAGACATTTGTGAAGCTGGGAGCGGAATAATTGACTTGTTTAACGCATCATTCAACATGAATAAACTGCATTTTCATACGCGTTTCTGTCTGTGGTAGTGGTGTAAAATACATGCAGAGCAACATGGATATCAGACAGCATGAGCCTTTATTTTAATATCAAATCTAAACAAAGAACTTGTAAATGCATTTCATTTGGAAAGATGCAGCATGTTCACTTGCTATGTAGTTAAGATGCAGAAAAAAAGAGGCATTTGTACTTTTAATTAGTTTAAACAACTTTCAAGTATTTATGATAAACTACTCGTAGCTAAAACATGACGATATCTTTTAAAGCCATCATGTATAACTTAGAATCAGTGACATCGACATATTTCACATCATCTGTAAAGTAAAGTGTTTACCCAATCATAACTCAGGAGCCGAGACATCCGTGCGCCAGCTGTGAGGAATATTATTTCTTGGTCCGCTACATGGAGTTAGCCCACAGAGGGCTGCAAGTTATTAAGAGAAAACTATTTACTCCTCCTAAATGCAAAACAAGCACGATATCTATCAGACATAGCTCCCAGAAAACCTTCAAAGATCCAATCCGGGCCAATCCGAAAACATCAAAATCTTGAGGCGTGATTGCAGCTACGGCTGCTTTGTTTAGGCCATTGTTACAAATTTAGATTTCTGGCATCAAGTATCCATCTCAGACATACAGTACAATTTCTACATTCCTTTAAGACTGAAGTGTTTGAAGGTGATCTTTTGAGGTCTTCACTTGATTTCACATTTTCCAATATGTGGCTTTACTTTCAGTTCAATGTCCACTAATGTCTTCCATTATCCCTACAGCTGAACTCTCAGCTGAACAAAGTTTAGGACGTCTCTTCTGCCAGATCTCTCTTTGAATGACAGGACATGTACGTTTGATAACATCAGTTCAGACGTGAGATGCAGCCAATGTCCTTTTTAAAAGTCAGCAGCGTCGTCGTCGTCATTGTTGTTGTCATCTTCTTCTTCTTGCATTTGCTCCAAAGATTGAAGATAATCTCGAGCCAAGATCTTCTTAGGCAGGATATCTATAAAAAAGAAAAAAGAAAAAGAACAGTACAGTGTGTCAAACTCCTTCTTACTGCCTAGATTTATCCTCTCACTGAAGCTGCATGTGAAGTGCTGTGAAATGGTGTTTACAGTGTCTGAATGGGTGTGGAAATAAATCTTGAAGGGTGGACTTCAGGAATAACTTTTTAGAGTTGGGAGATAAATCAATATGGGCCATTCAAATGCTGCTGCAGTAAAAGATGAGTAGGGGAGAAATACACAGTATGAATTACATCCTCTGTCATTTTATATTGCAATAGTGATGTATAGCATTATAGAGCAAACTTCCTGGAAAAATACATTTAAAAAAAAACAAAAAAAAAAAAACAGTTTACAGATAAACCAGACAACAGTATTTCCAAGAAGCAGTATTTTTCATTAATGTGCAGGATTGCACAGTGGCATAATAAACTAAAATATATTAGACAGATTAGCACATAGTTGGTACACCTTGCTAGAACTAATGCAGTCTAATACAACAGTCCAGAGTTTTTAGCAAAACATGGACTTCTAAGTATTTATTTACTGAAGTCAAAGGGAAAGCGGTGTGCTTAGTTTGCGGAGAACAGATCGCAGAGTTTAAGGATTACAATTTGAATCGTCATTACAAGACGAAACACACGGAGAAATACAAAAACTTGACTGATGCAGAGCGGACACGGACATCTGAGGCTTTGAGCTGCAAAAGCAACATGCTCAGAAGATGTTGGTTCTCTTTGGATCGACCTCCATATGTGAACAAATATTCTCCGTAATGAAGTTTAACAAATCCAGATCCAGATCCACTGACGATCACCTGGCAGCTGTCCTTCACATCTCACCTCACACATTCAACCTGACGTCAGAGCACTCGTTCAAGCCCAACACAACAGAGTACTCGCACTGAACGGAAAAACATAAAATGAGGTAATTGGACTACAAACAATCGTGATAAAAGCACTAATTTTGCAGAAACATGTCAGTCAACCCCGTCAGTGTTTCACTGTTATATATAGATATTAAATATGTATATTTGTTTGGATCATTCCTGCTGCAGATGTTTCAGGTGGAGCTCATTTTAACTCCTTTATACACTGTTATTCAGTTTGGGTAGTTAGGAAAGGTTTGAAAATTGTAATGTGCAAAGTAACAAGTAACTAAAGCTGCCAGACAAATGTAGGGAAGTAAAAAGTGCAATATTTACCTCTGAGATGTAGTAGAGTGGAAGTACAAAGTTGAATAAAATGGAAATACTCAAGTAAAGTACCTTGAATTTGTACTTAAGTACAGTACTTAAGCAAATATACTTAGTTACAGTCCACCACTGATCATAATATTTACTCTTACCACTCACAGCTTATCAAAACCATACAATGTACTGCTTTTTATAAAGAGGTGGAATAATATAGAGCAGGATCTAGATCAGTCTACTGGTCTGGCCCTCCACAACAGTCCCTGTTTCTCAGGGACTGCAGGGTGTTTCTCATAACCACCCACCCCTGCTCTAATGTCTCAGCGGTAAAGAGCGAGCAGAGACCAACATTACATGCTGCAGAAGGTCCCTGTAGCTCCACCAGGCCGTAGCTGGGTCTCACCTGTTAGGAAGTGGAAGGTATCCATCTCCTCTGCGGTGTTAGCCAGGTCGGTGTATGACAGCGAGTTGGTTTCTTTACCGGGGCCGTTGTTGAATGAAGCCACAGCCAGGTGCTGGACGAACAGCTCCTTCAACAACACAACAGTCAGCAAAAGGAGAAACTCAAAATGGGAAAATGGAGCAGCTACATTTACAGTTATCCGAGAGGCTAGCAGCGTGCTAATCCCTGTAGCAGATGAATGGGCTGGAAAGTTAGCAGCGCTCAGCACTAACGGCTGCTTACTGTTGCCTTGGTGGTGAGAAACAGAGCGTCCTGGTTGATGCAGGACACATCGGGGGAGCTCTTCATTATCAACCTCACTCTGGATATCGGGAGGGAGATGGTTTTCTTGTTCGTTGACGATTGATCGTCTTTGTCTGGAGTATTTTGAGACATCTTCATGAGGACTCTCGGGGACAGACAGACGGAACTTGGAGTATGTTTTGAACGGTGACGCTTTTCTTCTTCTTCACATTAACGGTGGTTGGCGGCCGTTTTACTGGATTACTGCCCCCTGCTGGAGTGGAGTCACAAACTACTTTTTGTCGAACATAATTATCACCAAAAATGACATTACATTACACGAATGTTACATTAATTAATACATTGCTGACTGTTTTTGTTTCCCCCTAAATATTTTACTGTATTCCTTCATACTGGTTTTGTATCAATCAATTAATAATTAAGTTTATATTGTGTCTAACAATAAAAGCTCAATACACATGTTGAGTTCCGTCTCATCCAGTCCAGTAGTGTCAATTGACTGAGGAATCGCAAACCACAGAAGAAGAGCCGATATCAAAGAGGCAAAGAAGAAGAAGAAAGCAGTTTGTTTCTTTGTTTTGTTTTTTAATTAATTTTTTATTTAATTTGTTTGATTTGGTTTGTTTAGTTTTGGGGTAAAGATTGTAAGTCTATTGTCTGACCCACACTCCGGAGCAGCAGGTGGCGGTAATGCACCAATAAGATGAATGCCAACCGCCGTAAAACCAGAAGAAGAAGAAAACGGCGGCGTTCACAATGGCGGTGATTTGGCTGCGAAAATAAACAGCCCGTGTTGCAATTTGATGCGGTCGTAATCATCGCATTTAATCTGTTGTCACATCTGTCTCTGTATTAGTGTCATAAGAAGGAGTCACGTGTGGTGTTGGTGAGCGAGCAGCCATCGTCTGCTGTAGTTAACGTTCATTTCTTCGTTCCCTTAACGATGCCGCTGGGCTTGAAGCCATGCTGTGCTGTCTGCAAGACCACCTCGTCCTCGATGTGGAAGAAAGGGAACCAGGGAGAGATCCTCTGCAACAACTGCACAGGGAAGAGCTGCAGCGGCGGCGCGTCGGGACCCTCCATGTCCTCCATCACTCAGCCCAGCAATGGCGGGGGAAAGCAGGTATGTTTACTGTGGTTAAATGTGCAGCCCAGACTCTGTGGTTATTTTAGAGGTCAACACAGCTGGACAAATTGCGCTAATTCGGTACTTAAATACCTGGTTTGTGTTGCTTTTTAGTCCAAGCAGGAGATCCACAGGAGGTCTGCACGGCTGAGAAGCACCAAGTACAAAGCTCCTGCGTCTGAGAAGAAGGTGTCAACAAAAGGAAAGGGGAGAAGACACATATTCAAGCTAAAAAATGTAAATATAAATGTAGTTATTTCTCGTTATTGTGCTGTGCTATTAATGTATGTATTTGACCCCTGTGTGTGTGTGTGTGTAATCTCTTTCCTCAGCCAATCAAAGCACCAGAATCTGTTGCAACAATCATCACATCTGAATCAGTATTTTATAAGGTAGTAACCTCATGTTTCTGCTCAATATATAATTCACCTGAAAGCATTTCCTGATCCGTTTTCAGAATTTCTTCATCTTATTGCAGCTTCAACTATTTACGGTTGTACCAAACCTTCATCCAGTGATGCATCTGTCTGAATGTTTATACTTGTATCCTCAGGGTGTATACTACCAGACAGGAGATGTGATCAAGGTAACGGATGAGGAAGACGGGAAGCCGTACTATGCTCAGATTCGAGGATTCGTGCAGGACCAGTACTGTGAAAAGAGCGCTGCACTGACCTGGTTAATCCCCACACAGGCGAGTCCAAAGGACCTGTTTGATCCTGGGACATACATCGTTGGTGAGCAATGAGAGATTTTTATCATTTTCAAGACATGTATGTGACAAGTTACCAACAGTCTGTTTTTATATCAGGTCCGGAGGAGGATCTGCCCAGAAAGATGGAGTTCCTGGAGTTTGTGTGTCACGCCCCCTCTGAATATTTCAAGTCCCGGAGCTCTCCGTTCCCCACCATCCCCATCCGAGCAGAGAAAGGTTACATCTGGACCCACATCGGCCCGACACCAGCCCTCCCCGTCAAAGAGTCTGTCAGTGGCAGCAGTTAACACCGCTGTGATATGGACTTAAAGTGTGTTGCTTTAAAACAGACGCATGTACATTGATGTAATATAATGAAAACTAAAACATGGTTAACCACTGCCATTACTTCAGAAACCAGTTGTAATGTCAAACAAGTTGTTTACATATTACTTTTGTATTTAGTTACAAACAAAAAAAGCTTTTTCCACCACCTTCTCTGTGATTGTTTCAGAAAATGGTATTTATTCATTGATGAAGTTGTGGGAAATAGTTAGGCCATTTTGTTTTCTTTTGTGAATTAAACTGTAAATATAATGTGTATGTTAATTTATTAATAGAATAAGATGTTTGCAAAGTTACGGTGATAGAACCCGTGTAGATCTGATCTCATTCACAGCTGAGTTGTGTGAAGATGTTCTACGGTGGTGTGTTCTTGAGACTGTAGAACATGTTGATGGTTCTATGATGTGGAAATGAAACTGGTGGTCAAAGCATACTTTTAACCTGAATACAGCATCAAGATCATACAGATTATGACTAAGATTAAATTCTTCTTAATTTTTATTCAGCAATTGCACAAATTGTTAGTAAGAAATGTCAAAATAGACATTTAAGCCAACATGCCAGGGGGGGGGGCAATATATAGACAACAATAAAAGCATAAAAATCTAAATAAATATAGAAAGAAAAAGGAGACACTAAGACACAAACCTTATGCGATTGTGTAATTACAAACATCACAGGCAAATCTGTCAGTACTGTTCTTATGGCCTTTTTGTTGATAAAGCATTTCAGAGTTTTAAATACATTTCAAACTCTTTGTATAAAAACACAAAACGTGGGTCTTTGGCTTGTAAATGCACACTTATGAATATAGAATTTGACAAAAATTACAAATTTATGATGTACGCCCTTTCCTCAAATTTTCTGTCATAGATAAAGAATCCAAATATAAAAAGAGCGAATAGCTCGGTTATTCTCACAGGATGGTGAGGAACACATTTTAGCACAATGGTGTCAGTGTTAACCAAAGAAACATCAGCTGAACATGAAACACTCAGACACAGACAAAAGAAGTCCAAAAAGTCAAGACCACCATTTTTGCAGGAATTGACGACTACAGATTTTCTAATATAGTGTATACGATTCTTCCACAGAGAATTAAACAGCAATTGGTCTATTTTTTTTGGCAGTTTTGTTATCAAGAAATGGAGGATGCAACATTAACAAACCTAGAGATGCCTTCAACCTTCAATAAGAGGACACGTCCCTTTAAGGACAGATCTCTTTAAAACCAAAGATTACATTTATTTTATACTTTTTTAATCATTGGACTAAAATTAGGAAGACATCGGTCTTGTTCTTTGGTTACAAGGATGCCTAAATAGTTCACTTTTTTCTGATGGTTAATGACAGGTATGTCATTAACAGAAGTTATATCATTACTTTTTAAGGCAAATAACTCACATTTCTTTAAATTCAGATAGAGACCATGTTAAAACTTTGACTGTAATACTGTCCTTATTTAAGGTTTTAGAGACGAGCCAGAAGTCTATATGTGATCGCCTCGAGTAGTCTTTATTGCTCCAGGTGTATATCATACCATCAAGGAATTTCTCCCTACAGATATCAGTTAAGTCAGTTAAATCGGGGTACCCGATCCTGACAACGTGAGCCTCCCCTAGTGGAGCCACGCAGTCGTCCTCCGGGGCAACAATCCATTCGACTACGACCTCAGATCAGACAAGACAACCCGCTGAATTTAAGCATATTACTAAGCGGAGGAAAAGAAACTAACCAAGATAAAAAGGTATGTAAACAGCCATTGAGACATTTAACTGTCAGAAAGACACGGAGCGACAAAGTGCAGCAATGAATCAGCCGAAGAAGGCCGACCCAGTGGCCAAGTACTATCACTACAAGGTGGTGTGGGACACCCGACATATTCCAGGAGAGGACAGGACTAACCTCAGGCCCAAACTTATTTGCAATGTTGCATCAGGCCAGCGACAAAGAGAAAGGCTGATGTGGGTCATCATCATGATGATAGAAAGAAAGAGGACCCGGAGAAGCCATGCTGCTCTATCCACTTCAAGCAGCTACAGTTGCTTCTCCCCAAGGTTCAAGAGGAAGATGGCTGATGGCAACGACTCATGAGAGAAAGAGGGTTTAAAAAAAAAAAAAAACGACCCAGCTCCACCCACTTGCAGCAGCCAAGACTATACTCACGATCAGCTTGTGCGACCGGATCGGAGGAGCGTCACCACGCACACACTTCAAGCAGCACCCAGACTGAGAGCCGGGCTCCGTCAGGACAGAAAACAAAAGCACCCGATGGTGAAGATGTGCAAGGACCTCTGCTCTCAAGTTAGATCAACGGACAGTCCGGTTCCGTCAAGACTGAATACAAAAGCAGCTGATGATGAAGTTGTGCTGCATAAAATCAATTTACTTTGTTCACTTATCATTTTAGAATTATACAATATTTGGGTTTCAGGTGTGTACTGTATACACACCGTAGGAGCTATTTATTTGATGTTAGTATTTTGTTATTTAATTCATAAGTAGTATTGTTTAATTATTCTAGATGTTTGCTTATTTAGGTTAGATTGTTTGGTTGATATATTAAGAGTGCTTTTTCTCTTTAAGAGTCATTTGTTTAGTGGTAGTATTTTTTGTTGTTTAAGTATACTTAGTTCTTTGGGTAACACTGTGGTGTGTGTGTGTATATATATATACTAACCAGGATAAAAGGTATGTAAACAGCCATTGAGACATTTAACTGTCAGAAAGACACGGAGCGACAAAGTGCAGCAATGAATCAGCCAAAGAAGTCTGACGCAGTGGTCAACAACGACTTGCAAACCGATCTCCACCCTCCCTCAAGGTTCCCTTTCCAGCAGAGCAGCAGCGAGGACACCCGGACCACAGGTCAGGTTGTGGAGTCCTTTATTGTCCAAACAAGTCTCTTTCTCTCGATGTCAGACGCCCTGGGAACGTTGAGTTGCCCCCTCTTGATTTGGTTCCACTCTGCTGGTTGCCTCACCCTGGCAGCCGCACACTCGTTGTGCCCCTTGCTCTGGCAACGTGTCGTCTCTCTGGCCCACAGTTCATGAATCAATGGATCAGCAGTTGTCGGACCCCCTTAGCACTGCGGATCCCGGATGAGCCCCCAAAGATGTGTTTGAAAGAGCCTGATAACAGATGTGTGCCTGAGAAAAACAGAAAAAATGATGAGGCCGGCAAACGAGTGGCTTCTCTCACTTAGTCTTCTCAAGCTATTTTTATTTCACAATTTTCCAAGTGAAAACAATCAAAATCTCCTCTATATTTTTCTTCATTTTGACACGACAAAGTACAGGTAAAATGCATTAAATTGTGTTAAACAAAATCACATCAAGTTTACACAAAATAACTAAAATGATAAAAATTCCCACTACTATCACATTACTATCTGCAAACATATTTGGTGTAACTTGGGATAAACCCCTTCCTAGCTGTTCTGCCGACAGTTACTGTGGCACACGTGAAGAAGACTCACGTGAAGACACTAACATGCACAACACTTATATACATCTTTCAGTCACATTTAATTAACATATTTAGCATGAAACGACTTATTAGAACACAGATTTGATTCGCTTCATTATGAACAATTAATATGATGTGTAGGAGCCAGAAATAAACTAGGGAATGTACTGCGAGGCTATTATCAGTTTAGCTAGGTTAGCACTCGGCAATCAGTCTTAAAACAATACTCACGTAGCTACTAAACTGCATGAAACACAAGATAACTTTCACAAAAAATGTTCGGTAAACATCGGTCCCAATATATATATCGTATTTGGTGCACTTTATGTGTCACTTACCTGAGACAAACAGGACAAATGATGAGGCGGGAAAACGTGTGGCTTCTGTCCTTCAACGTCTCCTCGAGCTATGAGAAGACGCTGCACGCGGCGCACATACAAGTCCAGGGTCGCGAGGCGAAACCACAGCGCTGCACTTCCACCTACTGGGCATAAGTAGAAATACACTTCTGGGGAAGTTTTATTGTGATTACCAAAATCACAGAAATTCGTTGTATCGAAAAGTAATCACACTTTTTGTTTCCTTTCTGTATCGTTATTTGTTCGTGTCTTTTTATGTTTTCTCTTTAAATGCCAGGGGGTTAGGAAACAATGTAAAACGTAAGGTTTTTATTTGCTAAACAGCTACAAACTGATTCCGTATTGTTTCAAGAATCGCACTCACTCATACAATATTGTAATTTTTGGAAATCCTAACAGAGCAATGAGTCATGACATTTGGCTGTCCCACGGAACAGAGCATTCTGCAGGGGTATCTTGTTTATATTTTTACATTCCGACTGTGACATTCATGGCTACTTTGTTAGTTTGGTTATTAATAATCGAAGGAGATTTCGTCTCCCTTGTGCGCTTAATTTCTGTAACCGATGAAGCATGAAATTGTAATTAGCAACAGCTAATTAAGAAAAAGGTATCAGAAAAAATAAAAGCATGAAAATAACTACATTTCGCATGTCCCATTCAGGGGGCGAGCGTTATTACCTATTCTATAGCTTTTCACGTTTGTCATCCTACCCGAAGGTAACCGAAGAAGGAAGTGCGCAGGCGTGAAGCCTCCCGCTCTGCTGCTTTACTCTTGGATATCTCACTTCACACATGCGATTCACTTCGCCTGTGGTTGAATATCTGCGGTAGTGTCCCGGTGCTCTTCTTGCACAAATGTCACATTTATTTCCCCCTCATGGATCGGACATCATGAACTTTTCTTGATCAAACCCTCAGGCAGGAGAATGGGAAAGTTCCAGTCCAAACTGGGTGAGGTGTTTAATGACATCATAATGTTTTTAAAAAAAATAGATGAAATCGCCTCTGATTTGCGTTATATTGTCTTTTCTCTCATTATTTGGACAGTTTCGAAACGCAGACAGAGTCCTGAAGGTAAGCCAGTCAGCACAGAAACTGCACAAACAACATAAATACTTTTTACTTCTTTCATGTGTTCACAAATATGTTTATGTTCTGCAGGTGGTAGTTTGGTTTCCAATGTGCTGACCTGTCAAAGCGAGCTGGAGCGCATCCGCATCCACAAAACCAAACTGACAGAGGTAGAACATTTATTATTGTAATGATTAATGCATATTTAGTTTATATTATAGCCGACATCTTAATGGTCTACACATACAGACGCAAGTAAAACTCCCACCTCAGGGATTGCACAAAAAGAGATCCCACGATGCTTATTTTTGGTTTTATTTGACACTGTAATGGTCTGTTGTTGAAAGATCACCAGAAAGACTCGAGAATGTGATGGAAGGAAACTTTAAATCACCTGAAACTGTGTTTATTCACATCCAAACGATAGAGATTTTATTGATAAAATAGCCAATAATTTAGTTATTTAAAGATATACTGATAATCTGAGAGGATGTGAGGGAAGTTGTTTTTCTTTTATGAATCAAGCGAGGAAATGACCAGATCTGACTTTAAATCGATAATATCTATACACACAGCCCATTTGAGGGCAAATGTATCCTCCAGAACATCTTCTTATATGTATTAGAGTTTTATATATATACATTTTGTGAAAGTCTATTTCCATTCTGACGAAAGAAGCAATAAAAACACTCATACTGGTTTCATGTCAGTTCAGCCAGTTTTGGGATAAATCGTATTTGCTCACATCACATCCAAGAGACATAAAAGATGTTTGGAGGTAGTCGTGTATTTATTCTTCCGCCCTTTACTCCTCCTTCTCTATAAAGAGACTTCCAAGTCTATGAAGTGCAACACAGCCACCCCCCTCCAAACAGCAAGGTCTTTATATCCAGCTGGAAAAAAAAAAGTCTCCACATCTGGTACTGCTTTCCTTCTGCAGTCAGACAGACTGTGAGAGGGGGAGAGGAAAAAGATGTGGGGAGCGGGTGTTTGGTGGGTGTTTGATTGCGTAAATGGCATCATATGTAGACTGTTGGCATTAATGAAGCATTCATGTTACTGTTGAAGAGAAAATGTCCTCTTCATTACGTTTTATTCAACGGAGACTGTGAAAACTGTCACATACTGTTCTATTAACCATAAACATTTCATGAAACCAGATTTTGTGGTGAAAGTGAATCACAGTCGTTAAATGTCCTTTCAAAGATCCCATGGGTTGCTTGTAAAAACAGTCAATTATGTAAATGTAAATTTGAAAAACAACCAACATGCCATTTTCACTTTTGTTCAGCTTGTTTGATCTTTTAGCTCAACTGCAAAAGTCCTGAGGTTTTGTGTGAGTTATTGCCAGTGTTGTTGTTTTGAGGTTATGAAGTGTTGGGTGAAAGGTCTGGAAAGTTACACAATTTGGAAAAAGATGTTGACTCTGCCAAGTTGTTTAAAAGGTTGTGGTGGAGTTTCTGTGCTTGTTAATGGCAGAGATCTTCCTGCGATTTGATTTTCCGACCTAATATAGTTTGAATCTCCATGACGCCACCACTCTGTACACTGCAAACGGCAAAGACATCAAAATTTATGAGATATTTTAAATTGTATTTTGTCTGCTTTTGGTCTTACATGAACCTTATTTTTGTTTTCTCGATATGAAACCCATGACGTTACAGAGTTAAGAGTCTCCCACAGATAAAAGAAAAATGACACCTTAAAAACGATTGCTAAGATAAATGTAAAACAGAAGCAAAGATAGTTAGAGACATTTTTGTGTATTCTTGTTTGTTAAGATAACCAGTGACACATAAAATGTGATCCAGCTCTAAAACACTAAACACACACAGACCCATGAACTGAATATTTACTTGTCAAATAGCTGTGACTCAGGCTCAGGTGTCGACAACATCACTTTCTCAAGAAACACAAACCTGTTTGCTCTCGATTTTGTGTGTGTGTGTGTGTCTGTCTATGTTTTGCTGTCTTGAGTGTGCACACGTTACTTCAAGTGTTGAAAAGGTTGTTTTTTTGTGATTATGCTTTAGCTAAAATCCGCCCAAGAAACGCAATTTGTTCCGTTATCTCCCTCTTTTATTTGAAAACCACTCCAGAATTAGTAGTTTTCTTATTGATGTGATACGGTTTTTTCTACGATTACTTTGAGCTTTTCTATAACATTGTTTCATAATTCAGATACTGTTTTATGGACACTTATAACCAAAGTCACTGCAGCTTGTTGCCATTAAAATGAGAGGACTGAAGTCACCAGAGCATCATGTCTCCATGTTTGCGTCCAGACAGTGAAACTTCCTGTCCAGGTATCAAGTTATCAGAAAGGCTGTTTGACATTCTTGCTGAGACAAAGGCGACTACTGTTCTGCTGACATTTGAAACTCTTGTGATATCGGGAAGGATGCATGGAAGGCTGATGTATAATGAGGGTGTAAAACAGAATACTGATGCCATCGTGTGCACACCTTTCTGCTACCTGCACCATCTCTTCCACTTTCCACCCTCTTTCCCCTGAAATCTAACCCAGCATCAAAGCCTCACAGCAGGCAGAGCGTGGCAGGCAGAGAGATGAGGGTGTTGAGAGAGATTGGTGTGTGTGTGTGTGTGTGTGGGTGTGAGGGTGTGAGGGCGCGCACTCATCTGCATCTGCCCGAGCATCAGTGTGACATTAGTGATGGATTGTTGTGGTGACAGATAAGAAGAGTCTTGTTGGTGCTTTCAGTTCTCTCTTGCTTTGCAGAGCAGACAGGTTTCTACCTGAGAGAGGAGCGAGTTTACATCTGATCGGATGTTTTTTTTTAAATCACAGAAGTGGACATGAATCTTAAGGTTTGATCATTTTATAATGGACTGAAGTTTTATAGTTAACTAAAGCATTTAAATAGGTTGGCGCTGCATCCCACTGGCTGGAATTTATTGTCTCTTGTAAATCTGGCTTCATGATTTTACATTTAATTATCATATGAAACTTCAGGGACATGTCAGTTACATAAGACAGTGGAGAAAAGCTCAAGATGTCAACAGTTTAAAGAGGAGAACCAACTCGCAAATGCCCAAACCTCCTTTTCTCGCTCCTTTGCTGTCTTACTGTCTCACTTATAATATTTCTGTTTTAATTTCTAGGGAAATGAAAAATGTAATTTTCTTGACAGAAATCAAAGGAGAGCCAATGGCAGTTTTTAAGACACAAAACCCACAGATGTTCAGCATTGCTCACATCTGGAGACCGATCCTCACACTCATGGGACATGAAAAGCTCTTAATTGCTTCCTCTTTTCTTCCCCTCTCCCTCTCTTACATGTGTGCTCTCTGTTGATTTACACCCTGTCACTGTTTTCACAGAACTTGTACGTAGAATTGAGGGCAAACAGGTCGGACCGTAACTGCAACCTTAAAGGTGAGTAGAGAACTGTGGCAACATTCACCTTACTGACATTTCTCACTTTCTATGTATTCTAAAGGGCTTGATTGTTGTGTAGATGTTGTACATTATCAGAGAGTTTTGATACAAAAGCTTTAATAGGTCACCTCCATTCTTTACCAGGTGAAAAGGAAATAGTTAAATTAAACACATCTGTTCTATGTTTGTGTGGGAAAACTTCCAACTTTGGATTCTGTTAGTTTCCTCTTTGCTGCTAAATGTTTATTGAAAACAGCTTAAAAACAAGGGATAACTTAATTGGAAAGGTACAGTATGTGAACGCAACTATAGTAATTAGCCTCAAACTGTGAATCTGCTGGATAACGACGTTCATTGTCCAGCTCTGTGTCTTGTTTAGTGGTTCTGCCACCAAAGAAGACACCTGATGGAGGTAACAGCATCCACTTCCAGGTCAATAAACAAGCCAAGAAGAGGAGCACCCATGCTGATGTGAGTGTATATCTCTGTATTGAAGTACCAGATAGGTGAGATTCTTGTGTCTGTATGAGTATACTGACTCTTTGTAAAGTTACGCATCTGATACTATTCAACAATGTATTTTAATCACACATTGAGGCTTTACCGGTTTTGAAGGCCCTATGGGTCGACCCACACTTTGTAGCAGTAATAAGCTTGTTTTCCTGACGATGTGTGCACGTACAGGTCACAGAGTGTAACACGGTGCCTGATGAGGACACTCAGCAGGAGTGGGTCTTCACACTGTACAACTTTGACAACAGTGACAAGGTCACCAAAGAAGTAGGTTTCTTTCATGCATGTTGTTCAAATGAAGCACTGTTTCAGCGTGGCCTGTACACAGTGTGTATATGTATCTATGTGTGTGTTCTGCAGGACATGACCAGTATGATGCACTCCATGTATGAGGTTATAGGGGCGTCGGTCAAGCCGCCTTATGGTGGCAATACACCCATGAAGATAAAGCTAGTTGTCACTCCGTCAGCTGATCCTGAGAACATCTTACATATAGGTAAAGGGACATTTTTATTGTGGCTTAGTAACTGTAGACATCATTTGAAGGACAAACATTAAAGGCATAAAGATTATCTCAAGTGTCTGAACAGTGGTATGTAACCGCTGTGATGATAATGTCCCTCTCTCATTTAAACACAGCAACAGAGAAGGAGCAGAGTGCGTCTCAGGAGTCAGGAAACCCAGTAAGAAGATTATATTGCGTGGATGAAAACATAGAGCGCAGAAACCACTACCTGGATCTAGCTGGCATTGAAAACTACACCTCCAAGTTTGACAATACAGGTAGAGAAACTCCTCTATTGCTGTTGTGGTTTGTGCCGTATACAAAGACTTAGTTCATAAAATTAAAGTTGTTTTTCTTCTTCACAGAATCTCTCTTGCAGGAGCCCAGCCAGGATGCTCGCTCTGCTGCTAAGCACCACCCTGTGGTGATCAGAGAGAACTACATCTCCCCTGAGTCTCCCAGAGGCCTCTCTATCCCTCAGTCCCTGAAAAGCAAGGCTGTGTCAGCGGGGAAAGACAGGAATGGAGGGCAGGGAAAGTCTTGCAGATTACACGGTCAACACCCCGCGTCATGGTGCCATCCTGCCCGATCGCAGCCTGCAGCACATACTGTCCTGCAACGTAGTCACAGCAAGAGGGTTCGCTCCAGGGTACAAGATGCCTCGCACCTTCGATCCACGCCGGGGGCAGATAGGGAAATATTTTCCAACCTTCAGTCCTCTCGAGCACAGAGACACGAGCACCACCACGAGCACCATCATCATCATCACCATCACCACCACCCTTCATAAATGCATTTTAAACACTTATGAGACAGGTGAGAAGAGGTGGTGTAGACTATCGGCCTGAAATGTGATTGTTTTTGGAGGTTAAGTGCAACTCAGCAGGTCCTTGGATCTCCTCATTTACTTTATATTCAGTGTGTAGTGGAATCAGGCTGAAGCACTGTTATCTAACGCAAACAAACCTGAAAAGATTACCATCACTAAATCCAGGAAAGGTCAGTTTACTGTTTACTGAATTCTACCTCTATAGCCATTTAGATTGACAGGTTCCTCTCAGGTAGATTTCCACTTAGCTTTAAAGTTATTTAAATGCACATTTTGTAGAGATACATGTGGTTTGAATATACTAGAATCATGTAGAAATTATTATACAGTATTTTTTTAATGAAAGGGTATTTATTCTGATAAAGTCACACTCTGTTCATATTCCAATAACAATCACACAAAGTCCATGCTTTGTTTTCTCGCCTTTCTTCAATGCATGGTAGTGACACCTTTTACTCAATAACAGCAAGACAACCACTATATAAGTCAACCGCAATATATTCTGCACTGACCACAGTATAGTGTTTGAATTTTTCTGGATCAGTGACAAAACACAGACTTATGTTCAGAGATTTGTGCAACATAGTAAGCCTGGCAAAATCTGTGTCATGTGTCTAAAACAATGGTAAACATCTGTTGCGATTGTTTTCGGAACCTGTGTTTATGTCGGCAGAAGTCCATCATGGAAAAGGCAGACACCCATGTCTCCACTGACAGTAGCCTCAAGAGACCATAATGTATTGCAACCATGTGATGAAATTTGAGAGTAGCAAAAGCCATTTAGGTTTGGGGGAAAAAAGTGGATGTACCAAAAAGTAGATAAGCATCTTATCACAAGCTGCCTTCTCAAATGCATTTAACATTAAAAACTGATGACGTTTGTGTATCACAGTCAGACATTTGATTGTTCCTGTATTGATGTTCTATATCTGCTCTCACAACATTGTTTTCTTTGGTCCTTGCAGCTCATGTGAGTAGTGTAGGCCTCACAAAGAGGTGCTGTGAATAGTGGCATGTTTCCCAGTGGTATTCAGATGTTGTTCCTACTTATCTCTCTGGCAAAAGATGCAAATAGACACTGTGCCCGACGTGAGGACGTGAGACAGCTGTTTCTATTAATAACCGCCACTCTCTTACCTACCACGCGGGTCCCGTGCCTCACCACAGCAAGCCTGGGTCCAGACAAATGCACAACACCCAGACAGACAGCAACAGAGGAAATCAACAAAGCAGCAACCACAGCGCCGTTCAACTGCAGCACTCAACAACAAGCACACTCAGACCTGTTGGTACGGAAAGACCAACACCGAGATAAAACCTGGAAACATGAAGTCACTGCGGTTCCTTGCTGCTGAGGGCTTCATTCAGAGTGGACCAAGTGCTCTGGAAAACCTCAACTGTATGTCTTTTAACATCTACCCACTTCTCTTCAAGGCCTGCTACCTCCATGAGCAGGCAGACTTGCTGCGTGTTTTGGTCCAGACATGGCCTCTTCCTGTGCTTGACCTACACAGGCTCCTGGGAGCAACAGTCGACTGTCAGATGGACCTCACCTCCCGCACCTGCCGGCTTTGTTTGGAGTCGATTCTGGCTGGCCTAAAGGTACTTCGATGGTCTTAAGATGTCTTATATGTCATCCTCGTGTTTTGGTTGCGCCATGTTTTTCAGTTCTTCTGTTTTTGGCTGCATTGACTTGTTACTCTTGTTTGTCAAAGGATTATGTGCTGTCTCCTCCAAGGACGTACACCAAGACCTTGCATGTGGTGGACCTGACTGCCCTGAGGGATATCGAGCACCAGCCCTGCCCCTGCCAATCCACCCTGGGTCGATGGGCAAGAACCCACCTCCTGACCCAAATTTGCTATGAGACCATGGTGGCCATGCAAGCCAGCAACGTATCCCCATTTGCCTTTGAAACATCTATTGATGTCCGTCTGAACGGCTTCGTCACAGGCCGCAACTATGAGCTGGTGGCTCAGACCTTCGTCCTCCTCCGCCACTGTCCACTGAAGCTTCGCTTTGTCAGTTTTCGGGCCGATTCCCTCTCCCTCAAGCAGCTGTTCTATGTTATTCGCCTAGCAGACACCGAGTCCATTTTAAAGCTGGAGGTAGTCCACAATGTTCCCCTGGAGGCCCCGCACTTGGAGGTGCTGCTGTCCAAGGTGGAATTCCCCAAATTACAGTCTTTGACCCTGCCGGCTGGGGCGTTAGATATTAGGAGGTTGGGCTCTGACGGTGATGATGTGCTGTCCACCATCGGTAACCTGCTGGCACAACAGAGCGGCCTGACTGAGCTCTTTGTTGGTTTCTCAACTCTAACTGGACACCTACGCAGACTGCTTAAGTGAGTTAATGGACAATGGGAGGGATGAAGAGGGACAACAAGGTGTCCTTGTTTGTAGTTGTGGATGAGATGGATGGCTCTGGTGTCTGTCTTACGTGCTCTTTGCAGCATCAAAAGCTTTAATATAGCTCACAATCATCACCTTCAACCAGCTTTAAGGCTCTTGTTTAGCAATGGGAGGTATTTTATTTGGTAAAATTGCTGACATGATGCCAGAGTGAGGACAGAAGGCCGGTTAGCCAGAAACATGCTGGATGTAGTTAAAATGTAAATAGAACAGGAGCACAAACCACAAACAACAGAGCTGTCCATCACAATCTGGCATATACCTGTAACTTTACTTCCAAAAAGATGCACCTGTAGGCATTTCTGGCACCAATCCTACATAACAAATTCTTCACGAGGACCAACACAAACCATAATTATCTAACTGCTTTTACCTCTCTTTTCTTTACCCAGTCCCCTTAACACTCCGCTGCAGTGCTTGGAGTTGGCCAACTGCTGCCTGAACCGTTTGGACATGACCTACCTGTCGAACAGCCTCCACAGCGAGTTCCTGGTCCGTCTGGACATGAGCGGACATGACATCTTCAGCTCTTTCCCCACCTGTTTCCACAAACTGCTCTGCCGTTGCTCAGCCACATTGGTCAGCCTGGTCCTTGAAGAATGTAACATAGAGGACGAGCACATGGACGCCTTCACTAATGCTCTGACTTGCTGTCAGGAGCTGGAGGAGCTCAAACTCCTGGGGAACCCTCTGACGTCTGCCGCCCTGCTGAGGTTGTTCTCCATGCTGTCTGTGGGTTTTCCCAAGTTAAAATATATAGAGATGCCAGTTCCCCGCCAGTGTTACTCCGAGGATGTCACGTATCCTCTTAATGATTCAGATTTACTGCTGTACAACAAGGAGCTGTTTCAGGAGGTCAGGGGTCAGCTGATGGGGATCCTGGAAGGAGCTGGTAGAGGGAGTGTGGAGGTGTGCTCCCCACTCCTGGGGGTTTATGACCCAGAGATTAACGAAACCAGCAAAGAGCTGGGAGTATCCATGTTAAAATCTTTTACCAGCGTCATTGGGAACTTTATCAGTAGCATAACTGAGGTGGACAGCAGGAGATCACAGGCTCAGACCGATAATTAGTGGGGTTGCCTGTGGAGGGAATAAGTAAACTGACAGAGATGGGTCATGAACTCAAGTTTACACAAATCTAGACATTTGTTTAAAGCAGACCCGATTCCTCAAACTGTCCAGAAATGTCCATGCTTCGTTGACAGTTATTTTCAAGACTGCGTTTTTAGGCTATATTTAAGACAGCAATTTATATTAATGAAGTGCTACTTCAGATAGCTGGCAAACTCATCACTGTTCCTATGCATGACTGAAGGCCAAAACTGTTTGATTTGTTTGACTGTGGTTTAACATCACATGACTTCCATTCCTGACGAGATATTGTCTCAACAGAGAATCCCTTTAATCTCAGTACGTCCAACAGTCTGTAAGACAAACAGATGTGCAGTGCAGATACGTGTATGTATTAAGGTAGATACTTGAAGTTTGCCTAATGTATTTTCTTACATGTTTTTGGACCATGTTCTGGTTTAAATGTTTTATATAACTGGATTTTGAAATGTAGACAGCACATATTTGCAACATGGAACAGATCTGAATTAAGCAAGTATACTTGTAACCGTTTCATTTTGTCTCACCAATAAATCAAATCTTCAAATCTCTCTATCCATTACATCATAAAAAAGTGACACTTCCACATCTTCCAAAATGTACAATTTTTTTAATGAGCTCTTGTTTTATACAGGTAAGATTTCATCTTAAATATTCCACCAGGGGACAAGCATGCACCGACCGAATACGAGGATTAACAGCTTTGATCAGGAATCATCTACTTCTTCATCCACTCCTCCCTTTCTTTCCTCTCACGGATCACCTCCGTCAGATACGGTGTCAGGTAATTAGCATCCTAAAAGGAAAAGAGAACAATACATGGGATTGAGAAATGAAATTAGGCAAAATTAAACTCTAGATAACACTTTTGATGACTTGCGATTGACGTAGAGGACATTATGATCAAAGGCCCTCCAAAACATGCATTTTATAGTTCCTTTTCTATTTACTAACACTTAGAAATTTGTAATTTTCACAGTACGACACCAGTTTCACACTGAAGAATTCATTAATAATTCCCTATTGTTTTCCATTTGACTACAAAAATGATTTATTAAGTGAATTTGTTAAAAGTAAGCAAGATTTCAAGAAAATGTTATGTACCTCTTCATATTTCGTCCACTGGTCTTTCGGGAGGATCTGCTGCTTCATGGAGAGATCCAGAGATCTCTTGAGCCTGAACATCCGGTCGTTGTACTGTTTTTCTGGTAGCCTCCTCAGGGCCTCTTTTACATCAGAGTCCTCGAGGATCGTATCATCACGAAACAAACCTGGAAATATGGATAAATGGAAAAATCAAAGAAAACAGCTCCATATTCACCCCCTACATTTATAATAACATCAGTAGTCTTGACATACTGTTACTTTAAAAACGAGTAGTACTGTGAGGTTAAATACTCTGAATATTTTTGATCAATGTATTTGAACTTACCAAGCTTGTTAAAGCCACACATGTTATAATACCATTTGCGGGCCCCGAGCAGGAGTCTGCCTGTTGCTACTGTGAACAGGACAAGAAAGACACAATCAGCATCAGTCACGCGGCACAAACTTGATTTAGAGGCGAGATAAATATATATATATATTAATAACTTTCAGTCAGATGTGCGGGAGAAGGAGTAAAGTTAACGTTATGCTTCCAATAGTGATACAGTCTTACAACCATAAATGTATTTCAGGCGATCCAGTACGTCCCCCCAAATAACACTAAATTATGGAAACTGGTCAAACTTCACTATCTGGTTAGGACTTTAGGTATTGCGTGACAAACAGTAAGTTAGATACTTTGCCCTTCCGTGGAATGTCAGATGAAACAACACAACAGTGCCGTAGTGCTAAGGAGCTAACGATACCGAGTGTAGGTCAGATGTTATAGCACCAAACGATAGCTGGCCACTATAACAACTGTTAGGAAACGAACTAAAACACTATCAATCATTAAAAAAAGGACAGTAGGACGAGTGTATAGTTATAAAATAAGTATTTACACGGTGATAACAGAGACGTTAGCACCAGTAGCTAGTGATGAGCTAACGCTAGCTAACCAGTACCCTTAGCATAAGTTAGCATAAGGACACTAAAGGACACACAGAAGCGAAACGCGTCAAAGCGAACATACAAGTGGAAAGAATGAGCAAAATACAACAACGTGTGTTACAGTATAACATGCACCACGACACAAGTATAACACGAGCTTTAGCGAGTTAATTTACAACTAAAAATGTAAATAGGGAGAGATGTTTCAGTACCTGGTGCCCTCGACGCCATTTTTTACCACTAAGAACGACCGCGGTGCGTCATGGGTAAGGAGGTCATTCAGGTGAACGGGAAATTGTGCAATTTAACATTCTGTGCTTACAGTGTCCCATATATAGTCTTTGGTGTACAGCTTATTTGCATGCTCATCAAGGAAATTTGGAGATAAGAAAGAGTCTATAAAACAAAATAACGTTTTTTTTTTAACTCTTGATAAGTAAATCCATCAGGAAACTAAATCAAAATACATCACGCTTTTGATGTAAAATACATTCTTCATACAGATTGAATATGAAGGTGGGGTAGTTACAGTGGAAGTCCATCAATAAGATCAGTCAATGGTACAGATCCTTTACTTAAGAAGATCAGCAATACCAGAATATAGAAACACCTCATTACAAGTAGAAGCTTAGAAGCTCAGCCAGTTTAATAATTGCAGCAAAATGAACCTCAAGTATTTAAAGTAAAATGACCCATTATGTAGTGAACTGACCCCTTTCACCGTTATGTTTTTAAATATTGTATTAATTGATCAGTATTACTGTCGTATTTTAAATGTTTTTCAGCAACTGTATTGGGTAGTTATAATCTTCAGCATCACAATGCATCACACTGTATACGCTGATTCATTGTTTTGTATGTAACATCTAAATCACAAGTAAAAAGTACAATATTTTACTTTGAAATGTAGTAGAGCAGAACTATTAAGAAGCACCAAGTAGTATTTTTATTTTTACATTTCACAAAAGTGAAACCTGATCCTTTACATTCTCCTTTAACTAGAGGCAGTCTTCATTATATGATCAATGATCATTTTATACTTTTACACATTTAGCACTTTTATCACATTTATGATCTCTTTAAATAGACAGTCTTGGTAAATAGGATAGTATTTCAGTCACAAGGGCAGATTTGCATTATGAGCATTTATTCAACATCACATTACAAAACATTGTATTTCAAACTCAGCCGTTATGTTAAAGCCTTGAATGTCTGCGTGTGTCTGCATTATGGTATTTATTCTGTGTGCTTGACCACTTGTTTTCTGAAGTCCTTTATAATGGCCCCTCATGAAGAATCAAAGTGTCTTTTGGAACAAATAAAAATCTTCCAGTGTGGCCAAAGCCAACTCAGTGCAAAATATCTCATCAGGCAGCGACACCAGGCGGTCCAGGGAGAGGTAGTTGGGCAGGGTTGGATCATACTGAGCCTTTCCGAGGTACTCGAGGAACAGGTGGCGCTCTCTGACACGCAAGTACTTGGTATTGAGGACCTATGGGAGGATATATCAGATGTTCAAGTTATAATGCTGAATTTGGACAAAATATTAAGGAAATTAGTTCCAATTTGTTTTTTAAAAGTAAAAAAAACACACAGCTGTACATCTACCTGTGGGAACTTGGCGATCAGGTTGTGGGGCACCTTCATGATATTGTGGAGGTAGTCAAATATTTGGATTAGCTTCCTTTTATTGGCAGTCAGCACTTTTGGGACGGCAATGACAATGTGTTGGACCTCATTTTCCTTAAAGCCGAGCTCTATTTCACACACCTGTGGAACACATTAAGAAAACAAATTCAAACACAGCAGCTCACGGTTTCTCAAACAATGTTTTCTGAAGATGTTTTTTGTCGATCAATACCTTCAAATTTTCTTTAACAGAATCCAAACTGCCACACAGTAATCTGGGCAGACGAGCTACAATGTTCCGTGTCTGAGGAGAGAAAGGGAGAAAACCAACTATGATTTCTTTTTCTACATTCAAAGACTAAATGTATTTTTGTGAAAAAAAGTGACATGATACAAACATGGCTGCGCTCCTCAATGAGGAGGTCCCATTGCATCAGTACATCAGTTAGCTTACATTAGAAGCACTGAGGTTGAGTTGCTGCTGATAGAACCCCAGTCGGTTGTCCAGCCTCTTCACACTGAAGTTAAGCAGATACGGAGCTCTGGACACCATGGACGCAACATTCTCAGAACTGAACTTCTTTGACTTGAGATAATTCACCCTTTGAAAATAACAGAAAGAGAACATTATTAAGACAAGGAGGTGCAACTCAAGAGAAGGAAGACGAACTGTCCAGTCACTACTTAAGTATACACTACATACGGTAAGATTATTTCTTGGGCCTTCTCTTGTCAGACTGATTTAGTTTAGAATAAACACATTTGGCAAATATAAAAACACGTAATGTTTCCGTTTCTGAGATCCCTTTATGTCACCTGGACTGTAGGTTTTCCAAACTCTCCGTGAGAATGAAGGGGTTGTGCGTGATGATATAGCCAAAGCGAGAGTCCTCCACCCCGATCTCTTTGAGGAACAGCAGCCTTGGGGCCACATCTGTGTTGAAGTTGAGCCTCAGTAGCATGGACCCCACGTTGGGCCTCTGTTCAAGCTTCCACAGGTTTACACCTGCAATGAGAGGATGAATGATCACAAATGATCATTGCATATATCACAATAAATCTGAAATACGCTTCCAAACTTACAACTTACATTGTTCTCAACATTATTTTGAAAGTCTTTAATTACCTAGCTGTACCAGTTTGCTGAGGGTCTCAGACTGGTCAACGTAGTCTCTTAGAGAGGTGGAGGCAGGAGGCATGGCAGAAGGAACAGATATACTGACAGCCTCTTCATCACTGATCACCTCTAATGCTGAAAACTCAGCAGCTGCATCCAGATCTTGTAAATGAAGAAAATAGAGATGGAATGCATTCAACTCCCTCTGAAGATAGAAATAACATGTAAAGTGAATTCTATTCTAAATGAAAAGATTAGGGTCAACTACAGCAAACCAATATGTACCTAATGACACCTGGATTTCCGGCACAGCATCTCTGATTGGCAACAGGGGGCTCTTGTACGCTACAACATCAGCTCTAGATGTTTCAACATCCTTGTCTTCCTTCGCCTCAGTTGCCAGATGTTTGGCAGCTAAGTCGCTGTAACAGAACATCTGTTGTTTCCGCATTTGTCTTGCCTGACTTGTTACGTGATTCCCCTTAATAATTGAGGATCCATCTAGGATTTTGGTGGGTACCCTTGTAACTCTAATGCAATGGCGAACTTGAGTGTAATACTGCCAGGTATTAGCCACTGTCTTGGAGCAGAGAAGGCTTCTGCACTGTAGACACAGCTGTGTACAGGATGAAGCCATGGCCATTCTGCAAAAAAAAAAGATCATCAAGAGGGCGTTGCCAGTATTATCATTCCAACTTCTATTAAAATAATAAACGAGCAGTGAAGGGCTGCTCTGACACATACACATATTTGCACGTTGCCACTCCTTGTAAGACCAAACTGTTTGTAACTCTCTGTGTATTTTTTGTTTGTGTAAGTTTATTCTTTTTTCCTACAAGAGGCTAGCTTAAAGCAGATCAAAGCACAACATATTATTTTATGGTGTTAACTCTTTACTCACAATATTGGTATCCTCAATTCAGCTCTATCGTCTACCAAGATGTCGCACAATGTCAAACGTTCTCACGTGCAACTCAACAGAAGGACTTCCCGGAAGTGTCACATTGTGGAATGTACCACAACAACATATTTGTGGGTAACACTAAATGCATTTAATATACACGTGAAGATAAAACATTTGAAAAAGCGGAAATTAAATCAATAAAGAGATAGAACATAAAACAAGTATAAGTTATTGTATTTGTGATTCGTGCTATTTATTTTAGTGAATCGTAGAAGATGTAGTATCATCTATAAACACCCCCATTAGCTCTGTGGTTCAGTCCATCTTCAGGGTTTCTCTCGCCGACAACTTCACGTCAACTGGTCGCTCCGCTTTAGTTTTAGCCGTCAAAACTTAAGGAGAGAGTCCACTACAGCGACATGGCAGACGCCGATTCTCCCCCAACACCTCGGAAGGATGATGCCAACTATAACTTACATTTCAGAATTATAAACGAGCAACAAGTGGACGACATCTGCCTTGATATCTTCTATAAGCCACACACCATCACACTCCTGACAACTACTGTGCTGAGCCTCATGTACTTTGCGTTTACAAGGTAACGTTGAACTACATTGTGTAAGCTGACCTTTGTCTCCCACGTACTTTTTCCTATACGTTTTAAATGCAAAGAGTACAAAAGCACCCCTGTTCAGTATCTAGCTATCCTGACTGAGTGTAGTATCCACAGTGCTGCATGTGGTATGAAGCTTTCATTTTTGTTAACATGTGATGTGTGATGTTGCAGAGATGATGGCAACTCCGAGAACAACCTCCGAGTTGGTATTTTGGTGGTTGTCTCCTTCTTCTGTGTCATCAGTGTCCTGGCCTTCCCTAATGGTGAGATACATGTGTCTAACCCTACAGTGGCTCCATGTTCTGTGTGTTTAAGCTCAGCCAATTGTATCTTATTGTTTTGGTCCATTGTAGTTGGGTCAATGACATGGCATTCATATTTTAATGTCCGAGTCCATTATTTCCTTTTTAAATAATGTTATCAATTCATGACAGATATCATTTCAGACATCTTTTGTCCAGTATTTTCTCAAATGTCAGGGTGCAACTGTAAAGATGGGACTTTTATTATTAAATTAAAGTGCAGAACAGTAAACATGATATTGCATCATCAAGAGGACCCTAACTGTCCTTTATGGCAGAGTGAAAATGTTTTTATATTGATTAAAAATAGCTATTTTTAACTTAAAGTTAAGCTGGTACACTTTCCATGTCAGGCGGTACAACCAATGTAAAACTAGAACAATTTTATTTTATCATATAAGTCTTTATTGTATTTAAATATGTGTATGACTTTGCTAACAAGAACAAAAAATAATACAGAAGTCCAAGAAGATGCCTGAAATTAGTTGCAGAAGTCAGGTGGTGCAACCAGTAAGTCAGGTGGTGCAACTGCAAGGAATGTCACTTTATGATATTTTATTTAACGCTCTAAGAATATTGACTACATTTTTAAATCGTTTAAAAGTTTTACATTAGATGCAGGGTTGGTAATGATGAAAAACTATAATAGTCTGCAAGATTTGAAAAGAGAACCAAAAAAACGACCCAGTGTTGCTAACTCTTCTCTAGTGAAACTAGTTAGTCTTCAACACTGACGGCTCGTCCCTTCAGGCCTCCCTCCAAAGCCACTCCCCCAAAACGATCATCTAGCAGCTTGTGGAAGACTGAGTGATGAGCAATGAGAACAGGTCAGGTAGCCGTCTGATCATTATATACGAGCTGAATGAAATGATCGGACAAGCTTCTCACAGTCCTGAGACAGACACCCATACTAGATTATTGTTCTTTTTTTTGTCTGAGCGTTAACTGTCAGGATGTAAAGAAATATCAAATGTTTTGAAGAAGATAACCAACCCTGCCTTTAAAGATGCAATATACTTTCTAACCTTTTTCAAGATAATATTTTATAATTACTTTAGATGCCGCTGTTATGAAAATCAACATGACACAGGGAGCGCATTAACAACAATTTGGCTTCAAGAGAAACATATCTTGCCAAAAGAAAAGAGAGATAATAATCTAATTGATCTGCATCCACACGGCAACCTTCGAAAACGGATATCACGTGACCATTAACGTACACTGGGCATGCACGTGACAGTGTAAACAGGAAGTAGATTGGTTGCTTTGTCAAAAAAAGTATGACGAGTAATAAAGTAGTCTTTAATAATGAAAGGTTGTGTTTGATACTTAAGATCTTCCTTTTAAAATATTCCTCTATAAACTCAAACAGACACAGTTCGTGGAAAGTTTTAGAAGTTTTATTTTTCAGACTTAGTTACAATGCTGCGGTTCTTGCTCTCTCTCTCTCTCTCTGTCTCGCATATCAAATTTACTTTAAAATCAACACTTGCACGTAAACGTTTACTAGATTATGGGTCCATAAATGTGGTCAGCACACGTCTCTCACTCGTTTCCTCGTTGTTGTCTGTTCTCACTCGTAGCTCTGCTGGTGGCTTTGCTATCTGTCCTACTGAATAGCATTTACTGCTAACCATGACTTCAGACATCCGCTCCTTAGGTCTGATAACGCCGCTGGTCGCTAATCGCTCCAATAACAGCTGCTTCCTCCGCAGAAATGCAGACTTTAACTGAACAACAGCTGCTAGTAAAGACAACAAGGTCAGCAATGCCTGCAATCAGTTGTCCATGTTAAATTAACCTGGTAGTCGATCGATAATCAATGTTGTTGTTTGTGAGCTTCTGGGTAAGGGTCACGTGATAGGCATGTGACGAATCAGAGAAGGACACGTCATGGCTGCTAAGAACCAATCAAGTAGCGAATGCGGGTGTGGGTCTTCATCGTTTCTGAATGTATCCGTTTTCGACCGTTCACACAAAGAGGCAGCCCGGAGTTTTGAAACTTATTGGACCTTGGGAGGGTTTTCAAACTCCTCCGTTTTCAGTGCTCGAAAACTCCGCGTAGTGTGGACGCTCAGTGTAAACGTAGCAAAACATATACATTTCCAAATAGACCGTCCGTGTCCACATTACTCCGTTTGTGGATAAACAAGTAGGGCAAGATTTCTTGCCCTACTTGTTTGTCTGCGTCACCCCCCCTCTATCTTCACCCGGGCTTCAAGGCCGCTACACTAGTCTCAGTGACGGGAAGAACATATGACAATGATACCGGCCATTATCACAGTATGAATGTGAATATACATGGATACATTTCAAATTATGGATATGATCGATTTATACATTTCAAGACACACATACATTTTTCTCCCACAACTACAATTTATCTTAAGTTATTTATTTATGGTTTATTTTGCAGTTCTTACTTCTATACAGCCTCATTTGTCATTGACCCAGTTAGTCATCTGACATGAATAAGCAGCTATTTAAAAGTCTGTCATTTTTTTTAAGAACAAATGCCAAATATTCTCTGCTTCCAGCTTCTCAAATGTGAGCATTTTCTGCTTTTTTATATTATGTGATAGTAAACTCAATATATCTTGTTTTTGGACTTTTGGTTGAACGAATTGAGCAATATGAAGATGTCACTGTGGACTTTAGGAAATTGTGAGGAGCATTTTCCCGTTTTTTTTTTCTGACATTCCATTAACCAAAAGATTATTCTGAGAATAATCGTCCGATAATAAAAAATAATTGTTAGCTGCAGCCATACTTCATTTTCTTGATATAAATGTTGTTATAAATGGACCTTGAGTTAAGACTTTGTTTTTGTCAAATTTACCTCTACTTTAGTGCAAACACACTAAGAGTCACTCACCAATATGATGCTTTCTTCATCAGGACCTTTTACTAGGCCACACCCTGCAATATGGAGAATGGTGTTTGGTGAGTGCTCACCCACATGTGTCACACCCGCTGTGCGTCATTCACATTAACCACACTTTCCTGCTGAGGTCCAGTTTTCAATTTTCTTTATCCTCACTCATTTCCTCCTGTCCCCGGCAGGCATCAGTGTTCTGTACTTCCTGTTTCTTGTCCTCCTCATCTTCCTCAACTGGGACCAAGTAAAGACACTGTTGTACTGGATTGACCCAAATCTGCGCTATGCACAGCGGGAAGCTGATGTCATGGTGAGGATGGTTTTGAAACTCTGAACCATCAGAGCTGACACCACGTCTGATACTGAATGTTGGAAGATGTCAGAATGGATGGAATGGTGGAGAGGGCTTCTCTCTGTCGATTCTAGTTTCCAAACACATTTTCCTGCTTTCTTAAGAAAAACAGACTGCTTATATATGTATGTTTTTGGAATACAGTAAATCAAAATGAGAACACTTCCAGCTCTTCATTTCCAGTTGTAAAAATCAAGTGTTTTCTTTTTTTGGTTGCTGTTGTGTTTCTTATAATTCAGTCACCTTTGCCCTTACAGGAATATGCTGTGAACTGTACAGTGATAACATGGGAGCGGGTCCTGACCCACTTCGACATCTTCGCATTTGGCCACTTTGCTGGCTGGGCAGTGAAGGCTCTGCTCATCCGCAGTTACGGCCTCTGTTGGACCATCAGCATCACCTGGGAGCTCACTGAGGTAACATGCGCACATGTTCAACACGCGGTTGGACTTGATCTGCCTGTTCTGAAATCTGCAGTCCAAGGACATAAACAGAAATTCAGTCATACAAAAAAAAGTAATTGCTTGTAATTTGTAGTGATCCAGATCACACAGGCACACAGCATTGCTTCAGCTCGGTCTGTGCTGGCAACAAGGATTGTTTGTTTGGGAGAAACTCATCAGAACAGAGCAGTAGTATGAGAAGGAGTTTCTGCACATGACGAGTGCTGTTGCTTTGACTGTTGCCAATTGTTGACTGGAGGGATAAGATTACGGGATTTTGCCTTGTACCAAATTCATTCATCATAGAATCAAATGCATCACAGCAGGTCCTGAGGCCAACAAGGTGGGACTCAAATAACAGACTTAAGAAATGTGGCCCCTTGATTTAAAACGCTATTTATCTCTTTCATCACATAAATACATTTTCACTCGGTTTTATACTTTTTTTTTTTTTTTTCACAGCTGTTCTTCATGCACCTGCTGCCAAACTTTGCAGAGTGCTGGTGGGACCAGGTGATACTGGACATACTGTTGTGTAATGGAGGAGGCATCTGGCTGGGTATGACTGCCTGCCGGTTTTTGGAGATGAGGACCTACCGCTGGGCCAGCATTAAGTCAGTGAAACTTGTGTTCTTTTCCTTTGTCTTTTTATTTGTTTTCTTTGTCCTAAACAATGTGAAAGTATTAGGTATAATTGGTAGTTAGAGGCCTTTTCTTTTGTTGTTTACTTTTGATACAGCTACAAAATCAGGTAGTACTGTACTGGAAGATTACTATAAGAATCATTTAGTTGATTGTTCTAACAGAAAGTAGTTTATGATACTAGAATTCGGCATACTATAGTATCCTCAAAAGTGCATGTACTCTGTTCAGGGAAATCCACACCACCACAGGGAAGATAAAGCGAGCCGTGCTCCAGTTCACCCCGGCCAGTTGGACTTATGTACGCTGGTTTGACCCAAAGTCCTCCTTCCAGAGGCTAGCAGGCATCTATCTCTTTATGATCTTATGGCAGGTACTGTATTCTTTTGATCTTTTACTTACTTATTGGATTGTCCTCGCTATTAGTGCTGCATCAATGGATTATTTCTTTTTAACGGATGAATGGATCAAATATTCTAAAAGCTCCTCCTCTATGGCATCCTGCTGTATCCAAAATATCCAAAGTATCCTTTAATCTTGTGTGTCTGACACCCTTTATCTTCACAGCTGACAGAGTTGAACGCATTCTTCCTCAAGCACATCTTCGTCTTCCAGGCGTCTCACGCTCTCAGCTGGTGTCGTCTCTTCATGCTTGGAGTCATCACTGCACCCACTGTACGGTATGTTCAACCTTAAAAACGACATCATTACACCCATGAGCAGCAATAAACATGATACACTAGATTAAGATAAGACCTAAAATAACTACTACTTTTTTTGGCATAACAAATTGTTTTTTTAGGGGAAATGTCGGGGATTTTTTTCGATGCTTTTTGACATTTAAATCTGTGTGGAAACCTTAAGTACTTACTTTGTTTTTTTCCTTTTTCTCCAACCTCTTTCAGACAATATTACGCATACCTTACAGACACTCAGTGTAAACGAGTTGGCACACAATGCTGGGTGTTTGGGTAAGTATCTTAAGTACAGATCATGTTTTTCTCTGGCCTAGAAACAAGCTGCATTAATAGTAGTTTTGAAAACTTGCTGTTTTAAGGACTGTCATAGCATTTTCAGTTTTACTCATTTCTTTTTTTTATTGCACGCTCCATACCTAGGGTCAAATTCACTTGTATGTCCCTGTCAGTTAAATCACAGCACACTTACACTGAACTTTGTCCAGAGCCTTGTAGGTGTTCTTTTGATCTTGTCGACAAATATCACAATAGCTGTGCCCGGGCTGATTGGCTCGCCCTATTTTTAATCAAACTAATTAGAACGGCAACTTCGGCACACGTGTTACTGGTGTATTCCCGGGTGTTGTAGATTCAAACACCAGGACAAATCAAAGTTCTCGCACAACTACAACTTAACAGTGAATGGATAGTTCCCACACGTGGCGACAGCTCAGCCAAACTGATGGCAGTCCACACTGAAACCACGGCTGTGTTGGCCACCGTGTTCTTAGCCAGCAAGCTTTTCAAGCTATTTTAAATTACAGTGCACTTGTTGTAGTCAATTGAAATTCATACCGTAATGTAGTTGTTGACCTTCCCTCAGATACTAAGCTGCTAATGCCCTCGGTCTGCACTAGTTTCCATAGCAACGAGACAGGCGCTCTCTCCGTCTGCATGAGTTGCTTCACATTGACGCTGCTCTCGTGTAACCTTTACAATTGAATTGCGTTTCCCACAGCAGTAAGGTGAATGAGTATTGTTATGGGTTTGACAGCTGGGGAACAGTAACACGGAGCACATTTGAACTCGAGTGTTATTACGTCCACAGAGAGGCTCCGCTGCAATGAAATGGTGCTGCCAAGAGGGGGCCAAACCAAAAAACATCCATTTATCAAATGCTCTGATATCTCCCCTTAGGGCCATCTCTTTCCTTGAGGCTCTTGCTTGTGTGAAATTCAGTCAAGACTTGTTTTCCAAGACGCAAATTCTTTATGTACTCCTGTGGCTGCTTTGTCTGGTAAGAAAAACAAGTGTGTGTGTGTGTGTGTGTGTGTGTGTGTTCTCATAGAGGATATGATTCACTTCAGTCAGTCGCGAGCAGATGCATCAAAATTATGCAACTATGCTTCCTGTGTAAATATGATAACACTGTGATGCTCTTATGTACCTTTTCAAAAAAGGGACATCAACAACTGTTAATGTGTGCAACCGGCTTTCATGGATATGTTGCAATACATATATAACTTTAGGGTGTCTTTTTCTGCTCATTAAGTGTATTTTTTTTCTACTGACCTCGGGGGGGGGGGAACAGTGTTAAACTAAACTTTCCTCTTCTACATTTTAGGCACTCCTCACACTTCTATCTTTATATGGGATGATGTGGTATGAGCAGAAAAAACTGAAGGTGAGATGTTGCTTTAGTTCTTAATTTGATGCTTCAGTTACATTATAAGTATTCATTTACAAAATGTTTTAAGAGTAACTTATAACCAGTGGAAAATCTTGTTTTGCTCACTTATTGTTGTTAAATTAAATACAAAATTAACCTGATACACAACAGACACTTTGAGTTGTCACAGTAGAAAAACACAGGTGTTACTAATAACGTTAACGATGGCTCTGTTCTATTCAAGTGTCCCAGAAGACAGTGAGCCAGCATGCACAATACCAGCACCCTGAAACTAAAGCAGCTGAAGGAAATTTAGTTGCTGTCATTAATTCGATTATTTACACCTGTGCTTTTCCTACTGTCAGTAAAAAAAGTTAGTGGTTTGTAGCTTGCTGTTTAGTCACTCTTTATCTTCTCATTCGTCTCGCTGATCTTCCTTCTCTTTACAGAGCAGTTCTGTACAAAGTGAGGACTGCGATGACGGCAGTTTTGGCGACTCATGTGATTTTGCTCCAGATGGCCTTGCAGGTCAGTCTCATAACAGGCAGATTGGTGACAACTCTTCTAAAAAAAAAAATAAAAAATAAAAAAAATCTCCATCCAGAGTGTTTGACATATAGTTATGTATTTTTCCTCCATAGCTCAGAGGGATACATTAAGAAGTTTACTACCGACAAAACGGAGGAGAGCTCATGGGAAGAACAGATTTGGGAATGAACATAGAGGAAAGAAATAATGAAACAAGAGCGACACTGAATCACATCGTGAAGGATACAGCCAACAAGAGAAATACAGTATGCATCGATCTACTGAATGTTGTGAAATTTGCATCAAGGGTTTGATAAATTCTAGAGGGCAGACTCCAAAACAAAGTCACGTCAACAAGCCTTGATATATTATTTCAACTCGTCAAGTTCTAATATTCTGTGGGAGTCGGAGGCGAAGTACACTAATGAGCTGAACGCTTCATAGACCTGCAGACTGGTGTGTTGATTCTCTAGTACTCTGGCAGATCTTTAATAATGTATCACAAGGACAACATTTGTCTTGTATTTAATGTCAGACATTTTTAAACAGACCTAACCTAGAATTCATTTATATATACACTGGAATGCTAGCCATGCATCATTCGACAACATTTTATACTCTTCTACCTTAAATTGCATTAATATTTAACTTTGAACTGTGGGACACGTATGTCCAGTCAGGGAGTTGACCCTGAGTTGTGCTACACTTTGAATTTTGTTTGCTCTAAATCTTTTTGACTGTTTACAGTTTACTAAAGGTAATACTTTTATGAGAAAACTAAAGATCATTGTTGTGTATGATTTGTCGTTTGAATTGGTGATGATTATTTGTTAATATGTTTGTGTTTTTATGAGTGAATCTAGAATACAGTAAAGCACTGGTAAATGCAGAACTGTATGTTTTTCTTCCATCGAAATTGCATTATCACTTTAAGTAAGAGGAGCAGCGAAGTGTAACTGAACCACCAGTAGCCTTTACGTGTTACCCTTTTTAACCTAAGTCAATGTGATGTTGTTTTTTGTCTTGGTGTGATTTTGTGTGTTTGTTTTTAAAGAGAGAAGTAAGCAGTGTATGATGGGTGTACTGATCAAGAATACTGTGACATTCAATGCAAAAGCACTGTGGTGACATTCAACAGCAGGGGATAATCATTTGTGTGAAATTATCCTTTTTAAGTGATCCAAATGAATGAACTGTGACATCGCTATAACACAATAACTGACTGCTACATGTAAGTTGTTCTTAATATTGTTGAATGATGCCTTATTTTTCATCTTTAGTGTAGGAATGTGTTTTACAACTTCCCTGAAAGTTTTTGACTAGCCTTCCTCAGTTGTTCTGGTCCTTTGACACGTACAAAGCTTTATGTGTCAGACTACACTGTATTTTATATGAAATGTTACTACCTGCTTTTACCCCGAAGAAGGTGTCTGACCGAAGGTTTGCTTACTAAAAAGATTTTGCACAGATTTGAGTGTTGGGATGCTTCTTTTTTTTTTTCTTTTTTTTTTTAATAAATCATATAAAATGTGTTAATTGTAACCTCAAATGCACTACTTGGTATTACTGATTTATAATTTATATGGATGGGTTGATGCAGGCTTACATAACAATACATACAAATCATACTATACAAAACTTTTTCGATACCCAGTGATTTATGCACAGGATAAAGACAAAAAACATGTGCTCCTACAGCTAATAATGATCAATTACTTGTTTGGTCTATAAAACTTTACAAAGTAGTGAACAACGTTTAACACAAAGAGCTAACTATTAATTGCATATCAAAATTGTTGATTAATTTTCTCTTGATTGACTAACGATTAATTGACTAATCCTTTTAGCGCTACTAAAATCACTAAATTATGCTCCCATTGATAATATAAACAATATATTTAAAAACCATAGCAATATAACAATTTTCAGTCACATGACAGAATAACCCCGATGCTAGAGCCATGTGGTACAAAAGTCCCGGCAGGTCAAACCTGCCTCTTTGTTACGTTCGGCTACTACATTTCCCACAGTGCTTTGCGAGTGGCCGTGGCTGTGGCTGGATGACAGCTATCCGGCGCCGAAACACCGATAGACACTCAGACGAAAGAGCCATGGCGGCCACGGGTGGAGGGAAAATTAGAAGCAGGAGATATCATATCGCCTCTAAACCTTACGCCAAGAATAAACAGGTAAACCGAGTGAAAGTGTTCGTGTTAAAAACCCGTAACGAAGACTTTGAGGTGATCGCAGTGCCATTATGGCTTAACGCTTGTTATTGTTTTGTTGGAGGCATTTTATGGCCTGCTGTTAGCGGTCGTGGCCTCCACGCGCTGCTAGCATGTAGAGGAAATGCTAGTAAGCTGGCTTATAGGTTAGCATACTCGGCCGGACTTGACAGGTCAAATCACGGCACAGTGAGTCGTTTAGACCGGTTTATCTGTGTTGTTAAGTAAACGTGCACACGTGACACGTTGGGTCAAGCAACGTTAGCTATACTACTAAGTGCTTAGCCGTTAGCTGAGTTGGCAGAAAGCGAGGAAGTAGAATTCGAAGTGTTAGCTGGTGTAGCTAATGCTATTTAGCACGCTAGCATTAGCGAGCAACGTATTGTTGTCTTCGGTTTTGGAGGCATCACACCGTCGCAGGGAGAATTGACATGATGGTTTCGTTGAAAATTGCATCTGTCTACGTCTATGTGTAGCCACATTTATTGCAGTTAAATTATAGGATTATGTGTCTGGCCTGTCGGAGTCATGTATCATGTTAGGCTAGCTAACGTTAGCCGAATCTCTGCCAGTTGGATTGCGCAGGAAGCATTGGGAACCCACATGGTTGCCTGGATTCACTTGCCGCCTGGACCTCAGCTAATGTTGCCTTTTAAAACCGCTCCGATATGTTAATAGTGGACAGCACGTGTCTCTATACATGGCCGACCCATTCAACTACTTTGTCTTTAGATATCACGTGGACTATTCTATTGACCTATTAATAAGAGGTTGTTTATATTAATGTCAGCATATTGGTGTGTTCCCTGACTGAAGAGGCAACTAAACTAAAAATCTTACTTTTAAATGATGCCAGGGATGCAACAGTCTGAATATTGATAGTGATGCAAGCAGCTGATCATTGTGACCTACTAAAGGTTATCAAATAACATTTTACGAGTTAAACAAGATTTGGATGAATAGTAATTGTTTATGGCTGACATCAGTTATCCACACTTGTGTTTTGACTTCAACCACTTTGCATTATATACAATTTATCCTTATGATATAAACTGTGATATAGTTCTAGCAATGTATTCAAACTGATACTTCATGTTCCAAATTGTCAGTTATTGTCTTTGTTAGGCATTGTTGGTTTTCGCATGAATGCACTACGTCACAATTTTTGGTCTTCTTTCATTGATATAAATTGTGTGAAACATCTCAAGCACAATGTAGTTCAGCAGCACTACAAACCACAGCTTCCACAATAACCATGCTCTGAAACGGTTAAATCAAAAACTGAACAATTGGTGCGGCTGATGTTTTACACTGCATTAATTTAAGCAAGATGGATTAATATGTCAATATTGGGTTTATGGTAGTTTGTTGTAGTTACGCATCTATACACAGCACAGTCACAGACAATTGCATATAAAGTTTTTATTATGTGAACTCTATAGCTATATATTTGCTATTGCAGAGTGTTGAAATGAAGAGAGATTAATTGGAATAATGCATTTATGCCAGCAACAAACACACTCATGAACATGTAATATCTTAGTTTGAATAAATGTTATTATGACTTGAACGGTGTCTCAGTCATGCCAGACAGGAGTCATGATTACTTCTTCTATTGCTTATATATTTGAGTAAATTGCAAATTGTGCGGACGTGTTTGAAGTCCATACAAATGTTTCAGGACTTAAGTCAGCCAAAAACTATGATTATCTAAAGCTTGTGTACAGTTGTACTTAAAAGGTGGATTTAGCTTTTCTTCAACAGCTTAAAAAGCAGAAGGAGCGTGAAAAGACATGTACTAACGATTGTGCCGTCGCTTTCTTGATTCATCTGTGGGATTGCTTGCTGAAAATGGGAGTCTTTTCTAGCCAATACTTACCTCATCACATGACATGCATGTAATTATACGGCTGACTCGAAGATCTAAAAATGTTTAAGGATGCACGCTCATCACATTTGTGTCAAAAGCTAGATTCAAATGATCTACTTAAGTCCTGGAATATTCAATAGAAATGATTGTTTCAGTTCGACGTGATGGCTTTCAGAGCGAGCGGGCCCTTCAATCCTCATAACAATAGCTTATGTAGCACTAAGTAAACTATCACTGTGGTGGGATATACACTTGCTCTTGACTAGTTTAACTTATGTGTATTTGCACAAAGGTTAAAGTGCAGAGGGGCCCACAGGTGTATTTTGTAGATAAGCAGGAAACAAGAGGCACATTTGGCTCTTGTCAGGTGTTGAAAGCTACCATGGGTTAGACAGGGTGCATATGAAGTGATACACCCACTAGCGAGCCCCTTCTCTCATCCTTTCCCCTCTCCATCTACATCCTTGTCACCAGAACAACATAACTGAAATCTGAGGACATCCAAGTACAGTTACTGTCTCAGTCTAAGAGACAAATAATAATTAATATTAATTAATTAATAATAATGTGTACTTTCTAAGTGTGATGTAGGAGACGAGACTCGTCTGTATCAACTGGAATTAATCTAGACTTCAGTACAGTGCTGACCAGCGTCACTGCTTCACAGAAGCGAACCACTGTGCCTGACCCAGTTTCACACTGTCATACTCGGCTTGTGTTTTGCTTTTCACTGAGGAGGCCTAATGGCTTCTTATTGCATGTTGTCCTGTGCACTTATTTCAGATTGTAAACGCAGTGTTCGTTGCGCTCTAAAAGAACTTAAAAAGAAATTATGTGGAACTGCTTTGTCACAAATACGTTTTTAACACCAAAATTAGGTATCAACATATTTGGCAGAACTGTTTTGTATACAGCGTTACACACATTGACTTTTATCCAATGCTGATTGTCAAGGGGATTTTCTAATGAGGAAGCTGCAGATAATGGCCTGACGTGATGGTCCTTTGTTGTTTCTTTTATGTGCATTTGTCTCTGCCTCTCACTCATGTTGACAACTTCCTCTCATGTTTTTTTATCAGCAACAGTCAGGCCTCATCAGTCGAGTGACAGACACAGTAAAGAGCATCGTTCCTTCCTGGCTGCAGAAATACTTCAGGAGTGAAGATGCTCCTGAAGGAGGAGAGGATGTGCTGGAGACAGACCAGAACTGCCAGCCACCACCTCCTCCTAATGGCAGCGAAGAGGGGCCTCCTACCCTCGATGGATGCGACTCCCCAGAGCCAAGCACCAGTAACACAGGTCAGTCTCTCAGTCACTCTTCACATCTCTTCAAAAAAAGATTAGCTCAATTTTCTATCCCATACATGAGATGCTCACCTGTGACTTCTTTCGCTCTCGCACAGAACCCCCAACCAACCGGGCGTCCCTAAACTTTCAGGACTATGTGCTTTCTCGACCTCCGCTGAGTCGTTCGCACCTCCACTTTCCACCGCTGGACGCCTCCTCCCCGACCCTGGGGGCCTCCAGCAGCCTTTTCTCCCAACCCTCCACCTCCTCCGCCCCTGGACCCTTTTCCACAGGCTTCTCCTTGGTCAAAGAAATCAAGGACAACCTCTCGCAGCACGAAGATGATAACATCTCCACCACTAGCGGCTTCTCCTCCCGCGCCTCAGACAAAGGTAACAGCAGAGTGACTTCTTCACCAACGATTAGTGTGTTGATAACGGGTTCGGGAAAACTTATCTGAACACTGATTTTATTAACATATAACAACATCTTTGCAATCCCTGCATTGTGTTTATATCCCATTTATATATGACTCAAATGTACGAAAATGTCAGAAAAAACTAATTACATGTCAAGACTGGTTACATTTCTGCATTGGTGCTTTCTTAAAACGGAGATATTATAAAAGTCTGTTTTCTTTGCTTCTGCCTCTGTAACAGATGTCCCTACTTCCAAAACGGCATCACTTCCCCAACTTTGGTCCCCAGAGATGGACAGAACTCACTCTGGGCCTCAACCTGCCCAGTCCAGTCTGAGAAAGCCTTCTTTCAATCTGTCTGTATTTGGAACTTCCTCCAATGTGAGTGTCTGTGGGTTTGTTCATCGAGATACTGAGCAATGCTTTCTGAAAGAACAGAAGTTTGCCACAAAGCTCCGCATTTTGGTGTGTTTGATTTGATGTCGGGCTATGCCTTTGAGGCAGTGGCCCACTTTGATATAAAATGTCAGTCTGGAATTTGGTCCATGCACAGAACCCAAGTCCTGCGTACCACAGACTTCTACAAATTTCAAGTTGACAGATACTTTTTAGGTACTTTTTTTTAATGTTTTAACATGAAACATGATGTTTATAATTAATTCATGTGCATTATCTGGAAAACCAATGTTACGGTCAGTCCGCTCACAGACAGACAGTATGTTGATGTGTTGCATTCAGTTTCACCTGTGTGATTTAACATGTTGGACGATCAGTTTTCATGTGCATACCAGACACCACACCCCAGTCTATCCGATTCAAAACATGTCTGCCTTTGTGTGCATTCTGACATTGATTTATTACTGCTATGAAGACGAACTCCAGAATGACAATACAAGTCTGATGATTTAACCGTCTCTCTTCCAGTCGTCATTAAACAGCACAGTACTAAACTCCAGCCAGCTCGGAGATTCACCCTTCTACCCCGGGAAGACAATGTATGGTGGGGCAGCTGCAGTCAGGGGCTCTCGCGCTCGTCCTGGAACACCGTACCAGGTGAGCCAGTGAGAACCGCACGGTCTAGAAACTGAGACTTGTGTATCCAGATTCAAACAATGTGATCATTTTGATAAATGCTTCATATGGTGAGCTAGCACACTTGGTTTAACACGTTTATATTCAGTCTACATGTGCATTTAGCGTTGTGGGTGAACACTGACGTCATAGTGTGACTGTAGTGTGAATATTCTTCCTTTTTAAATTGGAGACTAAATATGCTCATCTGATCTGTAGGCCCCAGTGAGGAGACAGATCAAGGCCAAGCCTGCTGGTGCTCAGCCCTGTGGGGTGACCAGCGCGACAGCCAGACGCATCCTTCAGTCCTTGGAGCGAATGTCGAGCCCCCTGGCTGTGAGTACACATACACACACCACATCACCTCCCCTCGTCAAACTTTATTTTACCTCAAAATCGGACAGTAGTTAGACATTTGATATTTTGCCAATGAGCATGTTAAGTGACACAATTGTATTTTTCTTCTACAGGATGCCAGGAGAATCCCAGCAGCAGCCTCATCCCCCCTCTCAGCAGTAAGAGCTTTTAATATATTTACATATATTGTAAGCATTTGTTTGCAGTCACTTATTATACATTACATTAGTGTCCTTTAAAATATTGAAATCCTGAACACCTGAAAACACTTATTGATTTGTCCAACAATGAAATAGTTTTCTGACATGAGTTTCTATTTTGCAGTCAATGGATGGAACAAATCTAGATGTTTCACATTTCCAGTCAAAAAGGAAACGTGTAAGTACAGATTTTTAAATTCTTGTGAGAATAACTGTCATGTGTGTCCCTGTATGACTTCAAGCATCCTCTATGTATGCAAACCAACAACTAAACTTCACTTGTGTTCTTGTAGCTTAGCACAGAGCTAAATATCACTATGAACAGGGATGTCATTGTACAAGCCCAGCAGCACTTGTTGTGGTTTGTCCTCCTGTCATTTCCTGTCCTACTGTCTGTTGGCCTCCTTTACGCCAGCTAACAGGATTCTCCTCACTGGGACACAGTTGTTCATGACTCGTGTGGTTTTCTTTATACATGCGAGTGCTGGCGAGCAGAAGAGCGCTAGACTCTGGATTATATTTGGCTCATGAAAGTGTGTGTGTGTGTGTGTGTGTGTGCGTGTGCGTGTGCGTGCGTGCGTGCGTTAAGCAAAGTTAGTGGTTAAATCGTGCCAGCTCTGGATTGGACTTGTCCTCAGTAATAACTGTCATGCATTCCCATCTGCGACAGCTGCTTTGTAAATCCTAACAATGGTGTATTGACGCTCACAGTTCCATAACAAGAAAGCCTGCTATGTGACTGTTGCCTCAGGATTTACCTTGGTAGGGTTCACACTATAGTGAAACCCAATCTACATTTTTGTGGCCAATAATGATAAATCAGAAAATGTTGTAGCGGCTGATAATTAATTTCTAACCTACACAAACAATCTTGATTCTGTTCCCGTAGATTTGTTTATTTTACAAATTGTGACCGAGATGCATACTGAGCGTTTAAAACATCAGCTTGCCTCTGGTGGACAAACTATGTTAGGGCGACACTGTTTCTAAATGACCTCATACCTAGTTTGGCATTTCGTTTGGGTCCAACGCTGATAATGTTGTACTTTTACAGTCTCTAGAGATGTCACTGTTCACGTTCTGGGACCAAGTTTCATGTTTGAGTTCAGAGGATAAACTATGTTCATTATATTAAAAGCAGCATGAAGACAAAAGCTTTATCAAACGCATTTAGATAAAGAATGCAGCACTGCCACCTTCGGTTGTTTCTGATTCTCATCCTTTGTCTTTTATTTTCCACCTTTTCTTTCATTCAGATGGAGCCCACCCTCCCACCGGTGCAGAAGCTGGTGGTTCCCGTTGCAGCGTCGGTGTCAGGAAACCGCTCCGTGTCCTTCAGGCCGACTTTAACTCCCGGAGGAGTGAGCCGAACTCTTGACAGGACCCCAAGAGAGACGGTGAGAAACGGTGCCGCATCATGTTGCACCGTTGCATTGTTCCTCTACAACCTGATGCTACATTTGTTGTTGTTTTTATTCCCTTAGCCGACAAGACAATCACCGCAACTACCTGAAGCAACCCCAGGACCATCTCGAAGGTAAAACAGGGTTTGCTCTAATTGACCAGCCAAGAAAGTTAGACCTATTAACAACATGCCTAGTTACTGTCACTGCTCTCTGTATCTTGTTTCCTTTACTGACTACACCTGTTCCTGTCTACCCCCTCTACCACTAGCACAATGATTTCCAGTGGCCCAGCCTATCCTCTGTCCAGCACGCCTGCAGCCAGCAGCGTGAGCTCTGGAGGAGGCAAGATGAAGAGAGAGAGGACCAGTACACGGCCTACCTCCAAACGCCCCGAAGAGGACGAGGTAAGGCCTTTGAAACTAAACACCTCAACGCTCTGTATCTTAAAACATGATGTACATCAAAGTTAACATTTATTTATTTATGGGTTAGGGTTAGAAATGGCAGACAATAAGCACGCAATTATATTCCTCCTTGTTCTCTGACTTTAGGTGGCTGAGGTACCGGACCTCCCGAGCATTTCACTTCCCATCAGCGCCTCTGCCTTGCCGACCTTCAGCTTCTCCTCCCCTCCTCCCCCTCTCACCACCTCCAACAGCACGGCTCCCAACCTCACGCACGTGACTCCCACTAAGGACACGCTCACAAACGAGGTCTGTCTTAAAATTGTCTCATTCTGTTACAATGCTACTCCAAGTCTAATGGTTAGCAACATTATTTATGCATTTTATCCACTTTTATTTTAATGTTTGTTTGTTTTACAGGAGCCCCCAACAGCCTCGACGCCTCCCTGTGTACCTTTTACATTTTCCTCCCCTATTGTCAAAGCAACTGCTGCTAGTCCTCCCTCCTTTTCCCCCTCAGTAAGTAAATGTTTAGTCATTGATTAGGTTGCCATCTATTTACAACGGTAACGTTGATGATAATTGTCGTTTCCTGTTTGTAGGCTGGATTCACTTTTAGTGCACCTGTAGCCAAGTTAGGACCCTCCATGTCAAATGGGAAGCTGGCCTCTCCCATCGTTGCAGCAGGTAAGACGGTTTTCTCACAGTCGGCATGATGCAGATTCTCTGCCTTTCCTGAGAAAACTGCGTTTGATCTTTTTGTGTTTTCATGTCCTCTACAGTGAAGTCAGCCACAAGCAAAAGCACAGAAGATTTTGATGGGCCGTTTAAGCCAGCCAAGGCCCTGAAGCAGGGCAGTGTGTTGGATCTCCTTAAGGCACCTGGTAATAATCAGTAACTCACTACACATTCACAGTATTTGTTTTGCATCATTCTGTTGTTCACCGCTTCAATCCTTCACTTGCTCCATCTAGGCTTCGCTTCTCCTGTTGCCCAGACTTCCCCAGGCCCGGACGGCGCTCGGCTGCAGACCTCCACGCAATCCACATCCCCCTCTTCCTCCTCCTCCACCACCACCACCTTCTCCCTCTCTTCAACAGGGTTTAGCAATGTGTTCAAAGCCCCACCAGGCTGGAGCTGTGATGGCTGCATGGTGCAGAACAAACCATCGGACACCAAATGTGTTTGCTGCATGGCCCCGCAGCCCTCCTCATCCAAATCTACGGACGGCAAACCTTCAACGGCCACCTCGGTCGGGCTCGAGAGCAGCAGCAGCACGAGCACCACCTCCTCCACCACTACAACTACTGCAGGTTTTGGCACAATGTTCTCCAAACCTGCAGGAACTTGGGACTGTGATACATGCCTGGTTCTAAACAAACCCGATGCCGTGAAGTGTGTGGCCTGTGAAACGGCCAAACCCGGGACAGGGCTTAAACCCTCACTGACTCTTCCTTCTGCCTTCTCAGCCATTAAGACTGTATCCACACCCACAGGCCCTGTTTCTACAGGGTTCATCGGATTTGGAGAAAAGTTCAAAAAACCCGCGGGTGCATGGGAATGTGATACGTGTTTGGTAGAAAACAAGGCGGAGGACACAAAGTGTGTGGCCTGCATGAGTGCTAAACCAGGTAATGAGAGACCTCAACCATGGTAATGTTGGTATTTGACATTCAACAAGTGCCAAATCTTTGTTTTTGTTTTTTAGTGAAGAGTCTCTATTTCCTCTCTCATCCTCACAACAGGAGCTTCAGCAGGAGCCTCTTCTTCAGCCAGCAGTGCTCCCGTGTTTGGGTTGGGAGATGTGTTCAAGAAGCCACAGGGTGCCTGGGATTGTGATGTCTGTCTAGTACAGAATAAGGCTGCTGATGTCCAGTGTGTTGCCTGTCAGACAGTCAAACCTGGAGCTAAAGTGGAGCCCAAAGGTAACAACAGTTATCCGAAAGTACATGCTCACTCACAATTTCATATAAATATCTGTTTGCATCATATGAGACCGTGAAGATAACCATACAAAATCAAAATAGTCCAAATGTTAGGTTTTGAGAAACTTGATACTTTTGCATTTTAACCGATACCTAGTCTACACTTTTCACATTTTTACATTTATGTTTTACTTTATTTCTCTTAAGCTTTTGGTTCATCCGCTGGCGGGACTTCAGGCTCTAATTCTGGAGGTTTTAAGTTTGGTGCATCGGACAGCACCTCGGGATCGGGATCTGTAGGTTTCAAGTTTGGAGAGTCTTCATCTTCATCATCGGATGGATTCAAATTTGGAGGCTCATTTGGAAGCTCCTCATCAGAAACCACTTCTAAAGACAATGCCGCCTCATTGGGGTTCAAATTCGGCAGCTCATCTGAGGGCTTTAAATTTGGGACCGCCTCTAGTGATGACAAAAAGTCGTCAGACAAATCTGCTGCAGGTTCTGGGTTTAAGTTCGGAGCAGGCGGTGGGATTGCGTTTGGAACTGGATCCTCTAGCACAGAAAGTAACTCCTCTAAGGGCGGCTTCTCCTTTGGACTCTCAAAACCCGAGGAGAAAACCCCGGACACCACCACCAACCCCTCCTCTCGTAGTTTCACTCCTCCGGCCTCCTCTCAGGAGAAAAGTGAGGCTGCTGCATCATTAAATGACGCTACAACCACCACCACCACCACTGGTTTGGTATTTGGGAGTTTGGCGACCCCCGCACCACAAGGGGGCTCTACTTTTGGATCCTTACAAACAGACAAAGAGCTAGCTGCTCCCACGTTTACCTTCGGGAAGCCAGAGGAAAAGAATGAAGCCGCCGCCGCCTCCTCAGCTCCGTCTTCCTTCCTCTTCGGTGCCGCTGGTAAAGATGCAGATGTTGCAGCAGCAGCAGCCGCCTCCGGAGGCTTTTCCTTTAGCAAGCCCAGTGCTCCAACAGAACAACCTCCACCCGTCTATAGTTTTGGCAAGCCAGGAGACAAGAGTGAAACGTCTGCAGCAGAGGCCCCGAAGCCGT